AACAACATGAGCATATTTAGGTCAAAGGTCAAGGGTCACAGAGGTCAACTTATGAAATTCCATACATTGAGATTGTTATCATGATATCTCAAGAACCACTGGAGATTTAAACTCCAAACTTGTTTAAATTGCTCTATGGCGGAGGCATCATTTTCGACTGCGCGCAGTCAAAATTCCATCTAGTTTTTTCTTTTTTTACCTCAGTCTCTTTCGCTCCATTCATTTTTCAATCTTGAAAATAAAGGAATGCATGTAAAGAAATCATCAGTGTATTTCAAAAGGTATATTTCATTATAACAACATAATGAATATTCATATAAATCCTAATGAATATTCATTTAAAAATAATGAATAATCATGTGAATCTATAAACGAGTAACAAGGTACAATTACAAATCAAGGCAGCTGTATTCTTTGGCAAATATGTTCCATTTTTGGTGGGTCCGAACTGTGGCCCCATTTCACAACACGTGTCATCAGTGACAAATCAGCAAATTTGTCACTGGTTTTTGTCATTGAAAAAGGCTTTGTGAAAGTGGTCCATGAAGTGCTGAATTTGTGCCTAATCAAATAGCGGCAGCAGTTTATGATATGAAGTATTAGACAAAATATCAAAATGTAATGAAATCATGTCTACTTTCTGAGGAACTGTCATCAATGATTTAAAATACGGACAAAGAGTTGAAACATGGAAAAGATTGTGGACACTTGTTTTGCCAAAATAATACACACCCTTTTCAAAGTATAACTTAGGAAAATAGCTATGAAAAAGAATTTTCACTTTTTAATTGATTGGGGATAAAAGAACAAAGAATCTACAGTTTTTCACTTATGTGAGAATTTTTTTTTTTTCGTCCCTATTAATTATGATTGCATAATATAAAATACATTGTTATTTTTTAAAGAATAACATTGATAGGATAGCACCGAAAACATTTGGCACAAGACGACAGCTAAATAGACTATTTTTGTAATGTAACCATATCTAATGCATATGCCTTTGTGAAGTGCCTCGATACACATTTTGTCATTCATCCATTACAAATTATTGTATTTCAATAGTCAGAATGCAAATTGCATACATTATTTGTTGCCAGGTAGGACAGACATTATGTCTTGCCCTACCTAACGACACGTAATATGCATTTTGCATTGTGACTATTGAAATACAATTGTTCATAACAATATGAAATATTTGTATTGAGGCACTTCACAAAGACGTATGCATTAAATTTGGTTACGGTAGGAAAATTGTCTATTGGCAGTCTATTAGGGTACCGTTAGTTGATTACTGCTACATGCTAATTAAATAAATACATGATAACATAAACATATTTACATTGGTCCAAAAACTATTCATGTTCTAAAAGTAACACAAACATAAAGCCATACAAAATTCATGAGCTCACAGGTAGTGTACTAAAAACATGTTTCAAATAGATTGTTCCAATTTTCTGTGCTTTTCAAATTTCATTGAAGATAAATGACGCAGAGACCTGTACACACAAACGTGTAAAAAAAAACATTTAAATAAGTGCATTACCTGTATTACATGTGATACATTTGTGTACTTCCTCTTAAAAACTAATATCATTGTAAATGCATGGTTTTACATAATCAGACTCATTGCATACTATGCATAAATACATCAACACATCAGCGTTTGAATTCTATTGAATAAATGTATCAAGTATTTTTTCACAAAGATCTTTAAAAAAAAAATTGAATCTATTTTTTCACCAAAGTACAGCTAATAATTAAAGCCACACTGTACTAGAAGCACGTCTCATGCCATCTCAGGTCAGCTGAGCTGTTGTTTCTCACTTTGAGTCCTCTGTCTACAAAGTGGACATTAGTAATCTGGTTACGTACTGTTGGCATGTTGACCATGAGATGGCGCTGTGCAATAAACAGTACGCTAGGGCTGAAAGTTCATCTGTTCAGTATAGTTTTAACCTTTAACACTAAGAATTTTCGTAACACTGCCTACAATGAATAAGATAGCTATTAATTACATATATGAAATGATATAAATGAGGCTTTTCCATTGATATAATGGTCTGTTCCTTTGATATAATCTCTTTTTAGCAAGTACAGTCAAACCTGTCTATAGTGGCCATGCATTTCATCTTCCTGGAGAGAGAAATGTGTGTTGTAGAACCTGTCTATGAAGGCCACATGTCTACAGTGGCCACTTTCTCTGTTTGCCTTGGACAGTCTTAATAAACAGGTTTGACTGTGTTGGTATATTCACACAATAGCAACAGTAAGGATGCAAGCGTTTCACCAAATCGACCACAAAATATATAACTATGGTAGATTCTTAATAGTAAATACCATAACTAATAACATGATAAAGATATGACAATACTTCATATATTTTTACACCTAAAATATATACCGGTAACATAATTGATGATAACATAATACATACATCAAACTTTGTTATAAAAGATGGAATGACATGTTCATGGCTAATTGAAGGGGATATTTACATACAGGGCTCTATGTTTAACTCTTCTGACATAAGGCCTGTTGTATTTGACATACACGTATTTGGCATGTGGATGTAGGAGCTAGGCCCTGGCTGTGAAAATTAGCTGAATATGATCATATTATTGAATATTTTTTTTTTAAATCAAAGTGTTGCTATATCTATCCAAATAGAATGACATTGAGGGAAATTATTGTTATGTAGTACTTGTATTATTCCCCCCTCCCTTCAGTCATCCACCTTTCATTCACCTTTCTCCCACCTGCTCCATGATAAAACAGAACCCACTATCCCATTACTTTTTATTATAAACAATTGACCACTAATGACCACCCAAGATTTAGATTCCAGGAACGAACCACATTCCAATAACTATGACTCATACTAGGCCCAAACCCCAGTCACTTACACTCTCCATAGCCACTCCCCATAATACCATGACAACCCTGACCATTGACCAATGATAAGCATGAATAAGTCACCCCTCCCAACATTGGTTTTCTCCCCAAACTTTCCTGAATGTAAAGTTGGAGAATGATAGGAACTTGGGTTTCAGCCGTCAACCGCTGAACAAGGATTCTACAGAGACTTGTATTTGTGAATGTGATAATTACGACAAAGTATCGATGATGATTAAAAGTTCTCGTGAATTATAACAAGAAATAGTACAGCGTCTTTCTTTATGCTCCTCGCCTCCAACAATTACTGATCCCTACACAACATTATAGACACATTTGGCCTCTTGTTCAGAAAAAGCCAAACTAAAACTGATTCTTTGTAAAATAAGAGTATATTTGGTATACATGGTGCACTTGACAATTAACCCTATTTTAACTGGGCTATTTCAGACCAGGTTTTTACTGGGGGGGGGGGGGGGGGGGGTCAAATCTCGGCCGTTTCACAACCGATCGCCCGAAAAATTTGCATGCATGTCAAGTGAAGAGTATAGAATACTATGGTAATTTCAATTTTTTTTTGGAAAAATTTACTCATTTGCATATTTATGGTAATTTATGCAAATAAGGTCATAAAATTCACATTTTTACCCATAAATCATATATAATTCATATTAAAGCATTCTTGTTCACTATATATATATATATTTGTTAGACCGTTTGGAATAATAATACAACGAAAATTGGAAGAGCCAGGTTATTCCTTATGTTATCTATTGTTTAGATAATTTCTTATGCATTTCATTGTTTTTTTAATTTATGTATTTTAGTGTTTTTGTTGTTTTATTTTATTTCTAACTACAATTCAACTAATTTGACCCCAAAACAAACACCTAAACTTTAAACAAGACCAAATAACCAATGTTTTTTCTCTTTTTAGGAAAAATGATATTTCCATGTGTTTTGAAATGACAAATTTTCGGGCTGACATGCAAAAGTTCATGTGACTTTGTAACTATATGTCTGATTTTCAAAAAAAATTGTTTTAAAAGATGCGTAAGACTCGAAAGAAAAAAGTAACGAAAGGAATACTTTATATCTGCCGCGGTTCCGGAGTAGTTGCTAAATTGACCCCCCCCCCCCCCCCCCCAGTTAACATAGGGTTAAAGGGGAACCCTCAACTCCCTTAACTCCATCAATGATTTCATAAGATCTATATAGACACCAATATAATACGTTGCTTACATTTTATTGGCTCCAAAACTATCATTTCTATAGGACAGTTCTTGACCCATTGCATTTGTATGGGAAACAGAAGTGCCTTTGCCAAATATGCCCCTGGCCGGTGCTGCCCTCTACACAGCGTTGCCAATTGGCATTTAATTGATTATAACTGTATTATTCTTTTCTCAAAGCCCGGATCTTTTTGTCTCATTTTTCAGTTCTTTTAACCAATAGCAGTACAGTGTCTCCTTTTAATGATATTTTTGGGGCATTATCTTTCGCAATTTCCTTTCACATTGTTTTTTTTTATATGAAACATTTTTAATTATGTTAAAACTTTGAAGGAGTGGAAAATAAGATTAATCGCTGCCAATTTGAGGAGGGAAAACTGAATAATTAAAAATGAAAATTGAAATATTGTGGGTTAAAGGTATTCCAGTATTGGAAACGCCCCAATTTCAAAAAATGAAATGGAAGCTCTTATTACCAATCATGTGAAAGAATATGTTTTGACTAATACATGACAAAAATTTTGCCGGGAAACCGCCTACTAATTGATATATTTGGTAAATTAGTTTATCTACATGGTCTGTGAGAGATAAACGCACGTGTCACGCACGTATAGTCCCATATACATCTTTCTGTGTACAGTGCTTGTAACTTTATGAAGACTGGGCCAAATTTCTTATCATTTTGATGATTCAAGAACCTTGCAGTACACAACAATACTTATATGCTAGATGATCAACCTTTTCTGATCGATTCCACAACGTTTCTTTCACAATGCAATCGCATGACCATAACTGGTCTTTACCTTTAATAAAACCAACTTGTTTCCAGTTCGATTTTCGAACAAATCTTAGATGTGACAGAGAAAGGGTGATATTTCATACATTGGTAGCCAGTCTATCTTTAGAATCGTACGAAACTTCTGAATCCTTATCGGAATCATGCTCGTAACCGTACGGATCATCACGGTCGCGGTACTCTCCGTTTCCCTCCGGTTTATAGCGCGTGTAAGGCGGGTCGCAGAAGTCCCGCGGATCCACGTAATCCTCGTGATCGCTATGACGACTACGCTGGCTGCGGATACTGCGATCGTGGTAGATGGGTTCAGGTTTAGCGTCGTCAAATTTGGAGTACTGATTGTCGTGCCTAGCGTACGGGTCGTCGTCATTGTAAGGTTCGCGACGGTTGTCGTAGTCGTCTTCCCAAGGAGGAGGAGGACGCTGTGTGAAAATGAAAGGAAATATTGATTTGAACACGTCCAAATTATAATTATTATTATCATTTATATGACCAATCGGACATCATACAATGAGTATAAAAATCAGATAACACATAGACATTTCATAATACATTCAAACAGCTTTAGGAAAGCTGAGAGGAGAGAGAGAAGGATACAATCTGCTGGTCAGGGGTGACAAAAGCAATTGAAATTGCTATTACTCGAAAGCATGTCACCCCCCCCCCCCCCCCTCCCCCCAAAGCATTAATTAAATTAAATGATGATTTTTAAATTTTATATTTTATGTGATTGTCAGAAGAGATTTCTATAACAATTAAGAAAGTTTTCAATCATACGTCCGCCCTATTTCATACAACCCCTGTATGAAAAAATCTATTCCATCATCAATAAACTAAGAAAATGAAAGTTTATGAAATTTTCTGCACGAAGCGAATTGGAGAGGATCTTGCAAGATATATTAGTGCTGTTGTTGTTTTTCACTGATGACAACTTTAAAAACTCATAACTTTTCTATTTTTAATTGGATATCACTCAGACTTTCACTAATTTGTTGCTTTCTTTTTTTCAGATCTTTTTCAATCTTGTTCTCCTTTAAAGCCCCTCTGCACTAGTTTGGCCGGGGGAATTAGACCTCCCTGTATGGTCACCGACAGGTGGTTATCTCATTAAATCAGCTCTCATCTAACATAAGAAAAAGCGGATCATGGGGACCAATGGTAACCGATTAGGCATTGTTTGCTACATAGAGGGCGCAAGTAGCTATAACTAGTGCAGTGGGGCTTTAAGGGTTAGGTTCAGTCTTCATTCAGCTATCAAATAGTAGAACTATTCCTTGAAATGCACTGAGCGCCGATATTGGTAGCCGGCGTTAAAGCTAGGGTAATAATTTCCAAAGCTCTTTGGAAGCGCAAAGAGACTAAGTATTATGCGCTATACAAGAACAGACTATTTTTATTATTATCAAGCTTTACAAGCTAACATGCCGGAATACACTAAGGAAAAACTCATTCAGCCAGAGAATAATCAATGTGTGGAATGGTCTTCCAGGCAATGTTGTGGAGAGTACACTATCAATCGTTTCAAATCTGGACTTGAGAAATGGTGGAAAGATGCCCCAGATAAATATGATGACAACCCCAACCAAAGGAAACCATGGATAGGAACAACAGTCTAAAGACTGAATAATCCTGGATCAAGTGAGTTACAACTGAGTTATTACCCTGTCAAACTGATGAGGCTCCATATACTCGTTAGACTGCCTGCGTCTGTACTGCGGATCCTCCCACGAATCACGCTTCCGATTGACGAACTCATGCGGCATGGCGTAGCGAGGTCGTGACCCCGAGCTATGAGGGGAGCCGTCGGGTTCGTCACCTGTCTTCTTTCCCTTGTTGAGGGCGTCCTTTAGAGACATAACTTGGGGGATGATCTCAACAGGGATGGCTTCTTTACTTGCATGATCCACTTGAGCTTTATCTGTTGATATTAAAGGTATAAGGGACTAAGTAAAGATAACTAAAAATAATCTTGAGTTATAATATACAAAATATATACAGTCAAACCTGTCTATAGCATCCACCCAAGAGACACACAAAAAGTGGCCTTTGTAGACAGGCTCCTTTAGTACATGTTTCAATGAGAAACCATTTTCAAGGGAAACAACAAATGTGGCCTTTGTAGACAGGTGGTCACTAAAGCAGGTTTGACTGTACAACAAAGGAAGAGTTGGATGTTATTTCTCGCAGGCTGAAACAATAGAAATACATGAAATAAACTATTTTTGTCATGCATATGTATCGCTATAATAGAGATGAAATTACCTGTGTACAAAAATACTTTACTGTTCGCGAAAGCTCTTTTAGGATTTGGTGTTGAAGTGCAATTCTCTCACAGTGATAGTTAATAACGTATTTTATCATTTTACACTGAAGCTCTATTTCACTTTACCAGGGCACTTTGAGAGTTTTTTTTCGAGAGCTAGTTGTACATGCTCCCTGCTCCTGTGTACTTTTTTTGTTTACTGGTACTATATGTGCAGACAACTGCAGAAATAGGCACTCAAGCCGTTTATACATTAATCATGTTTCTTTTACTCTGAATCACAGAAGCCAGTCTAATATACATTGTATATAACTTTAACAATGTGTTTTATCTGTATAATTATATTGATGATTGTAGTTAAACAACTTTTTTTAAAATCAATTGCATATATTGCCAAGTAATTTGAATTTAATTGTTCATCTTTATCTTGTATATACTGTATACATGTGCAATTCAGCATATTGCTGTAGACCATGTCGTTTAAAGCCCCATTGCACTACTTATAGCTACTTGCGCCCTCTATATATCAAACAATGCCTAATCGGTGACCATTGGTCCCCCATGATCCTCTTTTTCTTATGTTAATTGAGAGCTGATTTGATGAGATAACCACCTGTCAGTTACAACGCTGGGTGGTCTAATCCCTCCTAGCCAGACCATTTTTAAATTTTCAAATTAAATCACTCACTCTTCCTAAGCCTCCTCCTGCAGTATGCCATGAAGATGATGGTCATGACGAAGATAAATCCAGACGCTGCTACTACTCCTATGATGATGTAGATGATCCGATCCATACCTGGTGTGTCATTAAAAAGGGAGAACAAATTGATACGTTTGATATGAAGGTGATATTTTGTAGCAACTTACTCATATATCTCAATATATCTTATATATATCTTACTATATATCTCAAACATGATTGTAATATTCACTTATATATATATATATATGATTATAAATGATTGTAATATGCACTCAATTCACAATACATGTATATTAAAAAATAAATGTGGTCATTTCTACACATTTACAACATTCTATGTCAAGTATGATTGCAATATTCATTTAAACAGGTTCATTCACTGCACAATATATATGTATTTTTTTTGTTAATGTGGTAATTTCTTCAGATCCATACCTGATGTTTCATTGAAGGGTAGAAAAATGCAAGGAAATACATGTTTTGAAAGTATGAAGGGGGGGGGGGGGTATTTCATAGCAATTTACTTAATATTTCAACTTTCAAGAGAAGACAGTCAACCCTTTCTTAGTCGTGTCTACTCCTCAAAGGTCACTTATCTATAGTGACCATGTATTTTTTGTTCCTTTGTTCTTTTTTTGTGGTCTCCCTCGAGAATGACAGGTGCAATAAAAACCTGTCTAGAAAGGCCACCAAATGTTGCATTTATTATCATCTTCACATCATTATCTTCATCATCTTTATGATCACTATCATTATCATCATTAATAATAATAATAATAATAATATTTAATTTTTATATAGCGCTTAATACAAATGTCTCTAAGCGCTTTACAAATATATACTATTACCCCGGTCATTGGATTCAGTGCTTGCCCACACACACTGTGTGCACAATCTCCACTCCTTGGGGAGCATTCCAGCCGGGCGTTACTTGACGCTCACAAGCTGTTTGACCAACAATGACGGTCGTATCCTACCGGGTACCCATTTAACACCTGGGTGGAGAGTAGCAAGTGCAGGTTAATATCTTGCCAAAGGATATTAGTGCCGTGTCGGGATTCGAACCCTCGACCTTCGCATCTCCAGTCAAGCGCCTTAAACCACTAACCTTGTTGTTCCAGCATGATAATCTTTGACTGGATACCGACATCGTTCCAAACGGTGCAGTTATAATCACCATAGTCTTCCTTCTGAACTCTCTTGATGTGGAGCAGACTTGTGATTCCTCCTGCCGCGGTCTCTACCTGCTCCGCTTCAAACCGACCTTCACTACCTAAAAATTGAAATATTATCTTGAAATCATCATCAAGTCTCATCAATGGAGACTGCCCTGACAGAACCTTTATTTGGTTCTTTTGCAATTTCCCATTTCATGTTCATTATCTATTTCTTGGCTGTAAACATGTTTATTTTTTACTCTTGTCTTTACATCTCTTTAAAAAAAAAAGGTGGAATTTGTGATTCCTTTTCTTAAAGACTAAACTTTTCCGGCTTTGAAAGGACCTTCACTCCCTAAAAATCAAAATATTATCTTGATACCGGTATTCACATCAACTCTCATATCATATCATTCTCTATCCTTTCAATACAAAACTAATAAATTGGAATTCCCTCCCACCACTTATTTGTGAAATTAACAACCTTGACCACTTCAAAGCTTCACTCAAAACTCACATCTTCCTATTTGGAGGAGCTCGTGCCTTTGAATGTTTTTTTTAAACAGATATATGGTGCCATACAAATGCAGTGAATCACCATCATCATCATCATCAAAACAGAAATTTACAAGAATTCTTGTTCCTGCTGCTGAGCACACCACATTTTGTTTCTTCTCTCACCTGTTTCCAACTCGATATCTTTCCAGCTCCACATAATGAGGTAGGGGTCGGGTTTAGTATCTGTACGGCATTCTAAGATAGCTGTACTGCCAATCTTAGCTCTCTGGACAGACGGACTATCGATGACAGGTATAGCTAACAAGAAAAGAAATAAACAATGTTAATAAAACATAACATCTCTCTAGCTCTATATGATGAGCTAGAGGTCTGGTTTACTATCTGTACGGCATTCTAAGATAGCTGTACTGCCAATCTTAGCTCTCTGGACAGACGTACTATCAATGATAGATATAGCTAACAAGAAAAGCAATAAACAATGTTAATAAAACATAATATCTCTCTAGCTCTATATGATGAGCTAGAGGTCTGGTTTAGTATCTGTACGGCATTCCAAGATAGCTGTGCTGCCAACCTTAGCTCTCTGGACAGACGGACTATCGATGACAGGTATAGCTAACAAGAAAAGAAATAAACAATGTTAAAGGTATTACAAAGTTTTGGTATGGGGTCATGAATTTGGTTCAAATTAACATATTGGAAGCATATGCGTTCCTACAATATTCATTGATCGTTGTCCCGGTTGAAATCGAGTCTAAAGTTATGAAATTATAAATAATAAACTCTTTATGTTGTATAGCTCCCTCTCATGGTCAATATATCAAGTTAGCTATGAAACAATGTTTCTTGACTAAAATCGACCATTTAGCTATTCCCGTTTGGAAATTATATATCACAACTACATATTCTGAGATCTTCATGGTCGCAGCTACCATTGTACGGCCGTAGGCGCTATTTGAAATTTATCAAAATTTACCGGGAGCACCGGTAAATTTTTATATTCAATTTTTCTCGAAAACAGAAGTGTTTTAGGGGTTAATTTTTTTAGTGCTTATAATACATCCACAGGGGCATCCAAATATATCAAAATTGTAAAGATTCACTAACCACCCAATTTTCAAAATTTCCCAAAACTTTGTATTACCTTTAATAAAACATAACATCTTTCCTGCTCTATTATGATGAGCTAGGGGTCTGGTTTAGTATCTGTACAACATTCTAAAATAGCTGTGCTGATATCCATGATGGGTATGGCTATCATGAAGAGAGATAAAGAAACAACTTAATAATGTATTTATGAACTACACATACATTACATTAAAAAGTCAATCATTACAGCTTTTTACCATCTTTGATAAAGATAAATGGCAAGTCCTTACTGTACAATCTAAACAAGCCTGTACAGGTACCAGCTGCAGATGAGAAAAACCAGGTTGTTAATGAGGAGTTAAAGACAAAGACAGCACCAGATGAACCAATGCACCAACTACAATGATATTCAAGAATCTTCTTCTTAGTGATTATATTCAGAATTAAAGATAAACGTTAGTACTGGTAATGCGATTGCATTGTGAAAGATAAGGTGTGGAAAGGATCAGAAACAGTTGATAATGTAGCATGTAAGTATTGGTGTGCACTGCAAGGTTCTGGAGTCATCAAAATCATAATAAATTTGACCGAGTCTTGGTAAAGTAACAAGCACTCACATAGAAAGCTATATATGGGACAACACACATGGTGTCGGGGCTAGTACTACCTTGAATTCCTTGTCTTTCTATGCTCATTACTCAGCCAGTATACATTTTCTTCCAAAATTGTTTGGCACATGTCATTTATTTGTAATCTTGAACATTCAGTGTAAGTTTCGTTTGATTCTGTGAGAATTAATTATTTTTTTTTTTACCAGTACAGGAGTTTATCTTTAAGTGGGAGGAAGGTAAGTGAAAACTTTCATACAAACAAAGTTAATTTTTCCACTGATCGCGAAGAAGGAACCAATTTACTAGTAACCTCGTTTTTGTGAATCACATTGACCTTCTCATCATCTCTCATGAAGCCTGGGAGGGGGTAGCAGGAGAGGAAGGGGGTAGTGGATATTATTGCCCTAAAACACCCATTTTCACGTCTTTATCTTTCAATCTCTCACCGTTTATATCCAGCCTGCCTATGGTCGTGATAGGCTCAAAGCCTGGTACGGTTACAGAGCAGACGTATACTCCTACGTCAGACCCCCGAACCGTATCAAACTGCAGGCGTTGCATGGTGCTAAGCGTCGCTCGGGACCCTAGGCGAGTCCATTTTGTCGTAGGGGTGGGGTTGCCATCGCCGATACACTCCATCTGGGCAGGACTACCTTCATCAACGGATATACTGATTGGTACCTCAACCAGTCGTGGACCATCTGTAAACAAAGAAAAATCATTTGATGCGATTGGGATTTGATTTGATTACAATACAAAATTATTTTTCATGTATTTATTGCATATATGTACATGTGTGCTATAGCAAATTTTAATAATAAACTAGATGGAATTCGACTGCGCGCAGTCGAAAATGATGCCTCCGTCATAGAGCAATTTTACAAACCAAAACGGAAGAAATTTTTCAAATTCAAGTTCAATTGTAATCCATTAACAGGTTCTCAGAATATCGTGATTACAAACAATTTCTCATATACATATATGACCCTTTGAACTTTGACCTCATGATCCTAATATCTACTCAGCTCATTGGCTCTGCAAGATATCCAGAGTTAAATAGTAATCCATCTGTCAGTTCTAATGAGAATGCGTTCACAAGCTATTTTTGCATACATAATGAGCCCATGACCTTGGACCTTATGAACCAAGAATCTACACAGTTCATTGGCTCTGCAAGATACATAAATGATCTAAGTTTGGCAGGAATCCATCAATCTGTTCTAATAATAACGCGATCACAAGCTGTTTTTGCATACATAATGGGCGCTGTGACCTTTGACCTTTGACCTCGTTACCCAAAATCTAATAAGTTCATCGGCTCTGCAAGTAACATACATGACCTAAGTTTGGCAGGAATCCATCAATCGGTTCTTGAGATAACGCGATCACAAGCTGTTTTTGCATACATAATGAGCCCTGTGACCTTTGACTTTTGACCTCGTGACCCCAAAATCTAATCAGTTCATTGGCTCTGCAAGATACATACATGACCAAAGTTTGGCAGGAATCCATCTATCGGTTCTTCAGATAACGCGATCACGAGCCGTTTTGCATACATAATGAGCCCTGTGACCTTTGACCTTTGACCTCGTGACGCCAAAATCTAATCAGTTCATCGACTCTACAAGATACATACATGACCAAAGTTTGGCAGGAATCCATCAATCGGTTCTTCAGATAACGCGATCACGAGCTGTTTTTGCATACATAATGAGCCCTGTGACCTTTGACCTTTGACCTCGTGACCCCAAAATCTAATCAGTTCATCGACTTTGCTAGATACATAAATGACCAAAGTTTGGTAGGAATCCATTGATCCGTTCTTCAGATAACGTGATCACGAGAACGGGACGTACGTACAGACGTACGTACAGACGTACGGACGGACGGACGGACGGACGGACGGACGGACAACCCGAAAACATAATGCCTCCGGCTACTTCGTAACGGAGGCATAAAAAGGGTCTATAGCCATTCTCATTGACATCAACACTGTCGAAGTCACTGCCATCATCATCATTTCTTCTTATATTCCTCGTAACTCACATATTTCAAAACAAGTATCAAAGACCCTGCATCGCTGAATGTTTCAAAGGAAATGACGCCAGCATAGAAAACATGCAGTGATTAATCTTTATCTTTATTATCATCTTCATCTTCATCTCTTTCATTATCATCATCATCATCATCATCATCATCACCATCATCATCATCATCATCATCATCATCATCATCACCATCATCATCATCACCATCATCATCACCATCATCATCATCACCATCATCATCATCATCACCATCATCATCACCATCATCATCATCACCATCATCATCATCATCATCATCATCACCATCATCATCATCATCATCATCATCACCACCATCATCATCACCATCATCATCACCATCATCATCATCATCATCACCATCATCATCATCATCATCATCATCATCACCACCATCATAATTTGTTTACTTACATAATACATTGAGTTCCATGCTTCCTTCTGTAGTACCTATCGTGTTTGTTGCGGAACATTTAATAGTAGCTTTGTGATCTTCCTTGGTAACGAGGAGTTCCATCTGATTGCTTTCAACACCTGTAAGACAAAAAGATTAACGATAAGGTTGTGTTTTGGGAAGGTATTCCGCTTACGATTTTACCTCTAATATCTGTAAAATCAAATCAGTGTAATGAAATGATATTTTATCTCAGATCTTATCTTTCATTTTTATCTCTAGCACATAATACACACTACTTAAACGCCGGCACAAATTTTATGTGAAAGGTAAAATCATATTTAGTTTTTTTTTACAACTCAAGATGCACAGGAAAAGCAACAACTTTTGAAAAGTATGATCCGAGTCGTGTGATCGAAATAAAAAAAAATTAAACAAGATGGAACTTTGTCTGCACGCAGTCGAAAATGATGCCTCTGCCCTAGAGCAATTTTACAAACCAAAACAGAAACAATTTGTAAAATTCAAGTTTGATTGTAATCCATCTGTCGGTTTTAATGATAATGCATGCACAAGCTATTTATAGGCATCCTTAATGAGCCCCATGACCTTCGACCTTCTGACCCAAAAATCTATTAGTTCATTGGCTGTGTAAGATACATACATGAATCTAGTTTGGCAGGAATCCATCAATCGGTTTTTCAGATAACGCGATAACAAGCTATTTTTGCATACATAATGAGCCCTGTGATCTTTGACCTTGGATCTCGTGACCCCAAAATCTACTCAGTTCATTGGCTCTGCGAGATACATACATGACCCAAGTGTGGCGGGAACCAATCAATCGGTTCTTGAGATAACGCGATCACGAGAACGGGACGGACAGACAACCCGAAAACATAAAAAAAAAAACACTGAGTACATTTCTAAAGCAACATTATAGTAGAGTTATCGAGTTGTATTTCACGACTTTAATATGCCAACTAATAAGCCAGTAATTTTTCAAGGAAACCCCAGCAAATCTTAATTGCGCTCTCTCTTCTTTCTTTCTCCTCCTCGAGTCCTCACCCTTATCATCTTGATCTCTCTCTTCTTCCCTGTCCATTCTATTTTCTCTTCCTTTTCTTTTGTTCTATCATTCCATACCATTCCACATTCTTTATTTCCACAAGGCCAATTTCAGGCTTCATTTTAAGATCTCCTGTTCCAATTTCACAACATAATCAATGTAACCTGATGCATTTTTATTGGTACAGTCAAACCTGTCTATAGCGACCGCCCAAGGGAAACACAAAAAGTGGTCTTTGTAGACAGGTTCCTTTAGTAAACATTTCAATGAGAAACGATTTTCAAGGGAAACCAAAAATGTGGTCTTTGTAGACAGGTGATCACTAACGCAGGTTTGACGGTATTACCTACCTGCCAGCGTGTCACCATTCTTGGACCATACATATGACACACTCCTAGGATTGGCATCCACCACACAGCGACAGATGGTGGTCGTTTCTTCTCTGATCTCAGCTGGTATCGTCTCCACGGCAACGACCGGCGCATCTGTGCAACGTAAAACAAAAATATAAATAATATAGATATCTGTGAAGTGTGAAGCCAACCGCACACTATACAATCGTCCTGTGATCTGATTGTCAAAGAAATGGAAACTGCATTAGATAGGAAATCTAAACAAACACTTTCTTCCTGATTTTGATAAGAATACTAAGAAACAGAAGTTTAAAGCATCTAACAAGTCAAGTCAAAATAAAAGTTGAATGAGATTCAAATTGTAGACAATCGCACTACCTGTGTGACGTCACTGCCATTCTGAGCCGATTTAGCTTTTCCTCCTTGCGAGAAGCATGAAATCCCTTTAAATTCTGATTTTCATAATCATATGACTACTTAGATCCTCGATCAATACGATTTTAATTTATTTGAATGTTCGTATCAAATGAAACTGCAAACTCTAAGCCCTTCTACTCTACTCATGTATTTGGATTTTTTTTTTTGGGGGGGGGGGGCCCTAATTCTGAAGTTATTGAGCTAAACCACAAAATGTGGGATGATTTCTCGAAAGCAAAATGGGAAAGTATTGTATGCTTATGATATTATAAACATCAAAACATGAAAACATAACTAATTTGACAGGGGCAAAAAAATCATAGATTAAAAAGCTCAAAAGTGTTGCCAATTAAAGGATCTTAAAGCTTAATTCATTTTTTAAAATTTAAATTCCTGGTATCAAACACAGTATGGTCATGCCACAAAACATGGACACAGGAGTATGCAGAAATTTCTTTCTACTTATACATCTGGAAATTTGTTTGGGCCCTAAATCAGAAGTTATTGAGCCTTTCTCGAAAGTGAAATGGGGAAGTATATTCTTCTTATGTGATAATGAACAATAACTGATGAGGTTTACCCACTGAAATAGATGTGAATGCGCCTTTCAGAGGCTTGATGAAGATCTCATCTGGTATTACTGGACTACACCCTGCAAAGTTCATTGACCTTTAACCCTTAGCCCCACCTAATGAGCCTAACAGTGGATTCTTGTTAAGTGAGTCATGAAAATGACCTTCACAGATGCAGTTCATTGTGAGCTTGCAAGCAAAAACAGGCTGCTACAGGTGAGAGAGTGTTACATGTTTCAGGAGGGCGTTTCACAGAACTTGTCATCAGTGGCAAATGACAGTTTTTGTTATAAGCTACTGAAATCCTTGCTTCTGATTGGTCATCAACAGATTTGTCACTGATTTTTGACAATTGTCATTGAAAGAAGGCTTTGTGAAACGGGTCCCAGAAGTTTTCAGACACACGACAGCAGATATATATGAAACTTGTTTTTCAGACAGTAATGTCGAGAAATAATCATTGTTTAGCGAGGGGGCGTACAGAACATAAAATCATTTGAAGAAATGTTGTATAAGGAAACTTAGTTTGAAGAGGTCAACAGCTGGCCAATTATCAGCGCGCGCTCACGATAAGCCCCACCCTATTATACAATTTTTATGTGATAAAGCGTTCAGATTAGAGGTCTTGTAGAAATACACCCAACTTTCTAATATAATGGAAGGTGTGGATGTAGAAAAATCTTAGAAACAGATTGGTGACAGTCTGAACAAAACCAGAGAAATAAAGAAAGTTATATATATTTGAAAGTTGAGATCACTAAACATACATGTATGTGAGTCTAAAATTGGTCAATTGCCTGTAACGCATTTGAACAGCAGTATCCCACTCAGTTAGCTGATGATAATAATTTACAGTGTGAACAGCTATCAAATATAGATATCCATGTACATGTACTGGTCCTAAACTGTTCACAAGAATAATGTTACTTAGAATAGAATGCTGAAACGGATGGCTCAAGACCGAGGAACTTGGAGAGACACTTGATGTAGAATTCTGATTGGGTCCCTGAACCTGTCATAAACTGACAGATCACTATTGATGAGAATAAAAAACAAGCTTCCACTTACGTTGCACATCAAAGGTCAAGCCAGCAACGATAGGCTCTGTAACAGCAGCATTGGATGCCCGGCACTCGTACACCAACCCGTGATCATTCAGCTCAGGTGTGATGCTAAGGACACTCACAGCATCCCAAAGCTTTCCAGAGACATCATTTGCGGCTCGTCCTGAACTGTATATGGCACCCTCTAGTGGTGCATTGTCACGGAACCATGCGATGGTGGCGGCAGGGTTGGCACCGTTGGCGTTGCAGGTGAGGTTGACTGCCTCAGAGACTTTGACGGACATCGTTGGACTGCCATCAAGGGATACTGAGCCTGGTGGTCCTACAACCAAGGAGAAAAGGAGAAGATCATGAAGAATTTGAAGGACAACTCTGGCCTAGTACATAATGCAGGGATGCCTGTTACAATTAGTCTGAGGGCCTGAAAATCACCTAGAATGAGCTATTTTGTACACAAAAAAGCTGAAATGATGGCCTGAAAATAAATCACCAGGGCCTACATGTAAATCTGGCATCCCTGATAATGGTTGTTTTCAATAGAGCATACAGAGCAGAGAAACAGATAAACATCATATCTTCGGTTATACCTTTGGTGGAAGAAGCACATAAAACATTGTGACAACAATTAGAGAAGTTATGATGCGACATCGTTGGAGTGCCATCTAGGGATTTATAAGTGCTATAAACATGGTACTTTTTCTCGCCCTGACAGGAAGATGACACTTTCTAGAGGCACAGCGCAAAATAGCTCCAAATAGTTCCCTTTCCATTCAAGCCCCAATGCACTAGTTTGGCCAGGAGGGATTAGACCTCCCTGCATGGTCACTGACAGGTGGTTATCTCATCAAATCAGCTCTCAATTAACAAAAGAAAAGGGGGATCATGGGGGACAAATGGTCACCGATTAGGCATTGTTTGCTATAAAGAGGTCGCAAGTAGCTATAAGCAGTGCAGTGGGGGTTTAAGCATGAACCTAATACCCAATACCTGTCCGACTTACTCTGGACGGTGAGTTTCGCCGTGTGGGAATTGAGTCCCGCATCCATCGCGCTGGGAGTCACCTGACATTGGTAGAGCCCGTCGTCTGCTAACGCTACACCCGTGATCTTCAGGTTATACTCCCCGGCAGACGCGTCTCCCTCGATGGCATACCGCGAGAGGCCTGGAATCGTGACATCCTTGTCAGAGCCGATGTGCTCGCCGTCTTTTATCCAGAACAGCTGGCCAGACTTCTCTGCTACCACGCACTGGAGGGTCACAGCCCCAGCACCGAAGTTGACGGCGGTATCTGCAGGCTCTTGCGTTAGACTTTGGGTAGCATTGGCTGAATATTGATGAAGGCGATAAACAGAAAAGGAAGATAATTAAAAAAATGAACTGAAAGAAAGAAGGCATTGATCCACTGCAATACAAGTTATATCTCTACCGTTGATATCCTGCATTTATTATCAAAAACAACAAAATCCAAAACAAAACACCCCACCACCAACAACAACAAAAACAGAAAACCACTAAAAACAACAAAACAAATGTAAAATTTAAGAGATTTTGTAAGATTAATTTTCATAATTTTCTTCTCTCAGTCTCTGCATATAAAGACTTTGATTTTGGGCACCCATGTGTCCAGGGCGCCTGTTAGTGAAGAGCTCTCATTTAGGTTTAGACCACCTTCACAAATTTGGGTCAAAGGGTCTATGGACACATAAATATAAGAAGAGCTAATTTCTGACTAGAAAAAGATGTTTAATCCACAGCCTACATTACATGTATAAATTCAAATGTGTACGATAAATTGGAATTTGAATTTGAAGTGAGCACCGTAGTTTCATTACGGGTGGGGTAAAAACACCTGAATCTGAAGACTAGTTAGTCTAGTACTGGAGAAGCTGTTACACTTCATCACAGTGTTGTTTATACTTCAAACCTGTCTTGTTTGTGGCAAAGTATGGCTAGAGGCAAGAGAAACAAGGTCAAATTCCAAAATGAGTCTTCAATCTTTGCTAAAATCCAACATAATAAATGAAAGAGCCCACCAGTTATTTATGATGTTACAGGTACTTTCAAAAATTCTCGCACTTACAAGTTACATGGGTGTATACTAATTACTATTTTTTTCAAATGTAGCTACTGGTATGAATTAATAGATTCATTAAAGATTTGTTTAGATCTCTTACTTTATTTATTTAAAATAACAAGAGAAAGCATGTAAAAAAGAACTTTGAAGTCTACGCTACTGCCTGAAAACTAAATTCACAGGACAGAACAAGGCTGAAAAATAATACACATAATTATACTTCTACAGAAAAAGAAAAAGAAATATGCAACGGAAATAATGAAACAAGAGATGAAAATAAACAATATGCAAAATATAGAAATTGATGATTTGTGTTGTATAAAGTAATCATAGACTTATCAGTACATTTGGTATTTACTAACACAGGTATATAGTTTATATTTCCCATGAAATATATATGGTAAAATATGTTTCACTTTTGAAAATACATGTTTTATAGTCAGACAAAAAGGTAACGGGGCATTGTGAATGTTCAAGCAATGTGCATCACACTTCCTCAAACACACAACAACAAAAAACGCCTCAGGTTTGCCGCTTCATATCTAAAAAGTAAAATGAGGCTACATTGGTGTTCTTCACATTGTTGCTTTGAAAAAACGGTCCCTGTCTTCATCCATAGAAACCACCACCAGTCTCTGATGTCACATCAAGTAGTGTTTGATGCCATCAATGTCAATGTTTATCACTCATGAAGCAAGCCCCAGCAGGACTATTACTGTCCCGCAGAGAGACCACTGTCACCACTCTCTCTAGGTCTGATTTCATCAGCTCGAGATTGCCAAATAACCCGCTATTTCTGATTTGAGAAATGAGCCCAAAGTTACATATCACGCTTTCATAAGCCTGAGACTCGACCTCGAAACTCGAAACTCGAAACTCGAGCTTGAGATATTTTGCTCAGAGTTCCTGCATAGTTTGAGTCTTCGGGCTGGTGAAGACACACTGGACAAATAGTGGGATATTTTGGAAAATAGGAGGATATTTTGCAAACTAGCCCAAGATATCTTGGGATGATTATCTCGATCAAATATCCCGCTAATTGCAACTGCGGGCTGATGAGGACGCAAATTAACTGGATAATTTGCGATCAGGATAGTTAAAATGGCGGATTATTTGGCAATCTTGTGCTGATGAAAACAGGCCTATTGATTCCCAGAATACTCTGCAGGCACAATCCCTTATTGGTTGATGCGCATACATGTAACAGTGCCTGCACTGTGAGACTAGGCCGACAGCATACTGCATGGGCTCCATACTTTAGCTTCTTTGGACACAACCAGAGACCGACATATCTAGGCTCTGTTCAAGGCTCTAGGAATTGCAATAAAGTGTCAAATTAGAGTCTGTGTCTATAGACTACTCCTGGTCTGATCTAAGCTATGGGTAGGCTCCTTATACAGGCTCTATAATACATAGACGATTGGTGTCATGAACATTGTTGCTTTGAAAAATGATACCAATCTTTATCTATTGAAACCCAGCAGTGTTTGGTGCGATCAATGTCAATGTTTATCACTCATAAATCAAATCTCAGCAGAACAATATGACCCGTGGAGAGACCACTCTCTGATGATCCGACCTAAGCAATAAGTAGTCTCTTAATACAGGCACTACAATACATGAACTATGTTTATGTGGGACTCTAGACAACATTGAAGTTATAAACATGACAATGCTTCCCAAGGGCCCGAAATAACAAGTATTCAAAGTTTTAAACTAAAAGCCTGGTTAACTTCAAAATTACAATTTAGTACCGTTACCAACCATAAAATCACTCATTCATTAGGCCTGTCCTCATCAACTCAAGTTTGCCAAATAACCCGCTATTTCAACTATCCCGATCGCAAATTATCCAGCTAATTTGCGTTTTCATTAGCCTGCAGTTGCAATCAGCGGGATTTTTGGTCGGGAAAATATCCAGAGAAATATTGGTCTTGTTTCCAAAATATCCAGAGCTTCGAGATAATATCCCGAGTCTGAAAATGGCAGGTTATTTGGCAAACTCGAGCTGATGAAGACAGGTGATGGTTTATAACTTTGTAAGTAACCCTGAGTGCATCCACATGGTCCCTTACTTCAAGATACTACTACTTTGACGTTTACAACCACGACCTGAAGTTAAAGCTAATGGACTGTCCTATAAATCTAAGTACACTGTATTGGCTGTTTAGAGCCAAAAGGGCATTAAAAAGAAATCCAAACCTGATATAGAAATTAGCTTTAATTATACAATGTTTCCTACTACTGTCAGGGCTTAAATTAATCCAAGGCCATGGCCATGGATGCCCTTTTGATTGGCCTCAATGCCCCTCTCATTGGCCTTGGAAATTTGTTGTGCTCTTTCCAATTCTTCCTATTTGTGCTGTAATATAGGAATGTGCTCTATAGAAAAGTGGCCTTGCCCTAAAAATATTGAAATTTAAGGCCTACAGTATATGGCTGTATAGCTGTACATCTACGAAAATATATCTTCTACCACTACCAGTCTTCAAGATTACAGTGAATTCCATGGAAGCATGCCAAAATATGGCAGACTTGGCAAGAAGTTTTATAAATTGTATAGAAACAACCTTCTGGGGTCACGACTTCTAGTTACAGTACTTTGAAATAATGAAAGAACAAATATAAGAGAATATCCAAACAGTAGATGACTTCAGCCTGGATTACATTTATTTTACGATAGTACGATTGTAAGAATTTTTAAGAGTTCGTATTTGTGAAAACCATACATTTTTTAATCTGAACTCTCATTTTTGTGAATGTTTATCACTTTTCTTAAACTTTGTTCAAGCACCTTCCAGGTAATTTTCTCCTTACCCTTCAAAAGTAGATCAATATAAAATGATGTAAGTACTTTCAAGGCCATGGCAAGAAACTTCTTTTGTAACAGATCATGGCTCCTGTATTTTGGCATGGAACATGATTTTGGCAAAGACTGTTCGCTTTATCTCACTTCAATATCTCCTGTGCATGCACCTTGCAAGGATTTCTTGGCCTAGCAATATTTCATCCTATTGTTACTATGACTACCACCAGGGCAAGAGGTTGGTAGATTAGAGACAGGTATCCAAGGTCAAAGGTCAAAGAGTGCTCAGTGAAGGGGCTTGTCATCACAATCCTAGCTCCTTAATAGTCTTAATACTCAGACCATTTCTACAAAAAAATGCAAGATTGTTGGTGACGAACATATTTTTGACCACATATATACAAAAGTACACCATGTCTAGACACAAAACAAACTACAATTTTGGCCTTTAACAAGCAACAAAGTTTATTTACGTCTGCACATAAAATTTCTTTAAATTTGACTCGGATCTTGTTTTCAATTTAAGCAAATGAGACTGTGTAACTATAGACTAATTATCTCCAAAGGTATGTGTCCTATCGATTTATGAGAGAGTTGTGTGAATAACTGCATGTTGTATTTGATGGATGTAGTTTGCTATGAAGACATACAGTTGTAGGTTCAAATCTTTGGTTCAAATATAGGTGAAATTGATCAGTGACACTTTAGTTTTAAGAAAACCCCCCCAAAAACGATTTTTCCTTTTTTTAGCAAAAGAAACATGAATTTCTTTTTTCTCTATTGAAATGTTTATTACAGGCCATTAGGCCAACATCGTATTATTAGACGTTGTTGTACGCAATCCCTGTAATATGCAATTCATTTGTCAAGAACCAAAGAGAGGGATTTATAACCTGCCCCTCTCTCTCTCTTTATCTCTCTCCTTCCCTGTCCCTCCCCCCTGTCCGCCTCTCTCACTTTCTCTCCTCCCCTCCCTCATTTACTGTAGTCATAGCAACTCTCAATGAAGAACATAGTTTTAACCATTTCAATTATAGAGTAATTTGAATTAAAATATAAGTAGTTACCAGGCATGACAGATTTTCTCACGTTTGAATAACATACATACAACAGCTCATGCACTAATGCCAAATGAAATGCCTCCAACCTAAATTAAAACCAAGAATTATGATTTTGCTACAATCAATTTTAGGTACAAAAAGACTGTTGATTGTAGTTAAAATGGATTCACAACAAATTATTAACTTGTTCATTACTTAATCCCTGCATTTTCTGAGCAAATTTACCAGTTGATATAACTTTGGGGGACATTTCTACCAGTTTTCTGAGGTGATCCCTAAATTGCCTTAGGGTCCATGTCAAACACTTGCTGTTACTGGTTTACATTTGTGGTTAGCCCCATGCTGTTTCAAATTGAAAGTGATTTAGAAATCAATGGGTTTCTTGTTGCATTGGCAAAATATTCCTACAGGACAGATTACAAGTTGCATGAAAACACTGTTTCAATACTCAAAATGACAGGTCAAATGTAGGGATATTCTCAAAATGGATAAGACTTGAGGAAAAGAATCAGATTGAACCTGTTTTTAGGCCCTTTTATTAAATAGGGAAGCCATTACGTTGGTTTTAAAGGGGAAGTTCATCTTAATATGAAGTTGGTATCAATAGAAGCAGAATAGTGAGATGGAAAAGGTCAGTGAGAGTTTCAGCAAAATCCAATAAAATATAGGAAAGTGGTGAATTTTTAGGTTTTTATCAGTGAAACACACAAATTGACAACACTGTGACATATCTTGCGAGGTCCTCTTCATTTTGCTCTGGACAGGACATTTCATAAACTTCTTAAATATTGATGACAGAATACATTTGTTTCATAATCATATAGGGGTTGTGTACAAATGATTTTCAAAAATTATGTTTAGGGTGTATGTACACATACAGTGTATGCATGATTGAAGAAAAAAAATTAGAGAAATTTTTAGAGAAAACAGAAATTTCTGAATACTTTTACTTTTTTAGTACAGAACACATGGGAGGGGACCTCACAAGACACGTCACAGGGCTACCAATTTAATTTTATTTACCTACATGAACAAACGAGAGGCAAACATATGTTTGCCAAACTGTTCATGCCATTCTACAGTACATGATCCATGTATATCCTCCTCCTCCTCCTCCTTCTTCTCCTTCTTCCTTCTTCCTCTTCTTCTTCTTCTGTGAATGAAGTCCTCCACCTCATGTCCCCTCCTTCTTCTCCTCCCCTTCCTCCCTTTTCTTCTCCCTTATTCTTCTTCCTTTCCTTTTCCTTTTTTTCTTGTCCTTCTTTTTTCTCCTCCCTCTTCTTCTCCTCGACCTCTTCTTCTTGAAGAAAGATATTTTAACTTGTGGCAAGCAAAATCAAACAAATTTCTAAATGTTATTCCCCTGAATCGACATTTGTGGGAATTTTCTGCTTCTATTGAAAGTAGGTTATTTTTGGAGTGGACTTGCCCTTTAAAGTTTAAATTAACTTTCTGGACACAGAACATCTGGGTACACATGATTGCTAAAACAATGACAAAGTAGACCTACAATTTACATACCGATACCGGTAGGCCTAGACCTACATGTACATCAAGAATGAAGAATCGGACTAGGCCTAGATCTATGGTCTACGCGTATATTATAACTCCACATAAATGTAATGATGCCTTCGTTCGTATGTTGCCAAGATCAAACAAAGCAAAGAAACAGAAACAGAAACAAAGCAACAAACATGCAAGACTTTTAACCATTGATTCATTGCAATTTGCATGCATACAAAATTACAAATACAATTCCATGCTCACACAACTACACAAGTTGAATCCAAATTACTAGTGAATCAATCAATTTACCATACTCTAGATGTACGCAGGATGATAAAAGAAGACAAATCAGTACACAACAGTTCACCGGAATTTCAGGGAATAACATGGTTGCCTGATCCAGGAAAGAAAGGCTAGGCCGAGATGCAGATGAAGTGTTCTTGATCTCGTGGAATTTCACTCTCCTCACCTGGGCCGAGACTCGGCTTCAATCTCCAAATCCAATTTATTTAACACTTTGCGAAAGCGAAAAATCTGGTTATTGGAACCAGCAAAGAAGTAGAATAGAATCACACGATTATGCGCATTATGCAGGTTCCAAATTTGTTGTTTTTATGTTTTTATAAACGTAGGAATATCAAATATTTTGATTTAGAAAACACCTTCCCAGTCCTTGCTCGCATCACATAAAGTTTAGTCACGCACGCATCTCTTGCCTTGTAATTGCGCCGAGCCTAGCCGGGTACGAAAGCTACATGCCACCAAGTCCACACGATACAAGTGAGATTGTGTATGGATGAGGGATGAGGCGGACCCCGATCTTCAAGTGAAACTTTTCGGTGACGCTATTTTGATTGACAGGCGAGAAACGGGTGGCGTTACCCCAATTTCATTGCATGTAGTTCTTGCGACCAATTTTGTGCAGTGAAATTTCTTTACAAAGATAGTGAAAAAAAAAGTTACTAGTTAAGTCTAAAGGAGAAAAAATATGATTTGGAAGACTTTTTATAAAGAAAACTGCATTTATTGATGTCAAGACTTTCTCAATCAAGAAATGTTATCAAGTGAAGATAATTTGACTTATGGGAGTTTCATTTATAGTTCTAGTCGATTGAGGTACTAAGTAAGCCCATGATATATAGGGACCGTCTCCGACATTGCATTTATATGCGATTCAACTAGACTAGACTAGCACGGCGATCAACAACGTTACAAGCGCAAGGAACACAATTTGTCTGCAGTTGTCATTTCAGTCAAGCTAGGACTAATTCTAAAGATTTGCTGATATCTAGGTGAGTCGTCGTTATCTATAAATTGTAGTGTACGTACTATGATATTTATAATTGTTTACAAGTTATCAATGAGTCAATATGCAATGAGAAGAGGAAAGTGAAGAGGGGAGGTGGAAAGAAAGAGAGATCGAGATCGAGAGAATGGCACGTAGGAGTAGCGCAGCTCGGTGTGATCTTCATTTTTTATTTTTTTATGCGCTTCCGCGATTTTTCTATAATTATTGCCTCACGTTTCGTAGTAAGAAAATAGTTTCTTAGTTAGAGTAGACAAGGTAGGAAACATGACTCAAACTAAACAATACTAGAGCCTAGAAATACTTGATTAAAAGTTTAGTCTTTATTAATTATGTTGAAAAGCAGTAAAGGCAGTTCTGTTGAAAATAATTTGGTAAATAAATGCTAATGACGGCAGACTGCAGAGACGGTCCAGAGACCAGAGTTTGTTGTCATAATCATGGCAGTCATTTTTGTTGAAATTGAAAAGAGTGAAAGTTCTCGATCTAAAATGTCTATAGCTTCATTAAGATGTAAAAATATAAGTAGGCCTAGACCTCTATAGTATAAGAACAATTCACCTAGTAGATCTATCATCTAGATCTAGGGTCTACATGTACCTCATAAAATCACGCATGGAGCTGGAGGAAGTTGTTAACAATTGATTATTTCCTTGATTGAGGCATTGAGCCAGGGCTGCAACTGCTAACTATTAAACGTAATACATTTCTGATGTTCTGCTTCCCTATAACTTGGCTAGATCATGTACTAAAATGGAATTGTTGTGTGTGTACTGACTACTGACAAGGCTTTGATTTTGACAAGTGGCAGAATAGAACTAGAAGAATAGTTAAAAGATCAACTGTGCATCTGGCAAGCAATCTGACAAACGAGGAAAGAAAGATTTAGAGCGTTCTACCAACATCATCAAGTTATTTGATTTGATTTGATTTGATTTATTTACCAACAGCAATACATTCCATACATTTTTATACAATAATTACATATACAGAAAGAGAAACTATTGGTTGGTAAAAGGGGCCAGGTAATAGCACATGTGCTAGTCGAGCCTAACCCCTTAAACAGCTAAACAAAGTATTTTGGTACAAATCAGTTTAGAGAACGTAACAAAACAAAAAATGATTAATTTACCGTTACAATCGATACTTTATAGAAAAAACAATGCTGCAGTCCTGGCCGTTTGGTCAAAGTTTGGTGTTGTACTTTTTTGTAGTATATGATGTTACTCTGCTCATCTACTAGACTATTTTTTTGTAAATAAATGTTTTAACAAAGAAGAAGTAGGCCTACTGTTGTGAAAGTTGAGCTAATCTGTGCAGGATTTCAGAGCAGTTCCTTTGAGTTTCATTGTGAGGATAGTAATTGATAGCTTCCCATCGTTGAAAAGAATCACCCAACTGTGTAAGCTGTTACAAGATCATTACCTAATCTTGTTGCAAAGCTGACAAAGGCCTGAATAAGATCAGTTACATTGTACATACAACAATGAGGATCAATTATCCCAGCAGTTTACGACCAACAAGAGGTTTTTGTGTGTTTGTTAGCCAAGATTTGATTGTAAGTAAACTTGTAAAGAATGGTGGCATGAAAATACAATGACACAGGTCAACAATGGATAGATCAGTTACTGATAAACTAATAAACTAATGTTTACTAACATGTATTCAAATTGTATGCCCACTTTTTGAACAAAGGTTGTTCTTGACAACCTAAAAGCTTGACTGAGGATCGCCTGACATAGCAGCAAATAATGTAAATGTGTGCAGACTGGATTCCGAGTATTGTTGTTCATTCAATTAATAACGGGTTAATGGAATAACTCATCGTCCTCTGGCAGGAAAGGTCCATAAATCTGAATTTTAGTAAATCGGTCTATTGGGGTTGGGGAGATGGGTAATATTAAACGAATTGCTTATATTGTAGAGGGGGGGGGGTGGAATGTTGTAGAATGATGAAAGTAAGAGATTGTAAACACACACAAAATTTGATATATTTGATTTATATGTTTGATTGATCACAACTTCAAACTTCATACCTTATTTCTAATCAGATTTTGCTCAAACTTTCACTAAACTGTTCCTCTCATTTTCGTTCTGCTTCTATTAAAAACAACTTGATATCAGGGTGGACCCCGGCCCCCCCCCCCACTCCGGGGTCGGAATGACCCCATGCGTGTTACCAAAATGTCCGGTAAAGGGGTACTTTTCGTGCGACAAAGTCCGGCCCGAGAATTGTAAAAAAAAGGGGTGTATTAACTTTTCACCCGAAGATTTCTTTAAAAAGGGGGTGTTTTTTTTTTTTTTTTTTTTCTTGTCTCTTTGGACTCCTGAGAAATTATTCCGAATTTAGGGGGGTACATTGAGCATTTTTCATGATTTAGGGGGTCTCCAAGGCAGGAAAAGCCCGCAAAAAGCCTGCGAAAGGGCAAGGGGGGGGGTTCGGAAATGTTGGCAGTCCTCAGATAGGGGGTGCTTTCAAAAAGAGGGAACGAGCATATGCTTACCCTAAATAAAACTGAGTAGGGGGGCCGGGGGGTGGACTCCTCCTTCAAAACCCTATTTAGATGCTTTCAGTAAGTTCAGTACACAAGTCCCAAAATGTGCCCTTCTGAAGGAAGTGATAACATTGTTTGCTTGCCACCATTGCTAGAGAACTTTAGACTAAAAAGGCACCGCTTAAATTCAGATAGTCTCCTTTTTTTCTTCCTTTTCTTTTTTTCTTTCCTTTTCTTTTTTTCCTTGCTTGTCATGAAATTGGGGGAATATTGGAATTTTGTGCCCCTTCTTTTCCAAAATTTGAAATCTGTGTCACTGGACAAGCCAATAAGATAAGCCTGTGCTCGTGTAGACTAGACATCTCCTGCTGGTTCTTCAAGTGGTCTAAGGTCAAAGGTTGTATTACCACTGTGAAGTTACCAAAAAGTAATACAGGTGGATGAACTGGATTTGGGAGATTCAGTACCCCAGAAAATCTTTCTTTCCCTTCTGAAAGGCCATTCATACTAGAAGAAACTTTCAAAAAAATTGTATTAATTTTAAGGATTGTCATAATAACAAAGAACCATTGTAAAGCGAAGAAGATGTTCACAGATAATGTTAAAGCCTAAGGTAATGTTAACGATAGTGCTGGTGTTGATGATGAGGAGGAGGAGGCAGATATTGACGGTGATAATGATGACATCAACAAAGGTTATGATGATGATGATGAGGATGACATCATCTGACCCTGAAAGAAAGTAGTTTTGGGGAGGACATCACCTTGCACTGTATGTTTGTAGTGTGCCCATGTCATGGGCACTGCTCAAGCTTTACAAAAATACAGCTTGCCTGTCACATTGGCGGTGGCGCTACAGATTATAATCTGTTTAAAAAAAAAACCTCCAGAGATAGGTTTTTAATCATTCATATATTTCATCATGTTTATAGGTAGTTGCCTGGCAACTTCCGTTAAAACTCAGGAATGTGAGAAAAACTCATGGTTTTCGCTAGCAGTGTAAATGCTGCTTACATGTATTGCAGCCTTTTCACACACAGCTAAAATTCATCGTATCTAGAGATGATTTACGAGCCTTTCACACACAGAAATTTCGTTGCGATCGTTAATAGTTTCGTGATTAACTACTGCTCGTGAAATGCGCAGTAGTGCTATTGCGCATTGAAGGTCATGTCATATCAATCAAAGCGCACGCTCCATCCAGTTTAAACACGTTTAAACACGAATTTCCTTTCACACACAAAATGTCAAGCTCTCTAGATACGAACTTCGTTTCTGCAGCCTGCTTTTAGGGGCGTATGGATCGCGACTTTGTATCTATCCCAACATCGTATAAACGATGTTCACACTGGGAAATTTTGTCTATAAACATGTTTAAAACTGTCGAGTGATTCTAATCATCTCTAGATACGATGAATTTTAGCTGTGTGTGAAAAGGCTGTAGAATCACTCAACAGTTTTAAACATGTTTATAGACAAAATTTCCCAGTGTGAACATCGTTTATACGATGTTGGGATAGATACGAAGTCGCGATGCATACGCCCCTAAAAGCAGGCTGCAGATACGAAGTTCGTATCTAGTGAGCTTGACATTATGTGTGTGAAAGGTTATTCGTGTTTAAACGTGTTTCAGACGTGTTTAAACTGGATGGAGCATGCGCTTTGATTGATGTGACATGACCTTCAATGCGCAATGGCACTACTGCGCATTTTACGAGCAGTAGTTAATCACGAAACGATTAACGATCGCACCAAAATTTCTGTGTGTGAAAGGCTCGTGATTAGTTTAAACACGTTCGAAACACGTTTTATACTAGTCATGTTTATAGAATTTTAGCTGTGTGTGAAAAGGCTGCTGGATGTACACCCTGTACATGTGTTTTACTATTGTAATGGTGGGACCTTTTTTACACTATCTTCTTGATCACCATGCATCTCATTTAGCTCATACAGTTGTGACAACAGCCTCTGTTGATTGATAGCTGTAACCTAAACATGTGGGGAGACTCAACCTTGCAGAGTTTATACCAATCACATCACACTTGCCTGAACTCTCCCATAAACACTGCACCCCCATTCATAAACAGGAGCTTAAAGGGGGATATCAGATGTTATGTCTTGATAAAAAGGTTACTTTGGCTTCAAAGAGATAGTATCTCTTTGCTTTCTCCATGGACCTGCCTACTATACTTGCATTGATGATATCATGGACATATATTACATGTATACATATTACATATTCATGATGAGGTACACAATTATATATTGGCCTATACATACATGTACAGATGTATAATAAACCACAATAGGTTTGATTTGATTTGATATATATAAAGTGTACATAATATACAAACATACATCATCATTATCATTATAGTAAACACGCATGTGAATTATCAGGTGTACAGTGTAGTTGAGATCTCTGATATAATGATAATAATAATATTCAGCTTTTATGTAGCGCTTAATACATCTCGGACGTCTCTAAGCGCAAGGTATCTGTTATAACTTATAACAAGGTGATTTTGCTGGTCCCAGCTTGTTATATTCCTATGTTTTTTACCCTGATATAACAAAATTCCTGATATATTATAACCAGGTAATTTCCATGGTCCCAATGACCTTGTTATAACGAAGTTCCACTGTATTCTGTTATATTAGTAGTTAGACAGTGAATTTACATCAAGTGACAAGCCTGAGAAAGGATCAAGATGAAATACCAGTCTTATCTTTGGCCATGAGAAGTTATCATCTCTTTCTGTTTTCCTTTCCTTATCTCCCCCTACCACAGGTTCAAAGTGAAGAGATACCAGATACATTCTCCAATCATGAATCACAACTCCACCATATGTGGACGCCATCTTGCTTTGCTCATTGTATACATCAGTCTTTGCCTGCAAGTCTTTCCAGGTAAGTTGTGTAGGTCTGTGGTTTGAGTGTATCATGAATGGTTTTAGTGTGCATTCATAACTTTGTTTTTGTTTTGATCAATGTAAACTTGGATCAAAAAAGAAGAAGAAGAAAAAAGAAACATGATTGCACCTTTAATCTTTCAGTTTTTATTGGAGAACATCTTTTGTTTTAAATGTTGTTCTTAAAATTTGTTCTTGGTACTTGGTAGATTAGATAATCCTTAAAAAAAACTCCTTATGAAATATTAACTGGAGATGTCCAGTCAACAATTTCATCAAAAAATTGAAATTGAGTTTGTGTGGGATTTAATTTTGTCTCCTTAAAAATAAAGTAGAGTTCTGGTCATGCGATTGCATATTGAAATTTGTGGGGTGGAATTGATCAGAAAGGGTTTATCATCTAGCATATAAGTATTGGTGTGTACTGCAATGTTCTGGAATTATCAAAATGATAAGAAATTTGGCCCAGTCTTGGTAAGTTACAAGCACTGTATACAGAAAGGTGTATATGGGACTACACGGCCATGTGGCATAAAAATCTGTCCCGATTTTTATGCTGTTACATGCCATATAAGGTATTTGATAAACCATGTTTTTCAGGGAACATGATTTATCTGATTTCAGTCTTCCACAAGTACACTTGCATAATACAATAATAATGCTCACAAATTAGTTTTCACCTCTTCCCAGAACTCAACCTTCTCTTTGACCTTACAACTCAAAATTTTGAATTTAAAATGAATACACATTTCAGCAAAAAGATGGTAAATGTTCATTTTACTTGTAGTATCACAACATTGCAGGACTAGGCCTACTTTATACACGTATAAAGCTGCTGGAAGAAGAAAATACCGTAACTATCTATTTCCCATCACACTGTAAAAACTGCATTTAAACTCCACAAACATTTGGGAAATGGATTGAGAACTTGACCTTTTGGCAGAAATTCTTCTGATCTCATAAAGATTTATCATTTCCACCTGTCTCTAGCTCCAATAAAACCTAAATGTAAGTGTAGTAAAGCCCAGCACCTTTGTGCACCAAGCAATATACATGTACATGTAGGCTTTAATACACTATATCTTACTTTTCACAAACAATCTGAAACTTGCAAGTTTGTACGTCAGGGTATAATATTTCCTCCTTTTTTGTGTTTTCCCTTTGTGTTACTGTTCTTCTTTTATCTCTTTCTATTCTCTAATTGTTATCTTTTCACTCTCTATATAATCCTTGTTCCCTCTCTGTATCTCCTTATCTCACCCTATTCTGCCCCCTCTCTTGTTTAACCTCTCTCCCCCTCTCTCTCTCTCTCTCTCTCTCTCTCGCTCTCTTGCTCTCACCCTCTCTCTCTTCTGCATGCACCCTATCTCTTCTTGGTTCTCTTTCTCCCGCTGCCACTCCAACTTCCAAGCCAAGTCATTTTTCAGGTTTCCATGAAAACCAAAATGTCTGCCTGTTATTTACCCTCTAGCCTTGTCCCCAGGGGCATTTTATATTACACTGCTGCACCACAGGAATCTGACAGCTACAGTTTACCTTGGCATAAGTGAACTAAATCAAATATAAGGGGCCTTCTAAAAATCATTTTCCCCTTTTAAAACCAAAGACACAGTCTTTTCTACATGTAATTTGATGTGAAAGTAGATTGGGGTAGGGGGGAGGAGGGAGGCAGAACTGACCCTTACCATGCACTTGTAATGCTGTGTTTAAAAAAAAAATGTGTCCCCCCACCCCGATTGTCTTATTTTGCACACCTTTCAAATTTTCATCACTAAAGGCACCTGAAGAATCTGATATCTGTCTTTTATCGCTTGTTAGAGAATTTTCAGAGTTGTATCTCAAAATCCTTTACATGTGGAAATGAGTTTTTAATTTCGCCTCTTACAAATATGTAATAAAGCTTTATAGAACCAGGTTGTTAATCATTTGATTGATAGTACTGTATCTTCCGTGACCAAAAATTGAAAGAGCTCACTGGTGTTGGAGCGCGCGATTACACTGCAAAACCTGTGGAGTTTCGGCCAGTGTTAAAAAACCCACCATACTCCAGAGGTCTTTTTCCTCTTTTATACATCATGTTTATGGGAAGTTACCTGACCTAGCAGCTTCCAACAGAACTCTAAAATGGTGAGAAAAAGTGAAAAACCAACATTTTTTTTCTTGAAGTGTAAATGCAGCTAATATCAGAACTGGAATCAGAAAATCCTTTCATCACACGCTGGGGATTAATTTCATAGCACAAAACTGAATTTACTGAATCTACAACCTATTAGCCTTGACTTTCAAACCATTCAAATACCTGTAAGTGTGCACCCCCAATCCTCCCACACAATAGGGTGTTTAACTTTACACAGATTTTCTATTCAGCGGTAAAACCAAATGGCTCCGGGTGTTTGCGCTTGGGATAATTTTTCAGCGTAGTAACACTGTTGTCACACTTTTGTTACAATTTCAGTAAATTGGTCCAAAGGTGTGACCTCTGTTGACCTCGAGGCACTTGGATTTGGTGTTCCATTCCATGACTGGAATTTGGTAAATCCTTCCAAATTATCCCCAGGGTCAGGCCACTCGAAAGGGGCGCGTTTTCATTAGTCCAAGTAACAGAATCGTAGGTCCATGGTTATACCCAATGTTAGAGTAGTTTGCATGCACAAACCCTTGTCTGTGGTTGCGCGTAACAGTGTCTGCAAAATGAGACTATAGTAGGCTCTGCACTTTAAGCTGCTTTACAGCCAGGCTCTGCCCAAGGCTTGAGGAATTGTGGAAAGTGTCAGATAAGATGTCTGTACAGACTGTACTTGCAGACTAGTATTAGGAGAGGTTTTTCCAATAGTGTGAACAGTAGTCAAGCCAAACAAACTATTTTTTAATAAAATTGTTATTGCCTTTCTTGGAGCTTACCAGTGCTAAAACTGCTGATCAATAAATGTAACTTTGTTTTCTATGTCAAAAGAAACCTCAAACTTGGCCTAATATCTCAAGTTCAACCTTTTTTTTTTGGGGGGGGGGGAGCTAATGGGAACGCAGCTATTATCTTGAGGTCAGGCCCTTTCATGAGTCTCTTGAGAAATTAATGTGGCAGAGAAATATGAGGTGGAACAGAATTTCTTGGGAGGGTCTCTCCATCAGGTGGGATAAGCAGGTTTAAAGGTTCCTAATCGGTTTCCACTGTATTCTTTCTCCTTTTTACTCTAAAACCAGAAACTTTGCATATTAAAGGGATCGTTTAACAATGTTAAATCTGAGATACACGGCCTTACGTGTTATCAGTGTCTGTGATATGGTGTAATATTGAAGCCCTAAAAAATTGTGCTTCAAAATTATCAAGAAGTGCCTCAATAAAGTAAAAATCTTTGAGTGACCGGTTTTACCATACTCGGTTTCCCCAATAGACTGTAGTGTTATAAAAACCATCAGGCGAACGGTTTTCAATATTTGTAATTCCAATCATAAATATCTTGATAATCAGACAGGCGATCGGCTTGTAAAAGTCATGGGGTTCCTGACTGACCTTAAGGTTTATAATTATCATTGCCTCATGAGCTAAATCCAGAATTTTGTTTTAGAATCTGAGACAAAGTTACCGGATCCCTTTAAAGTCACTGTATCAAACAAAATTGACTATTTGTGGGAGTTTCAGGACTAGGTGGTAAAGTTTTAGGGACCACCTGTCTACAAAGACCACAGTTTTTGTTTCCCTTGAAAAGTTTTTCTCATTGAAACATGTACTAATTAAACGAACCTGTACACAAAGACTGACCTGCCTATAGAGACCGCTTTTCTTTTTTCCCTTGGGTGGTCTTTGTAGACAGGTTTCACTGTATTATACATTTTTCTTGAATTTAATTTCATCTGTTCATTAAGAATGTATATCATTATCATCTATATATGTTCCTATTTATTTCCTCCTCTTTTGCTTTCCATTGTAATTGTGCAGTCCGCGGCCAGCAGAGCTTTGCTACCACACCAGTGGATACTGAAGTTGTCGAGGGGCAAGATGTGACGCTCGAGTGTGCCATAGACAATCTTCAAGGCAGCATTATATGGTCCAAAGATGACACCATGCTTGGATCAGACAGAACACTACCTGGATACGACAGATATGCAGTTAAAGGTAAAGACTAACCCCCTCCCCCAAAAAACAAACATACTTGTAGATGTTATAGACTAGATTGATTGATGATACTAAAAATGTAGATTTTAATTAATATTTCATTTTGTGCAACTTTATGCTCCTCCTGCCCACCATATTTATCTTGCCAATTCTTTCTCATCTCCCCACGTCTCTCTCTCTCTTTGAGTCTTTCTTTTCTCTCTCCCCTTCTCCAAGTTCTCATACCCTCTCTCCCTCACACGCACACACATACTCAGTCTGACCGTCTGTCTCTCATGTGTGTGTGTTTCTCTTCTTTCTCTCCCTATCCTCTCTCCTCCTTCTCCTCTCTCCTCCTTCTCCTCTCTCCTCCTTCTCCTCTTTCCTTCTTCTCCTCCTCCTCCCTCTCCTCTCTCTCTCTCTCTCTCTCCTCTCTCTCTCTCTCTCTCTCTCTCTCTCTGTCTCTCTCTCCTCTCTCCTCTCTCTCTCTCTCTCTCCTCTCCTCTCCTCTCTCCTCCTCCTCTCTCTGCGATCTCATTCTCCCACAGATTCCACTGTATCCATCACCACACATATGAAAACCGATCTACATCAGATTTGTTCTCCAAATTCGGCTCACCCGAAACCCAAAGAGAAACAGAATTTAAATCTCTCTTCACTCACCTGCGCCCTGCTTCAAAATAATTTCAGAGGTCATCAAAACAAGCATAGATTGGAGGTTTTTAAAGACCCATTGGAAATATGATTTTTACGTTCTCACTGATAGAGACTAAAACCACATGCAATATATCTATATACAGTGTATATATATCTGATATAATATTTCTGCCATACATATCAAATATAATATCAGCCTTTAAAATGTAAAACTGTAAATTGTGCAAATATAAGCTATAATGAGTTATGAAGCCTACATTTTTTTAAATACGATTGTAGATGCACAACATCACTATACACTATACAGTGTTCATGTAACAAAAACAAAACAAAACAAATAGTAAACAAATGAGAAGAAAAAAAAAGAAACAAAATAGAAGAGATACTGGTAAAATGATTATTCAGGTTTTCTATTGATCTTTAACTTTTGGAAGGTATCAGGCCTATTCATGTAAATGCATACAACAACATGTCTATATTATTTGCTTGTGTCATTTATCAGGCTATTTGTCATATCATCTCTCTCCTCAAAGCGTCTCTGACAGAGTCTATGGATAGTGTATAGAGAATGAAAATATAGTAAACTACATGTTAAATTAAACATTTAAATGTTAGATGGAAATAAAGAAAACTGTACAGAAGTATCAAGTCATTATGTATGTGTAGAAGTCAGATAGGAACAACTCATGCAGATAAATCATGGTTGACAAATTATTAACTTTTTTTAAAAGGCTAGGCTTAGCAAGGCTAGATGACTTTTAAGTGATTTAATGGGAATTGAACTTCTCCTGAACTGTGTGACCTCTGACCTGCCAGCCTTGCGTCTAATCCTAATGGCATGTCAAGGGAAGGCTGACTAGTGTTGATTCCAGACTCTGATTTGTGTGGAAGATTTTCATCCGTTAGATGAGGATTGTTGAAGTATTCAGTCAAACAGACACAGTGAAATAATCCTAGTCAAAACAAAAAAGCTTGAAAGTAATAAACAAAATAGTGACAAAATAGCACAGAAAATATGAATTTTTTACAATTTCAACTAGTATTATTATTCTTATTATTGATATTATTATAATTATTGGTGGGAGTAGGAGTAGTAGTAGTAGTAGTATTGGCAGCACAGCTAAAGCCTGGGTAACAATCTCCAAATTTGGAAGCGCTTTAGTGATTGTAATTTAAGCACTAAAAAATGAGTATTATTATTATTAGAGGTATATTGTTCCCATTTTTATTCCCCATTCAATATTTAGAGTACAGTTCATAGAATCAGTACAGTACATGTAGGAAACCATCTTTGTAATTGCATCCTTGAATTTGATCTTCAGCAGTACATTTAAAAAAAATAGACTTGTCATCAAAATATGTTTTGATGGATTGTTTTCGTTTTCAATCTCTCAACAAAACAATTGTAGGTGTTTTAGTTATATACTTCAGATAGCAATCTAGGAGACATATCAGATGTACATGTGTGCTCTACTTTGGAAAGTACATGCCATCTTTTAGTCTGTTCAGACTAGCCCTGCGTTCAGAATCGCCCTGCGTTCAAAATCGCCATACGAGAATTAAACTTGTCTAGTTTGAACATGGTACGATGAAACGTTGTAGAATGTAATGATGTTCTAGCATTTTTGGAACAAAATCTTAATAAAGAAACAGGAACGTTGTATTGTTTTAACATTGTATACACATGTATGTCATGTCAACTGACCTTCAAAACTTGTTTCCTTATATGATGTTGTTATCCAGTCTGTTCCCCCCTTTCACTATGCAATGATTCTTCATGACCAACATCACCATCACCAGCACCACCTTCATCAACCCCACCAACTCTACCTTTACCACGACCACCAACACCACCACCACCACCATCGCCACCCCCAGCTCTACCACCATCACCACCCGCAGCACTACCACCATCACCACCACATCACAACGACCACATCACAACCACTACTTTCACCACCACCACCATCACCACCACTACCATCACCATCACCGACACCACCATCACCACTATCACGACCCCCGAGATCACCACCATCAACACCATCACCACTACCACCACCACCACCACCACCATCACCATCACCATCACCACCACCACCATCAACATCACCACCACCATCATGACCACCACCACCACCACCATCATAACCACCATCACCACCACAATATGATATCACTACTACTGTACTACCAACTTCACCACCATCATTATTATCAATAGATAATTAAATCTACTTTGATTATATTTTTTTTTCACAAGGTGACGTTGCAAGAGAAGGTAATCTAGTAATCCTGCGAGCTGAGCTTAGTGACGATGCTGAATATCGATGTCATGTGACAGCTACGGACGCTACACATCAGAATCTACGATCAGACCCTGCTGCTGTTATTGTGCTCTGTAAGAACACCTGTTGTTTTTGTTTTTACTTTAAAAAGTTTAAATAATCTAAGATACTTTGGTGTCTTGAATTATCTCCTGCTCAGACATGACGATGATGTGATTTAAAAAACATTAAAAAAAAACATGTAGGCCAAAAAAAAATCCAGTATGTATAAATAAATGGCAAATATGGGAGTAAAAAAGTAGCCACCTACACTACAGGAAAAACCCCTTCATATGTACTTGAATATGATCTGTTGACATAATTATGTGCACACTACACTCATCTATTTTTGGGGGGCCCCATTTTGTTTTTAAAGGTACTATGTCCCTTTTGCAGCCAACCTCAAATTCTGTAGAACTTTACAGGAACTTTGAATATGTCATGTACTGTGAAATTTAAACGTTAGCAGTGTTCTCATATTCAAATTATGCAAGGAAACCCGTTTACTTGCTAGACTTCACTGTCAGACACTATTGAGTGACTGACTGGCTTTTTTCTTCTTTGGTAATAACATACATGAAAAGAGTTGTAAAGGGTACATGAGCATTTGTCTACATCAATAACCCACTTCTTGTGATGGCCTAGATTAAACTGATTGAATCTTTGCGCAGCATAAAACGTATGACCATTCGGTACAATTGTCTGAAAATCAAGACTATTACTTTTGGGCTCTATAGCCCTAAAGTCGATTTGACAACTAATAGTCATTATTTTCCCACTTGAAGACATTTTCAAGCCCCACCTTTTTTAGGGAAGTTCTAAATAAGTATTATCTTTCAAATGCAGTTGGAATTTAACTTTTTCATTTTTTTGGCCTGCAAATGGGACATAGTACCTTTAAAGTAAATCTTTATTGCCTCATTTGTGATTAATTAATTACCTTGTTAATCAAGAATAATACATTACCCCAGCTGATTCGTATCATTTCACCTGTATGTCTGAAAATGCTATTAATCTATTTTTTATTCACTTTGTTGATGATTTCTGATTTTGACAGTACCCCCTGACCCACCGGTCATCGATGGCTACTCCAATGGCTCGGTCATCACCATCCAGCCCCCTGCAACGGTCACTCTCCCCTGCAGAGCTTTATTGCCTCATTTGTGATTAATTAATTACCTTGTTAATCAAGAATAATACATTACCCCAGCTGATTCGTATCATTTCACCTGTATGTCTGAAAATGCTATTAATCTATTTTTTATTCACTTTGTTGATGATTTCTGATTTTGACAGTACCCCCTGACCCACCGGTCATCGATGGCTACTCCAATGGCTCGGTCATCACCATCCAGCCCCCAGCAACGGTCACTCTCCCCTGCAGAGCGAACAGTGGCAAACCAGCACCGGTCATCACATGGCACAAGGATGGGGATGATCTGGCGTATGGGAACCCTGAGGTGGTCTCAACACCTGCAGGAGATCCCTCTGGTCAGTACAGAAGACTTGGGCTACCAGGGCGCCGTTCCTCGGAACCGTCATAAGTCTAACTTCATGGACATCCCATTGAAACGTGTGTTATATAATTAACACGCGTATCTATGGGATATCTACGAACTTACACTTATGACGGTTTCGTGAAACTGGCCCCAGAATGACACCTGGTACTGTTGTTCAATTTTGGCATGTATTTATTTTTGTATGGAAACTATTTATTAATGTTTCTGAGGCGCATCTGGGAACACATTTTCTTTCTGTTCTTCATGTGTGATTAAAAGACAACTGAGTACTAGGCAAGTGTGTGGACAACCTTATTGTATAAAACAGGATTGTATTTATTGTATTCCCGGCAGTATGCCGATGGGGGTACTTTGGATTCAGCAGCGTTACGCCGCCGCCGCGTCATATTCTTGTGTGTGCTCTAACTGTCACATTCCTTCACGGATTTGTTCAAATTTTGAACAAACGTGTATGTTGGTATAATCTACAAGCCTATATAGGATTTGTGCATGTACGTACATGTGTATGATTATTTTTATTAATACATCCTTTTCATTTTTAGGAACACATTGATGATTTTATTTCTTCAAAGATTTGTCTTCTTTCATTATAATGCTTTAACGCTTAAGCTTTTTTATTTTTATTTTTTCATTTTAGTAAAGAAAAAAAGTTACATGATATTGTATTATTTTGTTGTATATATGTAAATACAAAACAAACAAGTTTTACATTCATATGTAAAAACAAATTAACAGAAAAAAATCTTGCCAAAGAATTGAACTAGGCTTGAGTAGCACTTGTGCTACATGTAACTTCTAGTTCCCATTAACAACTTCACCTAAACATAGTAATATACATATTTACGTATATATCTTTTGTCCATTTAATATTATGCAGATGTATGTCTAAAAAATATCGTTTTAAAACCATTACTGTTCAATCGACATTACTCTTATGTTATGTATACATGTATCAGTATTAATTTTTGCATTGTATGATTGTTATGTCATTATTGTGATGTGGTATTGTTAATAAATTCAAATTCAAATTCAAATATATTTTGGTGATGCTGCCACCAGTATCCCATGTTTTATAAAGTCAACTGTCATATTTTGAAGGATGGCGTGAGTGCACTATGCAGACAACATTTCTTGTTGGATTTCTTTCAATTTTCAAAGATTTCCTATAGGAGCTCAGTGTTATATTGCCCTGGTTCCTAATTTTTTTAACCAGAGCAATATAACACTGAGCTCCTATAGGAAATCTATTCATTCAGATGGTCATATCTCAGCCAATACTTAACATTTTCAACTGGTTTTTGACATTTGGACATGATTTTTTATGCTCTTTAGGAAAACGAAGAAATAATTGAGAAATTCTCAAAATAGATTTTTATAATGTCACAGCTATGGTACTCTATTAGTAGTATTGTTATTATGATCATTATTATTATTATTAGTATTATTATTATTCCTGATTAGGTAAGAGAGTGAATGCAGTCAGCACCCTAACCCTGAACCCAGAGAAAGAGGATAACGGTATTACCTTTGGATGTCAGGTGACTCATGGAGCTCTTTCATCTGCTCTCTCAACGTACATCACTCTCAACGTCCTCTGTAAGTACAATCATCTTTTCTCCTGAGATGGGGGGGGGGGGGGGTCAAAGTTATGTATATGCACACAAGCTATTACAAGATGCAATATAAGAAGACACCTTAAAGTCCAACTGCACTACTTATAGCTACTTGCTCCCTCTGTATAGAAAACAATGCCTAAGCAGTGCCCGTTGGTCCCACATGATTCTCTCTTTCTTATGTTACTTGAGAGCTGAGTTGGTGAGATAGCCACCTGTCAGTGACCTTGCAGGGTGGTCTAATACCCCTGGCCAAACTAGTGCAGACGGGCTTTGAATGATATTATGTGAGTCATGTTATTTTCCAGTGCTTCATACTGATTTTTCTATTGAAGCAAAATATTGTGCAAAGTTACGAATAAGATACCATAAGTATCACAGAAAATAGTTTCATGAAGCATTTGTGTTTTTATGGGATTCCATAAGCTGCTGTGATATCAGGTGAAAGATTTTTAAGTTGATTATAATCATTGTTAAATGACTTTTGTCATTGAGCTACACATCTTTAAACACTTCCTCTTACTTATGCAACCCTATTTTCCTTTATGTAATACATGTTCATACCCCACCCTTCTCTCACTATCTATATCTTTCCCTCTCTCATTCTGTCTCTCTCCCTCTCTCTCTTTCTTTTTCCCCCTTCTCTCTCTCCCCCTCTCTCTTCCTCTCCCCCTCTTTCTCCCTTTCTTATCCCTCTTCCACTTTTTCCCTGTCTCTGTCATCTCTGTGTCTCTCTTTCTTTTCCCTCCTCCCTCCTCCCTCCTCTCGCTCTTTTCTGAATCTTCTCTTTCTTTCTGACTCTCCTCTCTTTCTTCTCCCTCCCTCGCTCTCTTTCTCTCTATCTTTCTTCTTCCCTCTCCCTCTTTTCCCTGTCTCTGTCACATCTCGCTCTCCCTTTCTCTATTTCTCTATTTTCTGTGTATTATAACGTGTATTATAACTTGTTCCAACAGTTGCCCCAGGAGCACCCCTCATCACCGGCTATTCGGCAGGTACCATTGTGAAAACGGGGGACCCGCTGCACCTCCGATGTACGTCTCTCGGAGGGAACCCCCTTGCAGAGGTAAAACAAACCCTAACAAAAGGGCTTCACTCATTGCTTTCATGGTGAACTGGAAAATGCATTTGAATTTATTTTATTCAGTTCAAATATATCGCTATGAATAGCTCAACGATGAAATGTTGGTAAATATACACTGTTAATGATTATTCAAGTACGGCATACAAATCATCATACATGTATATTGTATTTCGTTTAGTTCTTTTTACTTAATAATTTCTGTAATGATATGTATTATATTCTCATTCTTTTTTTATCTATTTTCTGTCAATTTTGTCATTCTTTCGTTTTGCCTATCAAGGTATACTGGTATAAGAACGATGAGAGAATGGATTATTCCTTCATGACGGACGGTGTCAGTGCTTTCAACACTCTCCCGCTTGAAGTTGATTACAGTGATAATAACGCTATCTACAAGTGTGTTGCTACCAGCGTGGTCCTACCTCAACCGATGAGCACACAGATACAACTCACTGTCAACTGTAAGCATTACAATAATAGCTATGATAATGATGATGTTGATGATGATGACAATAATTTTACTTCATAATTCTCGTTCGAGAATATATGAGAGCCCGCCCGCGCATGCGCAATCATTATCGTTCTGCATTTTTTACTAGTGCGTTCACTAGTATTTTCGTAGCGCAAATCCTTCGAAATCTTCGCAATCGCAAAGTTATTCGGATCTTTTTGGACATTTATATATTTGTTTGGACCTTCGCCTTCAGTCTTCACGTCGTTTTTCTACTTTTGTGTTTATCTTCGTGATTTTTTCTCGTATTCTCAACATGGAAACACGCGGGTTTGACGCCGGCGTGACCGACACCACTACGGTGACCAACACCACTGCCGAAAGCCCCGGCGCCGTGCCTGGCTCCGGTGCGGCCGCGAAGGGAAGGCAGAAACAGGGCCGTAAGTACGGCGATGCAAGCCGACCGAGCAAGGCAAAGCCAATCTCGGCGGCGACAAACAAGATTAAGAACAGCAAGGCTAAGCCAAACTGTGCAATCGTTACCCAGAGTAAGGCTCAGCCAAGCCCTGGGATCGATAACTCTCAAATAATGTCGCGACTCGAGAAGTTAGAAGTGATGTTTTCACGCGTCGTGGACGCTTTACCTATGTCATCGGGGACTGCTGTCGGCAGCCACGACACTAAGTTGACTGAGCCTGAACCACGTGCTGGTCAGCCCGACGATCATTTTCTGCTTGACAGAGATGATGATGATGAGGACATGAACTTTCATGAGTTTGAACAAGGAAAGCACGAAACAGAAGAATTCTCGCAGGAAATTAAAGTTCCTCAATTAGCCGCAAAATTTGCAGTGCCATCGACGCTAGGGCGACCGATTAATGGGGAGATTGCTGACGCAATCACCTACATGATGGAACAAAAAATGGAAGACAAATCCTTGGCCGAAGCAGCGGATAAGTACCCCTGCCCAGAAAACTGCGACTTGCTGGACGTTCCCAAAGTCAACAATACCATTTGGGAACGAATGTCGACATCTTTCCGATCAAGAGACTTCAAGCTCCAAAATGTGCAGAAATCGCTGACGAAAGGAATTTGCGCATTCGCAAACACGCTCGATCCAACCACCATGACTGATCAGCAACAGGATGCCTTGGCACTTCTCTGCGACGCAAACTTCAGCGTGAACTCGCTCCGGAAAGACTTTATCAAGCCTGAAGTTCACAACGATTTTCGCCAATTCTGCAAACCCTCCAACAAGGTGACCAAGTTTCTCTTCGGGGACAATCTTGGCAAACAGGTTAAAGACCTCCAGGACCAGCTCAAAGTGACCGAGGGGGTCATGATGAGACCAAAACAAGGCAATCAGCAAACTCAATATCATCCATACAAGAGGTACAATGACGATGCCAGACAAAAGATGAAGAAGGCAGGCTGGCAAACATCACAGGCTATGCCTGGATCTTCGGGGCGCCCTTTTTTAGGGAACAAGTCGTGGAGGGGCAACGACCAGGAAGACTTTCACTCCTCACACATACACCCCAACAGCAGCGGCGGCAAAGCCGGCAAGAGGGAGGAACTTCCAACCCTACCGACACAATCAGGGGAGGAAATAGGCGGCCGCCTTAGTCTCCCAACCCAAGGCGCCGAAGGGGTAAGTGCCTCAAAACCTTCTCAACTTGATACTATTGATAATATGGTCGGTGGTCGACTGAAGCCATTCTATCTTAGCTGGACAAAATTGACTTCAGACAAGTTTTTGCTGAATGCAGTCCAAGGTTATGAACTTGAATTTGATCAAGATAAATTTCCACCCTCACGGGATAAACCTCTTTTTCCGTACAAACGGAACACAGAGGAAATGACAAAAATTAACAAGGAAATTCAAAACCTCAAGAACAAAGGTGTAATAGAATCATGTCTACACTCAAAAGGCGAATTCTTATCACAGATCTTTACCAGAATGAAGAAAAATGGGGGAGTACGCTTGATCTTGGACTTGTCTGAGTTGAACAAGAGTATAACCTATCAGCATTTCAAAATGGACAATATTTACACTGTCATGTCCCTCCTTTCACAAGGATATTTTATGGCTTCAGTCGACTTGCGTGACGCATATTATACGGTACCTATTCACGCTAATTCTAGACAGTACCTCCGTTTCTTTTGGAATGGCCAATTATGGCAATACAAGGCTTTGCCAAATGGGCTGTCGTCGGCCCCCAGGCTATTTACAAAACTGCTCAAACCTTTGCTTGCCACTTTGAGAAAGTCTGGTCACTTGGTTCTCGCTTATCTTGATGACACAATCATCATAGGAAAAACAAAGGCTCAAACGGAAAAAGCAGTGAAAGCTACAACTGAACTCCTCTCAAAATTGGGTTTCATTATTCACCCTGATAAATCGGTACTAGAACCGTCGCATGAAGTTGTTTTTCTTGGATTTAAGCTCAATACACTTGAAATGACCATCACCCTACCAGAAAACAAGAGTCAAGAAATCAAAGAGGTTTGCAAAGGTTTGCTCAGAATGAGGGCCCCATCTATTCGCGAAGTAGCGAGAGTAATTGGGAAATTAATAGCCACCTTCCCCGCTGCTCAATATGGACCTTTACATTATAGAGCACTTGAAAATGACAAAATTACAGCCTTGAAAGGCAGCAGAGGTCATTTCGATCGTCCTATGCACTTATCTGCAGAGGCAAGAAATGAATTGGAATGGTGGGCCACAAATATCCATTCGGTTTTTCGTCCGCTGGCGCAAGAGAAAATCACTCTAGAACTACGTACAGATGCCAGCGGTAGTGGTTGGGGTGCCACTGATTTGAAGACAAAATCAGGTGGCAGGTGGAATAGTGAAGAATTAATCAGAGCTAAGACGAACGAAATAAATTATCTAGAAACGTTAGCAGCTGGGTTCGGGCTAAAAGCCTTCTGTCCCCATTTGAGGAATGCTCATGTCTTGCTAAGAATAGACAACACAACGGCTGTTGCTTACATAAACAACATGGGGGGAATAAAATCTCCCTCTTGTAATGAGGCTGCCCTACAAATATGGGGATGGTGTTCTGAAAGAAATATTTGGATTACGGCTGCCCATTTACCAGGTACCCAGAATACAGAAGCAGACTACATGTCACGCAAATTCAATGACAACATTGAGTGGACGCTTGACAAGAATGTTTTCGACAACATAGTGAGGTTATATGGTCTTCCCGAAATTGACCTATTTGCATCAAGGCTGAATGCACAACTTCCTATATATGTTTCTTGGATGCCCGACCCTACTGCTTGGGCAGTAGATGCGTTCACACTTGATTGGGGCCGCATGAATTTCTATGCATTCCCACCGTTCAGCCTTGTTCCCAGATGCCTACAGAAAATAAGGCAAGATAAGGCACGAGGGTTGTTAATAGTACCAAATTGGCCAACTCAAGCTTGGTTCCCCATTTTGAACGATATGTTGCTTGAGAGACCGTTGCCTCTCCCACGGTCGAAAACATTACTCACACAACCAGTATCTGGTACGCCACATCCACTAACCAACATATCTCTCTTGTGTTGCAGATTTGGAACAGACACTTCGCCTCACAAGGACTAAACATGGAGTCGGCAACAATTTTGGGAGCTTCTTGGAGAAACTCCACAAAGAAACAGTACAACACTTATATAATGAAATGGAAAAAGTTTTGTCAATCTCAGAAATTGCCATGGACCCACACAAAGGTGGAAAGATTGCTGGAATTTTTCAATCAAATGTACTTCAGAGAAAATGTTGGCTACAGCGCCATCAACACTGCAAGAAGTGCCCTTGCATCGTTTGTTTTATTGGATGATTGCAGCTATACAGTCGGAACGCATCCTTTGGTTTGCAAATATTTGAAAGGAGTGTTCCAACTCAGGACACCCACGCCTAGATACAGCGGCATATGGGATGTCAGCACCGTCTTAGACTACCTTCGCCGATTGACGCCGGCTCACAAGATACCTCTACGTGAATTAACACTTAAACTCGGCACGTTGCTAGCATTAGTCTCAGCACAGAGAGTGCAAACACTTCATTACTTGAATATTGACAATGTGAACTTTAAGACTGATTCAGTGGAAATCTTTGTTGATGAACTGCTAAAGCAAAGCAGACCAGGGAATATTGGAATGACCCTAAAATTGAATGCTTTTTCGCAAGACAAACGCATTTGTGTAGTGCATTACTTGCGACAATACCTCCACAGAACTAAGGATATTAGGGACAGGGAAAAACATCTGTTCATCACCTACCAGAAGCCTCACAAGCGAGCAACCAAAGACACGATCGCTAGATGGATCAAAGCGGTCCTTAAAGCTTCTGGCATCGACACGACAAAATTTAAAGCTCATTCTACCAGAGCAGCATCCACGTCTTCGGCTCGTAAACACGATATACCGATATCGGAAATACTTAAACAAGCCGGATGGGCAAATGCAAAGACATTCGAGAAATTTTATAACAAACCTGTGGAAGCAACAGCTTCTTTTGTATCACTGAAGGCAGGTTCTTCGAAAACATAAACGTTCCATGATGGGTCAGGGAGCCACATCATTGATACGGTGCCCACAGGTCAGTACGACTTTTTTTTTATTGGTGCACACTGTTACTACAGCATCGTGACTACTGATCTTTGAAATCTCATATATTCTCGAACGAGAATTATGAAGTAAAATAGTAAGATTAAACGAGAACTTACGTTTGAAGTTTGATCGTTATTTTATGAATAATTAGAGGGAAGAGTATATATGCCCACCTCTCCCTCCCTTTGTCATAAAGGTCAACTTAAGGCAGTTCTCGTCAGCTTCTATTTTTCTTCAGGACTATTTTCCAACAGTAGCCACGATTGCTTCAAAAAATGATTGCGCATGCGCGGGCGGGCTCTCATATATACTCTTCCCTCTAATTATTCATAAAATAACGATCAAACTTCAAACGTAAGTTCTCGTTTAATCTTACTATTATATAATATTGGATGGCTTTGAGTGTGATACAAGAATATATTGCTCAAGCTATGCGATATTGAACAAGTCGGAGACGAGTCCAATATTGTCTTAGTGAGAGCAATATATTCTTGTATCACATGAAAACAAAGCCATATAATATTAGTATTATTATCAGGCTGACTAGCGAAATAACAAAATTTTACCTATCTTGGTAAATATGGCTTTTCTGTGTGCTACCGATATCGATAAGTGAAGTTCCTGGATGTCTGAGCAATACAAAACAATATTGGTCAGTCATCCGGGAACTGCGCTTAAGATATTGAATACACTGTTTTATTGTCCCTTTTGGAAGCCTTATATAGATAATAATAACCTTTATTATTATGATAATAATGATAATAATTAAAGATGCAAATTCTTTGGGGAATTCGACACAATTTGTGCGTTACTGCGTTTACCCACAAACAGGTGTTTTTAATCGCCAGGATAAGCAATCGGTTTCGTGACCAACAGGCCTTATGTAATGCTCTGCATTTTCTACCAACCCCCCCCCCCCCCCACCCCCATGTGGTAAAGTCATTATCCTACACTTTACCTCATCCAAATGAATTCTTCTTCTTTTTTTTTTGTTATTAGCATTATTACCTGTATATTTATGTATGTATATATTTGTTGTTCTTTATTGTCTTAATTTTTGTTTGCATTGTTTGCAGTTGCTCCAGCATACGTGAATATCACCGGCCATGAGGCAATGGTTCAGTCAGATGCCACGCTCACACTCAAATGCACATCAGGTAAGCAATAGAATTACTATGGATTTATGCTATGATAGTTATCAATAAATCACTTTTTTGAAATCCTGTTGACAGTGCTCCACAGTAACTTGGAAGGGGGTCCAGATTGAACTTTTTGGAGTCCATATACGTGAGCCCTATGTAAAAGTTTGATCTTTTTTTAGGTCCGGGCTTAGTTTTTGGGTGCCCATATGTCCCAGGCTCTGTTAGTTTTGAAATTTTGAGCGCCACATATAATTGTAATTGTATAGAATTTGCCCATTTTTAACTTCCATTACCTTAGCACATCTACACATTTTTAAATGAATCTTGACTTAATGAAATATTTTTCTGATGTAAACATATTTTAACATTATCTGAATTTCTCCATGTCACAATTTGAAACATTTTGCAATTTCAAACTCTCCCAGCTAACAGGAACACAACCCTCTTCTATTTACTGTTTCTCAATGAAATACAATCAAACCTGCTTTAGTGACCATCTGTCTACAAAGACCATATTTTTTTGGTTTCCCTTGAAAATAGTTTCTTGTTGAAACATGTACTAAAGGAACCTGTCTACAAAGACCACCTGTGTACTAAGACCACTTTTTGTGTTTCCCTTGGGCGGTCGCTAAAGACAGGTTTCACTGTATCTGTAGGAGGAACCTACATGTATTCATAAACATCACCTTCCTAGAAACGCTAGAATGACCACCTTATTGCCTCCCATAAGTGCTTTTAAATTGAACGTATGAAATATGCTCTGACATCAGTTTCTAACTCCGTACCTGCACAGAAAAGCATCTCAACTCTGACCTTGACCCTAATCCTAGTGTATTACCCAATTGCAACAAATAAAAGCCAAAAGCAATAGGTTCTAGAGCAAATGTAACATTACATTTTATATACAAGTTTCACTGTGCTACAGCTATCACGACGATTTACCTTAACTTTCCTCCCTTCTCTTCTCCAAACTTCCTAGCCAACAGCAACCCGGCATCCTCCATCTCCTGGTTCACCGGTGGTCGTCAGGCCCACACCCATGACGACGTGGTGGTCGAAGCACCCAACGGAGGTTTTATCACTTCGCAGGAGCTGACGATCACGATGACGGCCGATACAGACAGCGTAGATTACATGTGCCAAGCAACCAATCGGGAGCTGTACGAGACCACTTCGGATACTGTGACTGTCAATGTCATGTGTAAGAGTTAAAGATGTGTGTGTGTGTCATTGGGTTTTTACAGACATGCATGTACGTCTGGGGACCGACTTTTAAGGTCACCATCCGAAAGACGTGACTCAGTTTCGAACCTGCGTCCTCGGCTGAATCAGTTTGTAACTTCCATTGTTAGCTGGATTACAGGCACACGCTCTGTTGCCCTGTTGGTTCAATATTCGACACCATTCAGCTGTTATGCAGAATTTGAGAGACGAGGGTGTATTTCTTTATAGGCCTATGAGTTTGTTGTGTGTAGACTTGTACACATTAATGGTATTTCCACCCAGTCTGGTGTCAGAATTATGGCCTTCTGCACATGGAAACTACCAACCCTCTCCCTTTAAATAACGTTTTAGGGTCAGATTTTGGATCCAGTTTTGGGGCCAAGTAGTGATGGACCTTGGATCCAGGATTTTGTAACAAGGGGCTCAAAACACAATTGGGGATGGGACTGGGTCAAATTTACTTATTGTGTTTATTTGGTGTGAAATATTTATGTTATTAGAAGGGGGTATGAGCCAGTTGTGCCACTCCCCCCTTTAAATCCACTTCCAAGTCAGGGCTAAAGTTCCTAATATAAAATGTGTTGGAAGTTGCCTTGGGGGAGGAGTTGTCACTTGAGTATGTTTTGTACAATCTTTTTTTTCTGTGACCTTCTAATCGACTTGAAGTCAATCATACCCATCCTGTTTCTTACTCTTTCTCTACAAAGAGAGTCCCAGAATCACACTGCACAAGGTCATCTAGGAGGTCATGGCTGATAATTTCTTTTGATTTGTGTGCTTAAACAGCTTTTCTATGGCTGGCAATCCCCCATTTAAGCAACACTCATCATTCCTCCCTCAATTAATCATTCAGAAAGTTTGAAATAAATAAAAACACATTCTTTCTTCTTTTCCTCCTGAAAGATCCACCAGAGCATCCTGGAATCACCGGTTACGAGGACGGCACGGAAGTCAAGGCCGACAATCTCCTGCGTCTTGTATGCTTTGCAATGGGCGGCAACCCCCTCGCCACGCTGGTCTGGTACAAGAACGGAGAGGTCCAGGAAGCGGAGACCGGGACGCAAGGCATCCTCTCCACCAGTACCTTGAGGCTTATCTTGGACCAGACGGATAACGGGGCGGAGTACTCCTGTAATGCTTCCAACGAGGCCACGCCCGTCCCCCTGGAGGCCAGTGTCACCCTTAACGTCCTCTGTAAGTTTGAGATCGAAACATTGTGTGTGTAGGTTTTGGATTTTTTACAGACGTGTAGCAATCAGATATGATTATTTACGTCTGGGGACCGCCCTTTAAACGTCACCATCTGAAAAACGTGACTCATTTTCGAACCTGCGTTCTTGGCTGAATCAGTTTGTAACTTCATTGTTATTATTACAGGCACACGCCACAATGCCAGCGGCCTTGCTTTATAAAATTCCTATCCAAACTTCCAAACTTTGAAAACTGAGATCCTTAGAACCTTATCAAGTTATACAACTCATGAACTTAAAAACTTGTAAACGTATAAACTTCTAAACATGTAAATGGGGGCATCTCCTTCAGAAGAATTGCCCCTTTAGCCATCATCCTAAACTCTGAACCTGAAAGGTAACAGAAGTTTTCAGAATCTCCTACAGCAAGTTCTTGAAGGGACACTGAATTTCGCTGCAGCTGTGTGTGAGTTATGGACCCTCAACAAATACCATTTCCTTGTTAATTTCACTATGTCTGGTGTATGTTTTTTTATTGTTTTTATTTGTATGAATGTCAGGTGTATGTTTGTTATGATGCAAGTATATGGATACAGACAATTTGTCTTTTTAAACGAAATTCAATCGTACATTCATCTGCCAGACACACGACTCGATTTTTCCTTTTTTCAAAGTCCTGTTGGTAAAAACAGAAACACTCCAACTATTTATGGATGGTTTTTGTTTTTTTTCTTCTGCTCAGTCCCACCCAGTGCAGTTACTGTGAGTGTAGACCCACCAGAAGCCAAGGAGGGTGACAGCGTAACGGTGACGTGTGAGACGGCAAGCAGCAATCCAGAGTCTGAGATCTCCTGGTGGAGGGATGGGGTGCCTATAGAAGGTAAGTCATGAATACCTCACTCAGTCACACTGCCAAACCGACTGCAAGCTGAGACCTAATTGACACCAAACTGACACCAAACTGACTCCAAAATGACACCAAACTGACACCAAACGGACTCCAAAATGACACCAAACTGACACCATACCGACACCAAGCTGAGACCTAACTGGCACCAAACTGACACTATAATGACACCAAGCTGAGACCTGACTGACACCAAGCTGAGACCTGACTGACACCATACCAACACCAAGCTGAGACCTAACTGACACCAAACCAACTGATTCTTGGCTATTTGGGATAATGTAACTTTTGATTTGGTCCATTTTCGGTCTGGTGCTGGTCTCTAGTGACTGGATCATTACTGTACTGTGCATGGTTATTGGGAGTGTGTGTGTGGTTGGTGGGGGATTAGTAGGGGGGGGGGGGTAAAGGGAGAGGGTGAGAGGGAGAGGGTGCGAGGCAGCCAGTAGTAATCCAAACACTGAAATCCCACAATGTGGAGATGGAGTGACTGTTGAAGGTGAATGCACTATAAGAGTGATGCTTTTGTTATAGAACCTACTGCCCTATTTGAATGAGAGTATTAGTGGGAACCCTGGTATAGTGGTTCACCTGCAGTTATGTTGGAAGGAGAGACCGAGTGTAACAGTGATTCAGTTTGTTTCCCCCCCCCCCCCTCCCCCACCTTAAAGGTTTTATGTCCCATTTGCAGGCCAAAAAAATGAAAAGGTTAAATTCCAACGGCATTTGAAAGATAATATTAATTTAGAACTTCCCTAAAAAAGGTGGGGCTTGAAAAATGTCTTCAAGTGGGAAAATAACGACTATTAGTTCCAATAAGTAATAGTCTTGATTTTCATACCATTGTACCGAATGGTCATACGTTATGCTGCGCAAAGATTCCATCAGTTTAATTTTGGCCATCACAAGAAGTGGGTTATTGATGTAGATAAATGCTCATGTACCCTTTACAGCTCTTTTTATGTATGTTATTACCAAAGAAGAAAAAAAAGCCAGTCAGTCACTCAATAGTGTCTGACAGTGAAGTCTAGCAAGTAAACGGGGTTCCTTGCATAATTTGAATATTAGGACATTGCTAACGTTTAAATTTCACAGATAGGACATACACGACATATTCATAATTCCTGCAAAGTCCTACAGAATTTGAGGCTGGCTGCAAAAGGGACATAGTACCTTTAAGAGGGGGGGGGGAGCACCACATAGTTGATGATAATTACCCACTTTTTCCTTTTTCTTTCTAGGCAATAACAACATAAGCGTTGAGGTGGTAGATGCAGAAAACGGGGGCAAAACGACCCGCAGTCGTCTCATGCTTGATTCTGTTACCTCGGCCAACAACGGGGGTGTTTACCTGTGCCGTGCGATGAGCGATCTCGTTGTTGAAAGCGTCAATGATGGAGTGACTCTGGATATCAAATGTGAGTAGACTTTCAGACAAATGGCTTTTATTAAAAGAAACAAAAAATCAAATCCAAACTCTAATGATTTATTTTAATACAATCCTGACATCACTTTAAAAATACCACAAGAACAATGTTGAGGTCAACATAGCTGAGGCAACTGTTTTGAAATGTTTTGAAATGCTTTGAATTGCTGTGAATTGTTTTGAAATGCTGTGAATAGTTTCGAAATGCTGTGAATAGTTTTGAATTGCTGTGAATAGTTTTGAAATGCTGTGAATTGTTTTGAAATGCTGTGAATAGTTTCGAAATGCTGTGAATAGTTTTGAAATGCTGTGAATAGTTTCGAAATGCTGTGAATAGTTTTGAATTGCTGTGAATAGTTTTGAAATGCTGTGAATAGTTTCGAAATGCTGTGAATAGTTTCGAAATGCTGTGAATAGTTTTGAAATGCTGTGAATTGTTTTGAAATGCTGTGAATTGTTTTGAAATGCTGTGAATTGTTTTGAAATGCTGTGAATAGTTTTGAAATGCTGTGAATAGTTTTGAAATGCTGTGAATAGTTTTGAAATGCTGTGAATAGTTTTGAAATGCTGTGAATAGTTTTGAAATGCTGTGAATTATTTTGAAATGCTGTGAATTGTTTTGAATTGCTGTGAATTGTTTTGAAATGTTGTGAATAGTTTTGAATTGCTGTGAATTGTTTTGAAATGCTGTGAATAGTTTTGAAATGCTGTGAATAGTTTTGAAATGCTGTGAATAGTTTTGAAATGCGTGAATTATTTTGAAATGCTGTGAATTATTTTGAAATGCTGTGAATTGTTTTGAAATGCTGTGAATTGTTTTGAAATGTTGTGAATAGTTTTGAATTGCTGTGAATTGTTTTGAAATGCTGTGAATAGTTTTGAAATGCTGTGAATTGTTTTGAAATGCTTTGAATAGTTTTGAAATGTTGTGAATAGTTTTGAATTGCTGTGAATTGTTTTGAAATGCTGTGAATAGTTTTGAAATGCTGTGAATTGTTTTGAAATCCAAAATTAATCTGTCTCCAATCTCATTCCGACCCTGTGCAGTCAGACCAAAGATAACCACGCCTACCGGCATCTCTCTGAGTAGTCATGAAGTACCTGGAGACCTAATCCTCAACTGCTCTGCTGAAGCCAACCCAGCCGAAATCACTTTCACGTGGCACAAGAATGCAGCCGCGATTGCTGTTGCCGAGACAGAGCGTTACACGCTGGACGAGGAAGGATCGTTGCGCATCCACAACGTGTCGCGGGAGGAGGCTGGGACGTACATGTGCATCGCGAGTAACTCGGAAGGAGCCAGCAATATAACGCTGACCCTAGATGTGATGTGTAAGTTGAAAAAAAATTGTTCCCGGTACCATCCGAATCATCCCAATTTTAAAAGGGCTGTAGCATGGGAAATACTGGTTGACGCCATCTTCGTCTTTTTTTTGACAAATGGACTTAATAAACTGGGTCAACGTGCTAGCGTTCGTGAAACAGACTGAAGTTCTCCTCACTGTTCGGTTTCGCATATGTTGCACGCATTTGAATGCGTAGGCCTACTGCGGTCGCGTCGTCCGTAGTCATATTATACACAATTTTCCTCGAGTAGGCCTCGGGGAAAGACGCATAGTCATGCATGCTACAGCCCCTTTAACTACCTTTAAATCACTACTGAAATCTTACTTGGTCAAAAAAAAATGCTTTCTGATGTTATTTTAAGTGCATTATTGTATTTCTTCATAATCAAAACTGCATGACTGTATTTTGTCATGCTTTGCTTTCATATCTCTTTAATTGATGTTGATACGTGCTATGATTAATCTCACTCTCATTTTGATATTTCTTTAGTTATCGTTTGTGCTTTCAATTATATGTAATTTTGTTGTTTTATTATTGTTAAGTGCATTAATATTTTCTCTGAAGATGAAATACGCTATAGAAGCCTGGGTAATTATTTGTATATTTTTAATTATTCTTATCATTATCATTGGCTTATGTTTTGTTTGGAATTCTCTTCCACCACAGACTCTGCCAAAGTGACCACCGGGGAGGCCATCACCATCACCCTCAACACCCCCGGGGAGCTGGTCTGTGAGGCGGACGCTAACCCCAAGCCAGCCGGCTACATCACCTGGACCAGACCCGGCTTTGACCTGACGGGTAACGCCCATGAGTACGTGGATGGGCGTGGCATCATGAGAGTGGACAACGTCACCAAAGCGGTCAGCGGGATGTACCTCTGCCATGCGGACAACAGCATCCCGCCGGCCGACACCAAGAATATACAAGTTATCATACAGTGTGAGTAATAAATACTACTAATAATAGGCATTTATATACAGCCGTCTATCTAGAAAATTCTATTCAGAGGCGCACAAGAAAAATAGAAAGAATGAGAGAGTTTGGAGGAGTGTCATAGTGCCAAGTACAGGTATTGTTTAAAAAAATATAAGATTTCAGCTTGGATTTAAAGGTCTCTAAGGAAGTTATGATTTTCAAATTAAATGGTAAATTAATACAATTCAATAAAATTTGAAGAATGGTTCATTAACACTTTGGTTGCCTTTTTCGCCTCTCTGCATTGTCGCTTGTTTGCCTCACATGCAATTTTGCACAAAATAATAGGCACCGATTGAGGGAATATTACTTTCTGCAATGCAATGGCTTTGCAAAATTACCAATTTCTGGTCTTTGATTTGCTCCATGACAACCCTTTCAACACAAGGAAGAAACAGCAGCCCCCCCCCCCCCCCTCCCCCTCATGGAGCAATGAAATATTCTGAAATTTGGTATGAACTCAATACAAATTTAAATATGATTTTTTTTTTAATTTCTCAGAAGTTATGAAGTGTCATTAATCTCATTAATTTTTGATGTGGTCAGGCTTTGTGTGTATTAGTATAGGGAGATTGCAATATTTATGCGTGAACAGCAAAGTTTTTAGATGCTGCTTACAACACATCGTCTGAATTTGGTTAGACTTAGGGCCTAAAAGTCATGAAAGCATGAGGTTAGAAAAAAATGAAAAAGAAATTATCTTCGCAAAAATACGGGGGAGGGGAGGGGGGATTTGTATCAAATTTTTCTGATATTGCCTTACATGTTGCTGCATGAAATATACCGAACTAAAGACATTTAAATCTCTAAGAGGTGTCGTGGTCGAGTGGATCCGTCGCCGGACTGTCGATCTCAAGGTCCTCGGTTCGAGTCCCGCTCGGCACTAATGTCCTTTGGCAAGACATTGATCTGCATTTGCCACACTCAACCCAGGTGTTGTAAATGGGTACCTGACAGGAATTAATTCCTTGAAATGCTAGAGCGCCGTAATGGCCGCCTTGCTGAAGCCAGGGTAATAATCGGGGCAGCGCCAGGAGGGTCATAGCGTGAGGGGCATGTGCGCTATATAAGAAGCCACCATTATTATTATTAGAATGACCGTTCTTGTTCCTATTCACAGACCCCCCTGAAGTGGATCACTCCATGCCCAACAAAGTAGCCAAGAGCACAGGTCAGACAGCCCTCCTCCGCTGCAAGGCCGAGGGTGCCCCTCTCGTCCAATTTAACTGGTTTAAGGGGTCAGCAGAGGTCAATCTGACCAGTGACCATTACACGCTGGACATCAGACAGGATTTGACCTATGCTAACCGCTATGAGAGTCGGCTGATCATCAGCCAGATTGACGAGATCGATGATTACGGGACGTACGTCTGCAAGGCTTATAATGACCTAGGAGAAGCACGCTTTGAGATACAGCTCGAGAAGACAAGTAAGTACTGTAGACGTTATTTTTCTGAGGGTTTTAGTTTCATAAAATTCATGAATTTCGCATACTGTTGGAATGAGAGACCCGAGTGTCACAGTGATTCAGTTGTTTTTCCCCACCCTCAGGCACAGGTGACACCACATAGTATAGATATAACGCTAATCGCAAAAATGAACAGACATTCCATGTGTGAATATGTGTTAAAGGTACAGCCTGTATTACTCATCAAAACAACAACTTGCAATAACAAAAAATGATGTCCCAAGCATCTGTTGTAATACATGTATGCAACAATATCAGCTTATATATGTTCAAGTCTTTTCCTATCAATTTATCCATATCTCTCTTTTTAATTGTTTTTCTCTGTCACCCTTTCTTTCTAGCTCCATTAGCATCATGCTTGAAGGAACTAAGCGCTTTATGAGAAGCCAGCATTATAATCATATTTCTTTCTCTCTCACTTTTTCTATCTCTCTATACATTCATCTCCCACTTCTGTTACTCATAAATTATCTCTCCCTCAAACTTCTCTCACTCTTCTCATTGCGCAGGTCCTCCGGAGGCCCCATCTAATCTTCAAGTGGTCAATATTGGTTATGATTCAGTTACTCTCAATTGGACCAAAGGTAAGACCCCCTCCCTCAATAAAGAGATATCTCAAATAAGAACTATTAATTAGCAAACATCACTAACCATTATGCATTTTGCTGTCCAGGGCCCCGTCTTACAAAGAGTTGCGATCGATCCAAATCAATCGCAAGTCCTCCAATCAATCTCAAGTTTGCAGTCTCCTATCTCTTATGTACATAGTTGAAGTTGATTTCAATTGCAAATAAGTTGTGATTGATATCAACTCTTTATAAGACGGGCCCAAGTGTGTCTTTTCAAGCCACTGCATTTTGCTAAGCTGCCTTACTCACTATTCTATTTCTTGGTTCATCCCTCTGTTTCATCCTGCTAGAGTAACATTAGCGGGTAAAACACCTTGTCCAAGGATGTAAGAACCAAGCAAAGACCGAATCCAGGACATCTCGTACAAGAGTCTCTAGTGCTAATGCCAATATAAATCATTGCTCCAAAACATACCACAATACTTAGCTTTAAAAGAGAAATGAAACGGCATGAAAAGACAAATCCAAAACTGCATAGTTCTTTAAGAAATCACAAATTTGTTTGGAGATAGAGCTTGTAAATGCATATACCGTCAAGAAGATGCTTAGTTTCCTATAGATTTGTCAAAGAAGAACTTAAATTAACGAACATCACAAGCTATTATTCATTTCGCTTTCCAAACGCATCTTTTAGAGCCACTACATTTTGTTAAGCTACCTTACTCACTATTCTATTTCTTGGTCCATCCCTCTGTTTCATCCTGCCAGGTTTCGATGGCGGTTTGGACCAGACTTTCCAGGTGCGTTTCAACCAGAAAGGCGGGAAGCAGTATCAGTATGTGGACGTGGTACCTTCCGTTGCGACGGCATTCACGGTGACCAACCTCAACCCCAACTCAGAGTATGAGTTCACCGTCAGAGGGCGGAATGCGCAGGGAGACGGGCCGTATTATCTCGGCATCGTGTCGGCCAAGACAACCAGTGAGTTGAGTTAGATTCAGGCTTTAAAAGTTCAACCATTTCAACAACAACAAACTTGTGTACAGGGAAGCTGTCTTAAGAAAACCTCGTTGTTTTACAGATTCACCCAATTTAGTTGGGTCATCATTTCTATATATATATTATATTTGTGTCATCTAAAATGTATCTATGTATAGAATTGCTTGTTTATTAGTAAATGTATTTAACAAATGTTTTAATACATAATGGAATAGGCCATTTTTTTAATGTGATCAAATTTATTCCACAAATCTATCATGACGAAAACTCGTCGTTTAAAATTGAAACCCCCATTTGACTTTCACCATTTCTACTTGTACTAGAGCTGAGATTGTGATAAGCCCTAAGTAAACACTAGCGCTGTAATCCACCCCCACCGAGACCTTGATGAGGTGATAGCGAGAGAGAGATAAGCATGATACAAGGGAAAGGAAGGGAGAAGGGAGAAAGAGACACATGCAGGGGTTCGCTGCCAGAGTTAAAATTGTTGTTATATCGCCAATTATGGGTCATTTTGCTTCGTTCGAACTTTCATTTTGGTCTTCATCTAAATTATTAGTGACTTTAGGACATGAAAATATCTTAAAACAAGTAAAATACTTATTTCCTACTTCTCATTTCCTTTCAGGCAGACCCCAGTAAGAGTTTGTTTACACTAGTATTACGTAAGATGATGTAGAGTCCAGCTGCAATCCAATATCTTAATCTCTCACTCAAAGCCTCAAGGCTCTGTCCAAGTTTTTAACGAAAGAATTGAAAGTGGGGTAGTGAGACCCCATCAGATTCCCATTGGTGCCTGTGTAATAGTAGTAGCTCTCTCAAAGTTTTAACGAGAGAAACGAAACTGGGGTATTGCTACCCCACCAGATTACAAAGTTTTAACGAGAGAAACGAATCTGGGGTAGTGCTACCCCACCAGATTACATTGACTGCTGTGCTATAGTGGTGGGGTATAGTTTTAACGGGAGCTTTTCGTAATGTGTAAAGTGCCTCGCTAGAAATTATTACATTCACCTGTTACGAAATATTGTATTTCAATAGTCAGAATGGGAATTGCATATATTTTGTGTTCTTTGATTGGACAAGCTATAATGTTTGTCCGCCCTAGCAGCAATTAATGTTATCAATTCACATTCTGACTATTGAAATACAATTATTTGTAATGAGGCTTTTGACAAAGATGTCTGCATTGTCGTTTTAAAAAAGTAATTGAATTGACATGGTTTCTCTTCTTTCTCATTTCAGTCAAGCCCACAGAGCCTCCAGTGGTGATTCCAACACGTAAGTAAATCCATATTACTTATTTGCAGTGTTAAAGGTGTTGAAAATAGTTGCAAGTTTCAATTGAACTGGATATTGTAACATGCAAAATTGTCCAATCATTTTATGCCTTCATCTTTATCTCTCAACATTTCTTTATAGAAAAAAGGAATAAAGATATATTCCACTCAGATATTCTTGTTTTTGTTTTTTCATGACTTGTTTGTTTTGGGGTTTGTGTTTTACTGTCATTTTTGTTATTAGGTAAATTTGCATGGTAGGCCAATCTGCTGTTCTCTTTTATGTATATGTTCTTAGCTGGCTTCATCATTATCCTTAACAGTGCTTTCTGGAAGACATTTCATCTGTCCTCTTTCAGGCTTCTTTGGCATCATAACGAAAATCAGCAAGTACAACTCATAAATTCAAAATACATAATAGCCCAAGACCCCTAAGAAGCAACCTGTGCATCTAAATGGCGCCGCTCACAAGTTAAATACCGTACAGAATTAAATTTGAATCCTTTGATTACATTTCTCTCATCGTTTTATTTTGTCTTTGCTTCTCAGGGTTGTTGGTTGGTAACATCCCTCTCTACATGGTGCTCCTCTTCTCGTTCCTGTGTATACTGAGCTGTGTCTTCATTAATATCTTCCTGTGCTGCTGCCTCGTCAAGAGAAGGGAGTCAAGGAAAAGGGTCGCTGGTTAGTATCTTTCTCTAAAAGTACAGTGAAACTTGTATATAAAGACCGCTTAAGGGTCTTCATAGGCAGGTGGTCTTTCTATACAGGTGATCGTTATAGCAAGTACCGGTATATTCTTCAAAAGTTGCTTTCTCAGATGTAAGTGTACACGCTTGTAATGTACAAAGCTGAAAACTGTTCTTCGGAGGAATTATTCTTATTTTTCTGCTTTCAAACAAATGTTATGAACCCTATAGTCCTCTTGTTTGCTGAAAGCATACACATCAATTCTACATACCAGGTATTCTTTCGCGATTTCGCGCTTCAGTCTAGAACACTTATATTCTACTGTGTGTGAGAGTGCACCTAACAGATTTCCACCTCTTTTTCTCTTTGCAGCAAAATCTTCATCGATCAAGAAAACAAATGATGAAATTGAGCTAGTCAAACCAATGTGAGTAATTCTAGTGTGATGCCCTTTCTCTTTATTACTCTGTGAATATTTGACTAATGATGTCTGTTGCAAATCAAGCAGAGCAACGAAGGGTTTGGTGATTTGTGCCTGTTACTTACAGAGTATATAGCCTTTTCACTATTAACATATTAAAGTATTGTATAAACGGGTTCTAGAATGCAGGCAATTGAATTGGTGGAATGACATCACGTGCTGTGCGTTATTCTTCTTACCACGTCTACCATGCATAAAAGTTCCCATCAAAAAGTGATAATCCACTGGTAAAAGTGATAATGCACAGCTAAGTTGCACATTGTGCATTGTCTCTGGTGCAATATAAAGGTCATGTCATTATCATTGTTTGTTCAATATTCACCTTTGATAGGACTTTTGAATGAATACTAACATTTCTACTTCTGTCATGTATTAAAGGGAACGCCCGGAGAGCCCAGCTTACAGCGACTCCAACACCGACAACATGTCGCATCGATCTGAGCACGATGATCGTTATTCCTACGACAACGTCAGCTATGAGAGACGGCGCTACGACGACTACAGCGACGGACGGTCAGAGAGTTATGACCATTATGATGACCAGCAGCCGCCGGTCTCACCTCGTGTGGTCAGCGGCCGAGGGGGGCCTGGGTATTATAATAATTCGGCTTACAGGCCACCTTCTTACGCACCCAGCTGGGATTCTTACGGTAATATATTTTTCCAAGATATTTCCCCCTTTCACACCCTTACCTTAAACTGATTTAATGGTATTAATAATGATAATGGTAATAATAATAATAATGATAATGATAATGATGATAATGATAGTAATGATGATAATAATAATGATAATGGTATTAACAATAATGTTAATGATAATAATAAAAATAATAATGGTAAATATAATATTAATAATAATAACAATGATAGTAATAATAATGATAATAATAATGATGATAATGATAATTACAATGATAAATAAATTAATGCCCTTCTGGCTGTAAACGGATAATATATCAGTCTGTAATTACATTTTAATGCTATCCTTGTCATCTGCATAACTATATTTTTACCTAAACCCAACAGAAAACCCACCAAGCACCGGCCTCTCCGAATCCCAAATCGATGACAACGAGGAACGAGAGTACGCCGACATGCTACGACGTCAGCAGAAGGCACAGTACATGGGCGGGGCCTCGCACCCCCCTACTGCCCCCAGCCCCGTTCCAAGCAGCCTGGGCAACTTTGTTCCGCTACCCAAAGGGGGCTCTTCTGCCCCTAGCCAAGTAGGTAGCGAAGAAGGGTACTTGGTGTAGTCCCCCAAGGATCAGTTTTTGTAACGATCATTTTCTGTGGTAGATAATGAGAGCATGCATGCCTTCAGTTCAGATCAGTACAAGAGAATTAAAATTATCATTAAAAATCATCAGGATTGCAAGTAGGTAGCGAAGAAGGGTACTTGGTGTAGTCCCCCAAGGATCGGGTTTTGTAACGATCATCTTTTGCGGTAGATAATGAGACTGTTTGACATCCTGTGGCTCAAGTATATTTTAACCTCATCTTGCTAAAAAAAAGAGCTGATTTAGCATGCATGCTGCTGCCTTCAGTTCAGATCAGTCCAAGAGAAATACAATTATCATTAGTATCATTAAAAATTGACAGGATTGCAAGTAGGTAGCGAAGAAGGGTACTTGGTGTAATCCCCAAGGATCGTGTTTGGGCATGATCATCTTCTGTGGTAGATTATGAGAAACTGTTTGATGTCTTTTCCCCTGAGGTTCAAGTACATTTCCACCTCATCTTGCCGAAATGGTTCATTTTCCTTCATAGAGGACGCTGTACTGCGGGGACCTATGTACATGGTATTCTTATCCCTATACCATGTAAATACCACAAATTCCATCGCCGAATGGGCAATAAAGGTGAGCATAATACCTTGAATGCGGAACAGTGTGAACTTGTTCAAACTTTCACCAGTCTCAAAGAATGATGATTTTTCTTCATTGCCTTAAAATGTACTATAAAATGTATTCAAGTATTATCGACTGCGTAAATTACATTTCTATGAAGTCCACATTCCTATGAATATGTCACTATGAAAGATTTTCCTACTTTTTACAGACCAAAGATATGTACACATTACAGCAGTATGCAGTACTTGACCAAGATCATTGTTTATATGAATGATTCATTCACTGTTTTAGTCATGAGAAGAAAGCCTTAAGACTCGTTCAGATATGACAAGGAGAAACCACAGCGTCTCAATGTAATAGACCAGTTCACGGTTAGCACATTACTGCAATGACCCGAATATCCACAGATCTTAAAAACATGAAGAGGTCCCACTTTTTACATTTTGAAATAATCACTCCTACAGCGATGGAATTGCTTTATAAATAGCCTTTGTTTCCCCTTTTCAAAGAATACTTCCACCTGTGTATCATGGAGTGCACTGATTGCGCATGAATAAATAATGATTACATAACTTTCATGAGCACGTATCCAGTATTTTGTCTCCATGTATTTCAAAATTTGTTCTGCAATGAGCTTTATCTGCTCATGCTCAGACTGCTACCGTGAACTGGCTAATACACGTCACATTTATGTATCTTTAACACAGAAGTCAATGATTACGTTCAGGAACTTTCTCGACAGACATCCATTTGCATGTTTTAAAAAAACGTGGCAATTCCCCGCGTCATATCTGAATAAGCCTTTGAAATAGTTTGGTTCATAATTATATGAATATCGTTCACTACCCAGCAAGTATGTATACTATTATTCTTCCTCTCTTGGTCTTTCTTCCCAACCTGTTTGCTTGTGTGTTGCATTTCTTTTCTTATAATAACTTCATTTATCTGGAGTGTGACTCAATGTGGAGTTAAGTTCTGCTGCTTTAATCATCTTTACATTTCTGTTTATTAGCGTAACATTGATGTATCTCACATTTGTGTCTTTGATCAGCGTTTATTTCCGGTGTATATAATGATCCAATCTCATCTATTTTAAAAGTGAAATTGATTTGTGTGTCAAAATATGATTATGCCATTTTTGTAATTTAATCAAATTTAATGCATATGTCTTTATTATTGTGTGTTGAGTGTCCCATTACAAATTATTCATTCACTAGTTGTGAATAATTTGAATAATTGTATGCTGTATTACAATATTTAGTTCTAATTGCATCCATTTGGTACTGGGCAGGACAATCCATAGAATGTTTGACCTAGCAACAGCTAATGAATGCAATTTGCATTCTGACTATTGAGAAACAGTGATATATAACAGGTGAATGTTATAGCATGTTGCTAGCTGAACTTGTATTATGAATTTAAAAACATTTTGAATATGATCTATTTGATATAAATAGACTAATGTACTATCTTTAAAACGTTTCAGATACTTTTCTCCCCGATTGTAATGATTATCATTATTTCATTCAATGAACTGTACTAATCCAATGAAATGAAACATTCTCAATAGTATGAAAAAGAGTATGTCTTGCAAAATTGGTTGTGTCATATTTATTGTTCAGCTGGAATTTATCTTGCCAAAAGTGAAGTGATGTACATGTACATATATAACGTATCTGTAGTTTGCCATATATATTGTCTATCTTTGTTGTTATATCAACTGTAGCCTTTCATAGCTGTTTGTAGAGTTTCAATTGAAAAGGAAAATTGAACAGATTTTACTTCGAAAAAGAAAGCTGTAGAAAAATTTCACATACACCGCATTAATTTCCCACTTCCACTTACGAGATGAAAAAATGTTTTTAGAAATAGAGGATAAAGTAAGAAAGAGAGGGTGGGGGGGGGGGGGAATCACATACGCATTTCCAAACAAATGGTGTATTCTTGCATCAAAACACTTGTCTGCTTCAGGACCTTGTGCAGTTGTTTCTGTTTTTAGTCTCTTTATACAAAAATATGAATATTTTTAAGATATTTTTTTCTTTCTTGCTATATAGTACATGTATCTTGCCAACATTTATCAATATTTTTATTCCTTATTTCATGTAGAACAGTGACTTTAATAGCAACATATTTTTTATGTTTTTATCCATGTGTATCTCCTTCTATCTCTAATTCTTGTATCAGACCAAGCAAATGTTTACAGTGATGAATTGTTTTTATACTTTGAATAAAAAAAAGTATATAAGATGTGCTTTGGTTTTGTGCGTTTATAAAGGTGACTTTTTTTTTGAGGGCCAAATTTCATTATGTAATACATGTATATGGACTATGGACTATTTAAAGCGATAGTAAGCTGATGAACTTTTTGCCCTAGCGTACCGTTTATTGCACAGTGCCATCTCATGGTCAACTTGCCTGCAGTGCGTAACCTAGTACGTAATTTCCACTTCGCAGAGGACATGATGCGAGAACCAACAGCGCCCCTAGAGAAGCAGCGAGTTGCGGGAGCATACTGCTAGTACAGCTGACCAGATTTATTATGGCACTAAAGGGGATTTTGCTGTAGAGCTTTTAGTGCAGTATGGCATTAAATTGTGAAAAGTCTGTATGACTGAAGAAAAACACGATTTACCTCTATGAATCTTACTTTTGTGCTAGAAATATTTTCATTGCAAAAAGTAATGAACTTCATCAGCTTTTTTTTTTCAAGCAGCCAAAAATATTTACACAAAATGTAAATACACAAAAAAAATACTGAAGAGCACTAAAACCAACAACAATAAACAAGGACTGCACGATTTTGAGAAAGTTAGAGTGAATTTAATGTTAACTAACATACATACCGGTTTATAAGAATTTAATCCAAATACATACTAACCCCTTGAAAAGAATAACAGAATCGGCAAAAACAAGGAATAACTTACAAACAAGTAGCTACATTAAATAAAACAATGGAAAAAGGACTTAATTAAACATGTTAATTGCAATAAGAACCCGTGTACTTGTTAACAACTGAACACTGCGAGTGCAGATATGTGTGTATTTGATACAATGTAAATGTTCACTGTATCATACAAGAAAGTTCTTAAATATAATTATGATACAAAGTGTCGCCAATGTGACAATAAATTGGACCAATAATAAAAATTAAAACAATTATGAGTGTTTGAAATATGGGATCACTAATTGGTTACTAGAATGTCAAGTAAAGAATGCACTTCATATAATAGTTAAAAATAGGTGACTTTCACACTTACAATAACGAAAAATTATAATAAATAAGATAATAATATATCACCTAAAACAGCCACAATATTGGTAGATATAGAAAAACATGTACCCATGTAATACATTTCATCTACATGACCTTTTTCAGCATATATTGCAAATTCCTATAGTAAAACTACTGAATACAAACTAAAAAAAACAAAACATAAAAGTTGTTCAAGGGTTGTCTGACATAGCAATTGATGGCAACATCTGCACGGTGTGTTCCATACACGGTCATGATTGTCTCTTATATATTGTACAATAATCAACCCAAAATGTAAACGGAGTGTCACAGCGATCTTGAAGAGTAAAATCTATCTTTGTTAAGGCTTGTTCAAATATGGTACAGTAAACCACCACAAAAAAACGCTGCTGTTTTTTTAACGTGTAATTAAAGGCAACTGCAACAAAGGACTAGCACGTATCCACTGAGCTCTGCTGTGTTATAAGATACAGAAAAGTGATGCGTTTACACTTTTCGTCATTAAAAAAATACTGCAGTTTTGCCGCTCCAAATCTGAACGAGTCTTTGTGGTTCTTAGAGGTATTAAAGATTAGCATGAACAGCTATTAGGCACTATATAAATGTAAATCCAGAAAAAATTACCATTATTATTATCAAATTTAAATGTATTCTGCAAACTGGTCTTGATTCCCAAAACATTACTTTTGACAGGCAGACGGTCATAACTTACACACACCAAAATAAATAAAATCTGAACCTATGACTTTCCATCTATCTATCTAAAGTATCTAACTCTCCCATAGTTTGAAGGTTGTTAGGGGCGACAATGAAATGGACCTTGAGACACGGGTTATCCATAACTTCCTGTCTTGAGCCGTTCTAGATAGCTGCTCAAATGACATTCCCTTCTACTGCTTGATGTTATCAGGCCGTGCCCTAGTTAGTCTTCCTCCTACGACTGTACGACTATTGTAATAATAAACTGTTTCTTTTACAGCCTAAATACATTGTATTCTTTCCAGTCAAATACCTAAATAGTTAGACACCTTTTATAATACGAGGCTAACATCCATGTACAGGCAAAATTTCAGACATACATATTTCAAATTACCCTTTGATGTAAGGGTGCAAAATATTTCAACGCATTTTGAATTGGTTCTGAAAACTTGTGCTTATATGTAAAGCAATACGCGTTTATATAAATGTATTTCAAAGGGGGGGGGGGGAGTGATATTAAACGTATTAATGACAAAATCCCATGGAATATACATGAACTGTACAAGTTGGAAAAAAAGAAGTATTTTTCAGGTGACTGTTTTCATACATTAGTCAATAATATAATAACCAAGGAATGTGCTAATTTCAAGTAACTTTAAACACTGGATTAGATAAAACAAAATAATAATATGTAATTTGTATATATCGCTTAATACAAATGTCTCCAAGCCTAAATAAATAACATGGCCTTTAGAGAACTTTGAATTGCGCATCGCACTCAGCCTCCACGACACGTACATAATATACAAGTTGAGCACATCAGACAAGATGAAAATCACAACTTTCCTGTAAATTGAGGTAACAAAGAATTCCTAAATACTTTTCTTGCTTTTTTTTCATTTTCGTCTGCAAAATATTGCAACTGCATCTTATTGACTGGCTTTTTTCTTCTTTGGTAATAACATACATGAAAAGAGTTGTAAAGGGTACATGAGCATTTGTCTACATCAATAACCCACTTCTTGTGATGGCCAAGATTAAACTAATTTAATCTTTGCGCAGCATAAAACGTATGACCATTCGGTACAATTGTCTGAAAATCAAGACTATTACTTTTGGGCTCTATAGCCCTAAAGTCGATTTGACAACTAAAAGTGGTTATTTTCCCACTTGAAGACATTTTCAAGCCCCACCTTTTTTAGGGAAGTTCTAAATTAGTATTATCTTTCAAATGCAGTTGGAATTTAACTTTTTCATTTTTTTGGCCTGCAAATGGGACATAGTACCTTTAATTAATGTATAAATACTCCATTGCTACTGGATGCAAATGCAAATACTTCTTATCTTTCTCTATATATTTGTAGAAATATATAATAGCTGGTTTTAACCAAATGTCTATATATAGGAACATGTAATACATTGCACTGTCAACGTGCATGGCAAAACTGGATATTGTGATCTGATGTACTGGAACAATACCCCGATACTTTGTAAACTACACGGCAGTAAAGACTAATAACGCCTTGAAAATATATAGTTCTTAACAGCAATTTAAAAAAAAACATATATTGTTAATGAATGAACAACAAAAAGAACTGTAAAATCAACAAGACATGTACATGTATCTCTAAATCCATTGTACACCTATGCCCATGTACATGTGCCAAATTAAAGCTGCCTCTTTTACACGTAAATACTTTGACTGCAGTGGCAAAAGTTACTCTGTAAAAGAAAAATAGAGATTGTATGTACATTGTAGCTAGCTGCTGGTGAGGGAATATAATCAGGTCTGTAAAAGGTGAACCTGAAGAAGCTGCTAAACTTAAATCTGTCTCACATTGACAAATATAATCCCTACAATAAACTATAACAATTTGCACAATACATGCATGCACGATAGAAATGCACGATAGGATAGAATAGAGTCACTATGTCACTACAAAACATATCAAGCAGAGTTTATACACAAAAGTTAGTAACTTGGTTCTACTTGTTACAGCTGCAATCCTATATTTGCCTTCCAATATATTTAGATTGTCATGTAACATAACATGTATATTCATTTCTTTCTTGAGGTAATAATAAAGTAATGCTTTCATTTTAAACTTAACTATTAACTTGAAGAAAAAAAAACCAAATTTCCTATCCTCATTCCATATCAAGCCTTGTTTTGCAATAGCAATAAATATACCTGTTTCAATGTCTTAAGTGCTTCATAAATCCAATTAAACATTATTATTATTCAATGCTCAAGTGAGCAAATTATTATACCCTGTACCAATATATTAATACATGTACAATTATTCCCTAAATAGACAATAGAGCCAAAATATTCATCTTCTTCATTCATTCTGTATACATGTTAACCATGCTTCTGCTATATACTTATATACATAACACACTTTGACCATACTTTCTACAAATGATGAAATGTATTTAGACAAATACATGTACTTTTTGATGGCTTTTTTTGAGGTTAAATGTTGTATAGCATAATACTAGAAAATGGTAGGCCGCTGTGAAGTTTGTTTTCCTCCTTAAGTGAAATATTAATCAAATGAGAGGCAAAAATAATGTATACGCCTTATACAGCAATATACGTACTATATGTACTATACACAAGAGGATTGTAACACACGCACTATCACTATCTTCAAGCACAGCAGTGAGATTGTTGTGCCGGGAGCCGTCAGAGCGGAAGGTTCCTTGCGCAGGGCAGTGTACGGCCGTGATCGCATTCCTTTCACATATTTATGCTAAAATTCACCACAATTATGGATGGAATATAAAATGATCTCTTATATACATCTTTTGATACATGGAGAATGCAAGACTATAGTTAACGCACTTAAATCCCATGTCCTTTTTGCTACCAAAACTGTACACAAGTTTTAACAGATTCAAGCAACACTTAAAAAACATGATCAATGAGGCTAAAAAGTAAGTTTGTTTCAAGCTACTTACAAGGGAAATGTTCAAACTATGATTAACTCACTTTTCTGATAATTTCAATAATAAATAAATCAAGAAAATGGAAAAACAGTCAAACCTGTTTATAAAGGCCACTCGAGGGAAACAGAAAAAGTGGCCACAGGTGGCCTTTCTAGACAGGTTCTAATTTCTTTCTCAAGGGAGACAAAATACTTAGTTGCTATAAACAGGTGGCCTATATAGAGAAGTGACCACTAAGACAGGTTTGAATGTATCCCATATACACTTAAACTGTATATGGGACATACATGTACCTGTATACATAATATGAAGAGATAGAGAGCGAGAAAAAAAAAACAATAGTAATTTTTGATTTACATAGACTGATTATTTTACATGTCATTAAAAAGTAGAATCTCTTCACAGAACAGAAAAATAGGATTTAACATTTCTTGTCTTAAACATGAATGAACATTGACTATAAACTATTAGAAGGAGAATAATGTACTCGCTACAATTACCTCTATAACGAGTGGTTTGTCGATGCAATGTAGCAAGTTGTTCACCATAACATTTTTTCTTAACTTTTTTTGGTTGAATTTTTATATTTTGACTGTAGAAAGAATGTCTGCTAGAGAAAATCACTCTTGTTCTTCTTCTAAAACTGAAGGTCTAGATGTTTTTGATCTACCGATTAGGAACCATTTTCTACGCCATTCGGTTTTGGTTGGCTCTGAGTGATGTAATGGAGAAGATCAATTCTTGTCGCGATGCCGAAGATCATTTTCTTCTGGGCCACAGTTTGGCTTGCAGAGTCTGGATTGGAATAATAAACAAAAAATATAAAGGATATTAAACTCAGAAGTGGATTCCATTCCGGCAATATTGAAGTGTACCAATCACCAAAACTATTTTTCTCTGTATGTCAGTTCACGTCATAAGATGATGACGTGGATCCTAATCAAATGATTGGTTGAAAGCGTACACGTGACCAGGCATTTATTTTGCCTAACGCGTTATTTGGATATTAACCGGTTATTATCCAATTCAAATGACCGGTCATTAGTAAAATCATGTTATAAAACATCATTTTATAAAACATATAAAACGTAATCTTATATAACAAATAATACACATCATTTTGTTCGGGCATTACTAAAATTACCCACACTTGGTACCTTTAAAATAGTCCAAACGCCCTCGGCGATATGTTCCAAAGGTACCTTGTGTGGGTAATTCTTACTAATGCCCTCACTGATGTGTATTATTTGTATATTATTCCATGTCAAAATCTATAAAGCTTTGAATATTATCTCTGCAAAGATATTTTTAAAGTTTCAATACAATCTCAGTTTACTTATCACTATAAACTGAGTCTTCTTTTCAACCCTGTGTGACCTTAAATGGCATTACAAAGACATTACAAATATTGAATAGTAAATATAGTTTAAAGGACATTACAGGGATTTGCATGGTAAAATCTCAAATCTTTGTAAAAGGGCCAATATATATTTATTTAGTAACGTAATGTTTTCTTTAAAAAGCAGAGTAGTCCCATTCCAAGCAAAGAAGGGCCTGGGGTCTGTTTCACAAAGCTTTTTTTATCTATAAAAAATGCTAAATTTCGATGACAAATTTGCTCTCAGCCAATCAGATGCCATGATTTCAGTAGCTTATAACAGTAGCTTGTAACTTGTTATTGATATCAAGTTTTATGAAACAGGGCTCTGGTTTATGAGGGAGCCCTGCAATGAACAAATGCAACATAAAAGATACATGTACATGGTAATGATATTGACAACATTTAACTGTAACGAGACACAAACAAAGGTTTATGATACAGACAAGGCAAAAGAGCAAGGAAAAATGTAAATGAATTAGAGTACTATATATACAGTTAAAAACAAAATTATTCATACCCTAATCAAGTTTTGAAATTTGTTATGTGAAAAATTGATTTGTTCCGATCTATATTTCTTTAAAATCTAAGTACTCAACAAATGCTGTTATTTTACGAGTCCACCTTTCATTCTTGAGTTATGAAAAATGCAGCAGACATCAACTTTACGAGGGGTATGAAAAATTTAGTTGTTATCAACTGTTAGATGTAAATTATTAAAATGCATCAGAATTAGTAAACTTGAAGATAACTTACACAGTCTCTGATCTTGAAGGATAAGAACAAAATGATCTTGATCGAAAACTCGGGAGAGATTGCCGAGCGTGGTGTCCAGAGTGACCTATCGAAAACAATCGGTAAAAAAAAAGATTAACTTAATGAAGTCACATTTGTATAGCGCTTAATAATACTGCATTTTAGGCACTTTACATTGTAACCATTATTACCTTGGTTTTGGGATTCAATTGCTAATCCTCACATGATGGTGCACATGCTCTGCTCCCTGGGGAGTATCCTAGCAGAGTGACATTTTACAAGTGCACACATGCGAATCCAAACACATTAACTTTTACACACTGTCAGATACAACTGGGTGGAGAGTGGCAAGTATAGATTAATGTCAACCTTATCAGGACAATTACCCCCTAGACAATCATCCCCTGGGAAAAATTACCCCCCCGTCCCTCCAGAAAATTACCCCCTAGGTCAATTTTTGCACCACAGATAAACCTCATGTTCAAGTATTACTTTAATACTTAATACAGAATAAAGAGATCAGTATTAGTCTTTAAATATACTCACTGTTCGAAATTGTTTGTACAGGCAGTCAGCGACTGGTGTAGAAGGCTTGATTTTAGCAGCTAACAGCTGGGACATGAGACTACCAAGTGTTACAACTCCCTTCACATCACTGTAATAAATATAATAATTTTGTTTTTTAATGACAAAATGAAGTTAACTTTTGAATTCTAATCCAGGAATCTATTTCCAAAATGTATAATAATAATAATGGTGGCTTCTTAGAGGGCACACAAGTCTGTCACCCTGTGAGGCTCCTGGGGCTTAACATTATTACTCTGGTCGTTGCTGGCGGCCAAATACGTAGCGCTCTGGCATATCAGGTACCCATTTACGCTTGGGTTGAGAGTGGCAAAAGTGGATGAGTTGGGTCAGGATTTGGACCCTAAACCCTTGGATTGAGAGTCAAGAAAATAAACCACTGTACTAGGACACCTTCACAGAATAAGTTGTCTACATTGGTATGGTTGGTTTGTTCGTTTGTTTCACCTGACTGCTAAGAAAGCATGTGCATGCTTGTACGTACGCAACCAGGTGATCAATAGCTTTAAGTCCTCTCAGAGGGACTTGGTAATGAGGATTAATGCCTCACCAAAGGGCACTAGGGCATCAAATTGGTTTTGAACCCCAGACCTCCCGGTTACGAGACCCCCGCTCTACCACTAAGCCATCACACCTCCATGGGGAAAAACATTGTCTTACCCGGACTCTTCTACCACGGGCAGCTGGTCAAATCCATTTTTGTTCATAATGTCGATAGCGTCCTGACAGCTGACCGTTAGGAGGACGGTCAAGGGGGCGCCCAGCTTCAACATCGATATGGGCTGATTCCACCACCTACACAAACACAGAGAGAAATACAAGTTAGATATTTCCTAGAATTGTTAAAACATTACAAAGTTTCATGTGATTTTATGGGATTTCATCATAAATATTGCTACCACTCACCACTCACCATTACCAATATAAATATCTATTATTATTATCATTATGATTATTGTCATCATCACCATCATCGTCATCTTCATCCTCATCATCATTATCATCATCATCACAATCATCACCATCATCATCATAATCACCATCACCACCATCATCATCATCATCTTTATCATCATCATCATCATCATCATCATCATCACCATCACCACCATCATCATCATCATCTTTATCATCATCATCATCATCATCATCATCATCATCATCACCATCATCATCATCACCATCATCATCATCCTCATCATCATCCTCATCATCATTATCATCACAATCATCACCATCATCATCATAATCACCATCACCACCATCATCATCATCATCTTTATCATCATCATCATCATCATCATCACCATCACCATCATCATCATCACCACCATCATCTTTATCATCACCACCATCATCATCATCACCATCATCATCATCACCATCATCATCCCCATCATCACCATCATCATCCTCATCATCATCATCATCATCATCATCATCATCATCATCATCATCATCCTCATCATCATCATCATCCTCATCCCCATCATCATCATCACCATCATCATCCTCATCATCATCATCATCATCACCATCATCATCATCATCACCAACACCATCATCATCATCATCATCATCATCATCATCATCATCATCATCATCACCACCACCATCATCACTATCATCATCATTATTGTCATTATCATTAATAATAATATTTTTAAACCACTCAAACACAACACCTCTACAGAGCAGAGTTTCTTACCAATGTTGTGGTGTGTTATCCACATGCTTGTCAATGAATTCTTTCTCAACCATCCAGTCGTCAGACAAGAACTTGGTCCTAAAACAAAGAAAGAACAAAAAAGTTTGAAACAACAATAAAACAAATCCAACAATCCATCGAGGTAAGTTCTCCTATCTGTCTATCAAGGTAAGTTCTCCCAGCTCGAAGGTTGATAGCAACAGTTTCCCACACATCTGTTTTTTGCCAACCTGGTACACTCTTGCAGCGTCATTCCACTCCATGCCTCTACGTTCCCCTCTCAGTTAGTCCGACTTTCTACATTCTAGCTGCACACAAATTACTTTTTCAGTGATTACTACACTTTATAAGATGATGAAGTGGATCCTAATCAAAAGAATGATTGAGAGTTTACACATGACCAGGGTTTTATTTTACTAATGACTGGTCATTATGACCGGTCATTAGTAAAATCATGTTATAAAACATCATTTCTATAAAACAAATAAAAAATTCCTCTCAAAACAGTCCAAACATCCTCGGCTATCGCCTCAGGTGTGTTCCAAAGGTACCTTGTGTGGGTAATTCTTACTAATGCCCTCACTGCTGTGTATAATTATTAACACATACTTGTTTATAAGTTTACCAGAAACTTACATGTAATTCCTGACTGAATCCGCGAGGAGCACCACACAGGTCTGGCCTTCTCTTAAGGACTTGGCAGCCTCCAATGCACCAGTCATTGAGCCACCGCTACTACCACCTGTACGAAGAAAATTTGGACATTTGAATAATAATAATAATACTCAGTTTTTATATAGCACTTATAAGAATCACTAAGCGCTTCCAAACTCGGAGATTATTAGCCCGGCTCTAGCATTTCAAAGAATTAATTCGTGCCAGGTACCCATTTATATCACCTGGGTTGAGTGTGGCAAATGTAGATCAATGTCTTGCCAAAGGACATTGGCATGATTGACAAGCCTTCATTCAATCTTTTTCATTTGTTATGTGTAAATGAATGGTAACTGCTTGCAACAAAGGTCTCGGGGTGGGGGGGGGGGGGATTCACTGATCTCTGTGTTGTAAGATATGACCATCTCCAGTTTTACTATGGAATAACCTTGAACACAATGCGCAGACTATTCCATTCTTGAAAAATGGGGGTGGCAACTTACCACAGAGGAGTCCCTCTTCCTTGATGAGTCTCCTTGACATTACGAAGGATTCTTTGTCCCCGACCTTGAGCCACATATCCACGACTGTTCGGTCCAGTACGGTCGGAATGAAGTCGTAACCAGTTCCCTCCACCTCATAGCTTGTGACGTCTGTCTCGTTAAGTTTCTCTGGTTGGGCTAGGATAGAACCCAGAGGATCAACTCCTACAACCTATGAGTAAAAACATCAATCATTAATTTCAGTTTTAATATTCTTTACTCTGTTCAGAGGCAGAGGGGCATCAACTCCAGGAACCCGTTTCACAAATCCTTTTTTCAATGACAAGTGACAAAAATCAGTGACAAATCTGCTGATAACCAATCAGAAGCAAGGATTTCAGTAGCTTATAACAAAAACTGTCATTTGTCACTGATGACAAGTTTTGTGAAACGGGTCCCTGGTCAATGTTCATGAGGGAACGCCCTTCTGGTCCCAACAGACGATATGTTTACAAGCAATAGAGTAATACCAAACGAAAGAGACTGGAGCGTAACTGTCACATGCACGCTTCAGTATATGGTATAAAAGTGACAGGGATGAGCAAAGCATACACAATATATAGTTGTGATCTATTTTTGTCAAAATAAATAGGTTCTATTCAATAAAATTGGCTTCTTACAAGATTCAATGGAAGTGGCAGAGAGAGATCAAGGGAGATCAAGATTGAGAGAAAGCAGATGATAAAGAACTTGGGATGTTGGGATAGTGGAGTATGGTGGATAGATGAAAAACATGGAGAGGAGAGGAGAGGAGGAGGGGGAGAGGGAGAGAGAGGAAGAGTAAGAGAGAGAGAAAGATAAAGAGAAAAAAAGGAAAAGAGATAGAAAGAAAAAGAGAAAAAGAAAGAGAAAGAGAAAGGGAAAGAGAGAGAGGAAGTGAAAGAGATAGAGAAAGAGAAAGAGAAAGAGAAAAAGAAAGAAAGAGATGAAGAGAAAAAGAAAGAGAAAGAAAGAGAAAGGGAAAGAAGGAAAGAGAAAGAGAACGAGAAAGAGAAAGAAAAAAAGAAAGAGAAAGAGGAAGAGAAAGAGGAAGAGGAAGAGGAAGAGAGTGAGGAAGAGGAAGAGGAAGAGAAAGAGGAAGATGAAGAGGAAAAGAATGAAGAGAAAAAGAAAAAGAAAGAGGAAGAGAAAGGGAATGCTTGAAGGGAATGAGAGAGTGGCACCGAGGTATCATAAAGAAATACTTTATTAGATTTATACCTTTATATGAGGGTTGAGTTCCTTGAGCTTCCTGCCGATTCCAGTCACAGTACCTCCTGTTCCAGCTCCACAAACAACCATGTCAACCTTGCCTGTAGGTATAATAACACAAGAGGGCAGCAAATAAGACAATTGCAAATCAATGGTGATTCAAATAGAGGAAAGGGTTCTACATCACATACTCCAGTGACAATTGCTACTTGGTTGATTTCCGACACTAAACAAATTCCTAGCTCATTGTATATATGCGCAAGCCTATTGTTGCGCACAATTGAGATTCATTAGAACGTTAAAAAACAACCTTACCTGTTTGTATAAGAACACAGGAGAGCAGCAAAAAAGATGATTGCGAATCAATGGTGATTCAAATAGAGCAAAGAGTTCTACAAGAAGTACTCCAGTGACAATTGCTACTTGGTTGATTTCAGACACTAACCAAATTCCTAGCTTGGTGTATATGCGCAAGCCTTTTGTTGTGCGCAATTAAGATTTAATAAAACTTAAAAAACAATGCCAGTATTTTTGCAGTATGCTACCGTGCCATATCTCAACAAGCTGAAATAATTTGAGAGAAAAGGGGAAAGCAGCGATTGATGGAGGAAGAAAAAAAATGAATGAAAATAAAACAAACCATACCATTGCACTGTTCCCAAATCTCTGTTGCTGTATTGTCGTAATGTGCCAACGGATTGCCTGCATTCCTGTACTGATCTAGAATCACGGAGTTGGGGATCTCGCGATTCAGACGCTGCGCCACGCTGATGTGAGATTCCGGAGCATCAAACCTTGCAGACGTCGGGGTTCTGACGATCTCGGCTCCCAGGGCGCGGAGGGTGTCGACCTTCTCATTGGACATCTTTTCCGGCATGACGATGATGCAACGGTACCCCTTCACCGCAGCTACCAGGGCTAGACCAATCCCTATATCGCAAAAATAGAAGTTAAAAATATATATAAGCACAAAAGGAGAAAAAATGCAGTCTCTTCTCTCTCACTTATTTTCAGTCTGTCAGCATGAGAGTCACCCATTCTTTAATTTTCTGTCATCTTTAATACATCTGTGTTCCATAATGTTAAATGCGTGAAGTTCCCCAAAGCTGTCTATTACTCTCTTCAGTCTTAACCATTTCAATCCCTTCTCTTTTCTCTCTCTCTATATATATACATATATCTCTCTATCTCCCTTCCCCCTCTCCCCCCCCCCTTCTCTCTCTCTCTCTCACACACACACACACACTTTCCCCTTCTGTATATATCTCCAACCCCCTCCCTCTCCTCTGTGTCCATCTGTACATGTATGTCTGTCTGTGTCCTCTTCTCTCTCTCTCTCCCTCTCTCACCTGTATTTCCCGACGTTGGTTCAATCAGTGTATATCCGGGTTTCAGGGTTCCGTCTTTCTCTGCGTCTTCCACCATCTTCAACGCAATGCGATCCTTGACACTTCCACCGGCATTGAAGTATTCACACTTAGCCACTGAACAAAACAAGAAGAAGAAGAAGGAAAAAAGAGGAATCTATGAAACGTGTACGTGATATTGAGGTGAATACATGAAAATATGCTAGTCAAAATAAAAATTGTTTGACAATTGAAAATTGTAAATGATGACAATTTTAAGAGCAACAAACTTTCACATGTTGCAAACTTTCTGTGTTGTGTTAGTTGTATTTCAACCATGCTTAAAGGGGCAAAAGATGTTATGCGCTACACCACAGAAGTTTCCGGCTTTACAAACACACACTTGATTTCTTTTTACAAGTTATATAAGTAAAGAATTTTATCATGCACATGGAACCCCGGTCAGACTTGGGTTCTGTGTGCGCAAACAATTGCACTGACCAATTTACTCACAAGTCGCTTATATTTTAATTCAGGGGATCAGGTAAATTTGCCTCAGATTCTAAAAAAAAATCCTGGATTTAGCTCATGCTGCAATGATAATTATAAGCCTTTAAAGGGATCCGGTAACTTTGTCTCAGATTCTGAAACAAAATTCTGGATTTAGCTCATGATGCAATGATAATTATAAACCTTTAGGTCAGTCAGGAGCCCCATGACTTTTACAAGCTGATCGCCTGTCTGATTATCAAGATATTTATGATTGGAATTACAAATTTTGAAAACCGTTCGCCTGACGGTTTTCATAACACTACAGTCTATTGGGGAAAACGAGTATGGTAAAACTGGTCACTCAAAGATTTTTACTTTTTTGAGGCACTTCTTGATCATTTTGAAGCGCAATTTTTTTAGGGCTTCAATATTACATATCACAGACACTGATAACACTTAGGGCCGTGTATCTCAGATTTAACATTGTTAAACGATCCCTTTAAGTCAGTCAGGAACCCCATGGCTTTTACAAGCCGATCGCCTGTCTGATTATCAAGATATTTATGATTGGAAATCAAAATCAAATTTTGTGTTTTCCTAACGGTTTTTATAACACTACAGTCTAATGGGGAACATGAGTATAGTAAAATCGGTCACTCAAAGATTTTTACTTTTTTGAGGCACTGTTTGATCATTTTAAAGCCTAATTTTTTTTAGGGCTTCAATATTACACCATATCACAGACACTGATAATAAGTAGGGCCATGTATCTCAGATTTAAAGGGATCGTTTAACAATGTTAAATCTGATATACACGGTCCTTCATGTTACAAGTGTCTGTGATATGGTGTAATATTGAAGCCCCAAACAAATCACGCTTCAAAATGATCAAGAAGTGCCTCAAAAAAGTAAAAATCTTTGAGTGACCGGTTTTACCATACTCGTTTTCCCCAATAGACTGTAGCGTTATGAAAACCGTTCAGCGAACGGTTTTCAAAATTTGTAATTCCAATCATTAATATCTTGATAATCAGACAGGCGATCGGCTTGTAAAAGTCATGGGGTTCCTGACTGACCCAAAGGTTTATAATTATCATTGCAGCATGAGCTAAATCAAGGATTATTTCTAAAGGATCTAAGACAAAGTTACCGGATCCCTTTAACATTGTTAAATGATGCCTTTAAGAGTGTATTTAACCTTGTAATATCTCTGTAACATTCTATGTACCACAAAAGAAATCTGCCTTTATTACATTTATCACGGGATAGAGGTACTGCACATGACTACATGTACATGTATAACAAAAGCCTACAGATTATTTAGATTTAAGTGTTTCCGGGCCAGATTAAAGGGATCCGGTAACTTTGTCTCAGATTCTGAAACAAAATTCTGGATTTAGCTCATGATGCAATGATAATTATAAACCTTTAGGTCAGTCAGGAGCCCCATGACTTTTACAAGCTGATCGCCTGTCTGATTATCAAGATATTTATGATTGGAATTACAAATTTTGAAAACCGTTCGCCTGACGGTTTTCATAACACTACAGTCTATTGGGGAAAACGAGTATGGTAAAACCGGTCACTCAAAGATTTTTACTTTTTTGAGGCACTTCTTGATCATTTTGAAGCGCAATTTTTTTAGGGCTTCAATATTACACCATATCACAGACACTGATAACACTTAGGGCCGTGTATCTCAGATTTAACATTGTTAAACGATCCCTTTAATCCATACTTGTGTCAAAAGGGTTGTCATGATACAGGTCATTTAGCAAAGCCCATGTTTTGCACAAAAGCAACCCTTCCATCAAATTGGGGTCCCTGTTTTGTGAAAAGATTGTAAGAGTGGCAAATGAGGCATAGAACAATTAAGAAGAGAGAATTAGACCTCGGCTGTGATTTTTATTTGAAGTCTATTTGGCTGTGTGGCTGAAGTATTACAAGCAACACACATGTAATAAAATTACAATAATATCCTATATTATATAGCATATATCTGTCCCGCCCTGTGCAGTGTGTGTGCACTCTAATACAGAGAAAGAACTTATTTCTAAGAAAAAAACATTTTAAAACTTGTCAACAGAATCATCATTTTTGATATATTCTAGCAATTTATTCCAAAGCCCTGCTGATGCAACCCATGAAGAGCATGACCCGTAGAACTTTGTATTTATTTGAGGGACAATAAGGAGAGACTCAGCAAAATTTCTGTATGTATTGGGTAGGTAGTTCAGTCAAATACGTAGGAGCCAATCCTTCCAGACACTTCAAGGTTCAGACAAGGATGACTTGATTCCAGCACAAACAGGTATTACTTATTAGTGTAATCTCTTAGAATAAACATGTAGTTATACAGTAGGCTTACATCACCATGCAAGCCGACACTTCATCTAAACATGTAATTGTCATGTATTAAAGGTAAAGACCAGTTATGGTCATGAGATTGCATTTCGAAAGAAACGTTGTGGAATCGATCAGAAACGGATCATCTAGCATCTGCAAGGTTCTGGAATCATCAAAATGATAAGAAATTTGGCCCATTCTTCGTAAAGTTACAAGCACTATACACAAAAAGATGTATATGGGACTACCCTATATCTCTCACAGACCATGAGAGAAACAAATTTACCCAATATATGAATTAGTAGGCGGTTTCCCGGCAAATTTTTTATCATCATGTATTAGTCAAAACATATTCTTTCACATGATTGCTAATGAGAGCTTCCATTTCATTTTTTTAAATTGGGGCGTTTCCAATACCGGTCTTTACCTTTAAAGAGAGATGGACTCCTTTGATCGGAGCCTGTCTTTTCAGACACTTCAAGCCTTCAAGGTTCAGATAAGGATAACTTAATTCCAGCACACACAGGTACCTGGTAACCAGTGTAATCTCTTTAATAAACACGTTGTCAGCATGTATTAATTTAACAGAGAGATGGATTCCTTTGAATGGGATCTCCTGACAAGCCAAGTAGCAGAATTGAGGAAACCCCAAAGAGTAAACAATACTCTTATCCCCAAATAAAGGGGTGACCTACTGGTACATAGATACATGTTTTAAAGTATTTATACTTTTGTTATAATATCCCCCCCCCCCACACACTTTATTTGATTGTAAATATATCATTGTACACATTTATTTCACGTTTTGTGTGTGAAAAATAAATTCAATTCACTTCAATTCAATTCAATGTGTTCATTCATAGTATTTATCAACTACCACTACATGTCTGTGTGTTTGCATGACTTGGCATATATTGCTTTTATGTGGGTACACAACTATACATGCTTGGTAAACAGCTCTGTCATGGATGGTCTAATAACTCTAATTTCAATTGTAAGGATTCTAGATTCTTCTTAGAAACTTGGTGACAACCCTCACAGATAACTGTTGAGTAAACAAAACCAGAGGAACTTTTGTTGTTACAAGAACAAGTCAGACAACTTGGGGTACAAAACATATTTTGTGTGAGAATTTTCATTCTTTGTTTTTGTTAGTGTGAAAGAGTCATGCAGCTGCATCGTTGACCCCATCTGAAAATGGTGTCATTATTCTCCCTCTTGTAGACACTTACATGTAATTCTTAATGTCTCACCAGGAACCCAAATTCAAGGATTCTCCCCTCATGCGCCATGCAGAGAAGAATAGAATCTAGATCTGCACCTGTTAAATAATCCCCCTCCCCCTCTTGAGTCACTGGCTGAAGCCTGGTTGTCAAATTGCAGACCCCCCCCCCCCCCCTCCCCCCTCCCCGCTCCCCTCTTCTTTTTCCCTACATTAAACATGTCCTTCTGTTAATAATGGGTGTTAATTTGCTACAAAGCCATGATTGGGGTAAAGAGTAAGTACATGGAGTGTCCTTTAAAGCCTGTCTGTACTAGTTTGGCCAGGAGGGATTTAACCTCCCTGCAAGGTCACTGGCAGGTGGTTATACAGGTATATCATCAAATCAGCTGATGATGATGATGATGATTCACAGCATTTGTATGATCTGTTTATAAAAACATTCAAAGGCGCGATCAAATCAGCTCTCAGTTAACATAAGAAAAAGGGGATCATGGGGGACCAACAGGCACCGCTAAGGCATGGTTTGCTATTCAAAGAGGATGCAAGTAGCTAAAAGTAGTGCAGTCCCGCTTTAAAGGGTGTTGCAAGGATTTGTACAGTGAAAATCTCAAAACTTGTAAAAGGATCCAAATGTTGTTTAAAAAAGTATGGTTGCTGAAATATTCATCATTAGCAAAATAACAGTTATTTTCTTTTTTTTAAATTTGAATGTTTCTACTGGTAAAACTTAAAGAAAACTTTAATAGTAATAAGATACTAATAGCCAGTTTACACTATAAGAAATACATGTCATATATGACACTTGTTAATAAAGAATAATTGTACAGCGTACAAAGAAGCATAACATAATGATTAATCTAAGGTCAGTTGACATAAGTGTCAGCTTTGATGACAGCTGGTCAATTGTCAGTGCACACTCATGATAAGACAGGGCTGCATATTTACCCAGTTTTTGTACAAAACATAGGGCGCGTTCATGCTTGATTTTGACGGCCAGAATCAGGCATCTGTTACGCGTTTAGTTTAAAACACGGTTGCGTCTTAGCTCACTTTTGTAGAATCACCGAAAAACGGCGATCACGATCGCCGATCGTAAACTCACAAAAAGAGGCGATCACGATCGCCGATCGTAAACTCACAAAAAGATGCGTTTACAATTTGTAAACGGGTTTAAATGGGGTCAACGCACTGACCTCTAGTGGGTCTACGTAGCATGCACAGTGAAGGTTTGCGAATCCAGCTGGAAGACCAATTAAGGCCACACACGGAGAATTGCCTGGGGAGCCAGAGAAGTAAGCATGAACACTACATCGTGGAACTGCGATCACGATGAGCGTTTACGATGAGCGTTTCAGATCGCTCATTCTGCCTTCAAAATTTAAGCATGAACGCAGCCATATTCAGACGAGAAGAACAGTATTCTGATTCTTAATTGAGTTAGAATTTTAAACAATATTCAAACCACATTCTGCTATGATAAAACGTTTCATTTAAATACAATATTCAAACTAGAAAAAATGTAAACACTTACCATACATGCAGCTACATGTACACCGTATAATAAAAGTTTCCCTACAGCCATGTAATGATTTTTGGTATTAAGTTTTCAAATGAAATGATGTTCAAGCATAAGTTTTGCTATACAACGTTTTCATTAAAATACAACATCCAGGCTAGAATTTTTTTTTTAATACATAAATGCAGCTAATGTATATCCTTCCTCTACAGCCATGTAATGAATGTTGGTATTGAGTTGTCATATATAACGATGTGCCAAGTTTCAAACATGTATTTTGTTATATACAATGTTTCATCAAAAAATACAACATCCAGGCTAGAAAATGTTTAATACTTACCATACATTGTACATGAAGCTATAACGTATCTCTACAGCCATGTAATGAATGTTGGTAATGAGTTTTCATATGAAACGATGTGCCAAGTTTCAAACATGTATTTTGTTATATACAACGTTTCATTAAAAAATACAACATCCAGGCTAGAAAATGTTTAATACTTACCATACATTGTACATGAAGCTATAACGTATCTCTACAGCCATGTAATGAATGTTGGTATTGAGTTTTAATATATAACGATGTGCCAAGTTTCAAACATGTATTTTGTTATACACAACGTTTCATTAAAAAATACAACATCCAGGCTAGAAAATGTTTAATACTTACCATACATGTACAACATTTCCATACATGTGATGAATTCATAGAATAAGATAATGTTATATACGCTACCGTATATGCAAGAACGTAAAGAAATCCTTGGAATAAATTATTAATGCTTACATATTTGGCACTTGAGACCGGTCCCTTTGGTGACGTTGTTGATGCGGATGAGAGGCGTGTTTCCGATCATCTTCAAGATGGTGGGTTGCGCCCTCTCTCGAACCTTGTTACCCTCACTGAAAAAGAAATTTGAAAATATGTTGAAAGAAATTTTTTTCTTTTCTTTAGAAAATAATTTCTTCAAGTTTGTTTTATCATTTGGACCCTTCATAGGGCCATCCGTCCATATATTCCTGTACTGTACCATTTCACTGTATGTCATTATGTCATCATTTATTTTTTGTTTATTTTTAATTGTTAAATAAATTCAAATCAAATCAGGTTTCTCTTTAAAGAAGCCTGTTTCGATGAGGAAACATGATTTGACAGTTCTGATCATGCAATCAAATCACTCTAAACAAAAGAACACATAGAGAGAAAAAAACAAAGATTACTATCATTTTCCCTTTGAATGAAGTCATTATTTCCAATGATTCAACCCTTTCAGATTTGTCACTTCTGATAATGTAATCATATTAAATTTTTGATAGTGTACTCAATGGAAAGGCCCTAAACATAACTCCCCCCCCCCCCCCCACCCCTCCCCTTAAAGGGATTGGGTATCTTTGCCTCAGATTCTGAAACAAAATCCTGGATTTAGCTCTTGCTGCAATGATATAAACCTTAGGTCAGTCAGGAACCCCATGACTTTTACAAGCCGATGATTCAATGATTCAACCCTTTCAGAATTGCCGCTTCTGATTATGTAATCATATTAAATTTTTGATGGTGTACTCAATGAAAATGCCCTCATCCTGATTTTTTTTCCCGTTGACATGCAAGGTTACATGTTCAGTAACCTAGAAGATGTGACCCTCTTTAGATAGCGAGTAATTAATATCTATCACCGACAAATTTTAATTACATATGGCAATATAGCACAAACATTAGTGCGTGTGTAATTGACTATGCATAGATGCATACCATACGGCATGCATGTAACTATGCTACATGTAGTTTGCAAGTGCCAAAGGGAAGAATCTTTGGCCATGTCAACTCTCTGCATACATTGTTTTAATATATGTATGGATGTACACAAACAACACAGTTTTTGAGTGGATAAACAAATTGTATATTTTTAAATTTCAAACATCAATTTGTTAAGTGATTTGTTCTCTCTTTGTATCATCTTGTATTTGTTATTTTCAGAATCATTTTTGCTTTTAATAAATGATGGTGAAAAAGAATATCTAAGTGAGGCTGGGAAATTAGACTACAAACGGACTGTATTCACGAAACTCTTTCTGTGCGGATAACTGACACAACTGCAGATTCTTGCCTGTGATACCAGAAAAAAACTAGTTATAGCATGCACAATCTGCACCATCTCCACTCCCTGGGAGTTTTCCTACCATATATAGTCACTGTGAGGGCACATGTACGATATGGCAATAACTATTAACACAAAAGCTTTTCTTATCCTATACCGGGTCCCCATTTCTCTCATGGGTACGGAGTGGCAAATGTAGATTAATGCCTTGCCAAGGGACATTAGTGATGTGTATGGGATTGAACTTGCGACCTTTCCATCTTAGGTCAAGTAAACCACTCGACTGCGACACCTCTACGAGTACAGTACAGGCTAATTGACTGGTGGAAGCCCACAAGAACGAAAGTCCGAGATGCCTGTGGCTATTGAAAACTAAGCATAATGAAGATGAGTCTATCTATGAGATATATAAACCAAGGTACATTTTTATTTTATTTTTTATTTATTTATTTTCCACATATGGGAAGGATCACCCTTTTCAGCTAAAAGCTGGTCTTCAAAGGGGTCCATCCACAAGATAAAAATACAAATTGTTGATAAAATACATTTGAGATATGATTACAATGATAAACAAGCAAACAAAACAAAAACAAATCATTATATATACATTAAGAAAAACAGAAATGTGCAGGATAGGCGAAAGAAAGAAACAAGGAATAGAGAGGCGAGAGAGAAAACCAAATATAAAATTGTTGCGTATAAAACAATCAAAACATAGTAAAACAAATCATCTGATGGGGTTACTCTGAAGGAAGTGTTTAAATGCTTGAATTGAGACTATTGATTGAGCGATGTTACTAAGTGAATTCCACAGCTTTGAACCCCGATAGACAAGTGATCTTTTACCGTAATTAGTTTTGGGTTGGGAAAGTTTTAATTTACGTGGGCCAGATCTTGTATTATATTTTGATTGGTGGAAAGAAAAAAATTTGCTAAGATAGGTTGGGCAGAGTTGGTGAATTGATCGGTACATGATACAAGCTAGGTGTTTTGACCATCGCTCGTTCAGACGGTCTAGTTTAAGTAATCGGTATAAATCATTAGAAGGAAACAAATAATCCACTTTTAACACTGTACGGAGAGCTCTATTTTGTAGAATTTGTAATTTTCCAAGATATGTTTTACAGGTATTTGTCCAAACCGGACTGCAGTAATCAAAATGGCTTTGCAATATGGTTTTGTAGAACAACAGTGCCGTATTTTGGTTAATGTATGGTCGGAGTCTTCTCAGAAGATAAATATATTTTATAACTTTTTTCTTAACATATTCAACGTGATTTTTCCACTGCAAATTCCTATCAATAACGACTCCCAAATATTTACAACATTCGACTTGTTGAATTTTTATGCCATCAATAAAGATATCAGAGTTATCAAATACATGTTGCATTTTCTTCAGACGTTGAGCTGTTCCCATGAACATGGCCTCACATTTTTTCAGATTAACTGTCAGCTTATTTTCAGACAACCAATTAGATAAACTTATAAGGTCATTATTCAAATTAAGTACAGCTTCCTGTGGATCTTTTGTTGATGTATATATGCATGTATCGTCAGCGTACAGTGCGACTTCACAACAGTTAATACATTTTGGCATATCATTTACAAAAAGAGTGAATAACAGTGGGCCCAGAATGGAGCCCTGCGGGACACCACAAATAATTTGTCTCTTTTCAGATAGGTAACCATTCACAGATGTAAACTGAAATCTTTCATTGAAGTAATTTTTAAACCATTCCAAAGACAATTGATCAAATCCATACATTTCTAATTTTTGCAATAAAATAGAGTAATCGACCGTATCAAACGCTTTTTTTAAGTCTATCATCACCAAGCCAACAATATTTCCCTTATCAATTACATCCAACCATTTATCTGTAACGTTAAGAAGGGCACTCACAGTGGAATGTAAAGGCCTAAATCCCGACTGACAATCAGATAGAATTGCATTATTGGTTAGATAATCGTGAATCTGATTGTAGACAACCTTTTCCATAATTTTTGCAAATATAGGAATAACTGATATAGGTCGATAATTTTCCATGCAAGTTTTATCACCTGATTTGTAAATTGGCGTGACACGTGCATGTTTCCATTGACTAGGCACAACGCCCATGCGCAGTGATCGATTCAAAATATGTGTTAACAATGGAGCAATAATTGTGGCAATCGGCCTTAAGAGTTTTGCTGGGATATTATCCGGACCAGTAGCCTTATTCACTGGGAGTGTCCTTAATATATTCTCAACCTCACTAGTTAGTACATCCCTAAATTCGAACAAAGTTGCATGAGGGTACAGAAATCGTGTAGGTTCAGTTTGAGTAGTAGAAAATGTACCATGCAAAGCCTTACCAATAGTTGAGAAATAATTGTTAAAGGCATTTGACAATTCCTGACCTCGTAGACTTTCTTCTTGAACTTTAATGCAATGAATTTCAGTATCATTCTTCTTTGTGGGCACTAGATTTTGTAAAGTTTTCCAGACTTTTTTGACATCTCCCAAAGCAGATTCAATATTTCTCGAGACAAAACTTCGCTTCTCTTGTCGAATTTGTGCTGTTACATTATTTCTGGCTTTTTTATATTTGGCCCAGTCATCATCCTTCTTTGATTTCTTCGCTTTATTCTTTAAGCGATCTCTAGTGCGAATCAATTGTAAAATATCGAGCGTCATCCATGGAGAATATTTAAGTTTAACTCGTGTTCTCCGGAGTGGCGCGTGTTTATCAATGGCAGTTAATAAAAGAGACAGAAACACTGAGCAAGCCTTTACTGGGTCACTAATAGTATAGACAACATCAAAATCTATATCACCAATGTCTCTTTTGAAGGCTTCATTATCAAAATTTCTCAGACATCTTCCAGTTTTGTACCTATGATAATTATTGAATCCAGCTCTGGATTTACCAAGGACACAATAAATCATGTAATGATCAGTAATAGAAACTTCAACAACACCACTGTCAATTATCTTTTCATTACAGTTACTGAAAATTAGATCAACGATTGTCGCGGATCTCTGTGTCACCCGAGTAGGTTTTTCAATCAACTGAGTACAGTTGTATGACTCCATTATATCAAGAAGTTTTTTTGTGTGGTTTAGTATAGGGCTATTCATCACGTCACAATTAAAATCACCAAGAACATGATATGGCATTTTTAAGTTATCTATTTTTTGAATAACTTGCTCAAATTCCTCAAACACCTTCATGTTCGAATTCGGTGGTCGGTACCAGCAAACAACTAGAAATGGTTTCTGTTTATAAAGTTTAATTTCAGTTATAATCATTTCAATATCTGTATTTTGCAACAGGTCATTTCTTTTCAAAAATTCGATACCATTTCTAATAAAATGTGCAACACCACCACCGAATTTGTTTCTATCACGCCGTAAGATTGTGTACCCTGGTATACATAATTCACTGTCATCAATATCAGAACAGAGATGGGTTTCACTAAGTGTCATTATGTCCATACCACAACTATTTACCAAAGATCTTATTTCATCAATATGTTTTTTTAAAGATAGGCAATTCAAATGGCCTAACTTTAGTCCCTTTTGTAATTGTAATTTAGTTATTTCATTCTTAACAACGTCTAAATCATCACTTACGATTGATTCATTGATACGTTCTATTTCCCTACTCGTGTCATTGTTCGTTATAAAGGAAGGACTTGAACACTCGGAGAAGGGCAACTCTTTCCAGAGACAAACATCACATTTCCAGTCAGAGTTTGATCGGAAAAAGAAATCTGATACATCGGAACATTTCAAATGACCCCATTTGTAACAGCTAATACATAACATGGCATTTTGATTATTTCTTACTGGTTTTTTACAAAAAGTGCAAGGATATTTGGGAGGCATTGGAAGAGAAAAGTGCACATATGATGAACAAAACAAAATCGCAGATGTACAAAGGATTCAATATATACAACTTAAACGAGAGTATAATATCAAATAGTGACAGAGGGTATATGCCATAGTTCCTTTTATTCAAATACAAAGTTCAGGTTTTACGAGGAGAGTTCCAGAGTATGTAGGTCACTTTCATCCCTGATAGCTCTATTTATTGTTTTCCCATTTGATGCTTGGAGTTTTGCAATCACGCGACCATCACTAGACCATGCAGTGAGAACATTCTTGATCTTCTTCACGCTCTTCAAAAGCTGTAAGTTGGCTTTTGTTAACTGTTCTTGAATAGCAACATCAGTGCCTTTCAATCTCCGACGGCGAGAGATTACCGCATGCCGGGTCCGATACGATGTAAACTTGACAACAATGGGGCGCGCTCTTCTCTCGGGTTTTCCATTCGTTCTCTTCGGTTGCTTGTTCGGGTCACCGACTCTGTGCGAACGATCTATGTCATCCTTGGAAATAGTCACTCCAAGGGAATCCCGCGCTAATTGGCAGATGACGTCATCCGTAGATTCATTGACCTGCTCTTCAACACCAAATATTTGGAGACAATTTCTTCGCGAATACTGATCAAGTTCAGCTACAGATAAGCGAAGGTTGTTCATCGTGGTGCGTTGATCCGTAACAATGGTTGAGAGACGTTGGATCTCCTCAGCCTGCGACTTGTTCTTGAACTCAGCATCAAACAATCGAGCCTCCTGATCATCCAATCGATTATGTAACAAAAGAAATTCTTTCTGCACAGCCTCATGGATTGTAACATGGATTGATTCAACTAGCTTTTTGTTCTCATTTTGAAAACGTTCAAACATTTCATTCATGACTCTTTGGGTGACGTCATCGTTCTTTGCTGAAGACGCCATATTAGATAGGTATAAAAAAAAATAAAAAAAATGTCCAGTGATGACGATACAGATAAGAAAAACACCAAGTAGGAGATGTAGAATATGAAAATGGCTCACTTTAGGTAGCTTCTCCTATCACGGACAGGCATTTCCTCCGTCAAGTAGTGTGGAGGCAAATGGTATCACATAGTCACAGACACTTCACAGACATACGCTATAACAATTCAACACGACAGAGAAATAGCATGAAATCACAGGAAACTCCTGAAAATACTTATATTGGGATATTGTTCTGGTTTCTGATGATAAAATATGTCATGAGGTTTGATTCCAGTGAGTAAATTGCGACAAGGTTGGTGATCTTACGTCAGATCAGGAGCGACTGTGTCGTAGGATCCTTACACCGTAGGCCCATGTAGTTTACCACAACAGTGGGAAGAAGAAAAAAACCGTAGCCAGAATCATCCACTGGAATAGCTTAAAATGAGTGTCTTCCTGACGATATGAAGTGAAGTTCTTTTCCACTGGATTCCAATAGTTATTTTCCAAAAACTTAGAATATCCAAATCACAGGAAGAATTCAGGCAATTAAGGTATAAAATGTCCTGAATTGGGAGCGCAATACAAACACGTCCGTATTTTCGATGGCTCTGGTTTACACTGTATGCATTACATCGCTATTTTGTCAAAGTCTGACCTCATACAAACCCACTTTTACCATCAAACACAAAGATAAGAAATAATTCTTATAATATCTCAGTCAGCGTGTGCAAATAGACATCAGTTTACTCAGGAGTGGGCAGGGCTCTTTAAACACACATTTTGTGTCGTCATTTCATTCTCTGCAATCGGTCTGCATATATTTGCATTTTGATAGCCAGTGCAAATACTATTGAGATTGAGCAATAAATTTACAGACTGTCATGTGCAATAAATGCTGTGACACACTGATAAGATGAAGAGTGGCAGTTTCCAAGTACTTTTCTATTAACCAATAATGATAATGATTTACAACTCTGAACAAATATATTGGCACATCATCATCATCATCAATTCATCATCATGACTAGTAATATTCTACTAAAATTTAAACAGAACAGAAGAGAGTGTGCAAGAGGAAGTAAGACAGCAGTGAGTAAAAATTGAGAGAACTATCTAGTTAGTAGTACAGGAAACAGTTTGGTGATTAATTTTATGATTCATACATGTATGTATCACACATATTGCTCAGACAGCTTCAATTCAAAACCCTACACAAATTCATTGCTTAACCGATTACCAGGATTTGGGGGGCTGAACTCAAACAAAGGTTGTTGACATTGCACTGTTTATAAACATCCTGTAATAAGATTAAGTACCAGTACATGTGAAGTGTACATGTACATGTAGATAAATAGAAGCCCTTTTAATCATATGTTTAGCTCTTAAATGACTTATTAACAATCAAGTTAGGATTTTTGCCTTAAGACTATCCAAGGAAGATATGAGTTCCCTGCATATTTAGAGATTTTATTTGATATATTCCAAGTAGTGTCGCATAAATATACTGCAACTATTAACTATATGAATGGTTTTACGCCAACCAGAAAAACATTTGTACTGTATATTTCGCTTTGCGCAAAAGTACCAGGAATCCAGGATGACTGTGCAAGTTTAAAACCACATCTCATTGTTTGTCAATAAGAACCTGGATGACCGTGCAGTATTTCTCCAAAATATATCTCATGGTTGGTGGGTGCATGGATGCAGAAAACAGTGAATACATGTTTGTTTTGTTTAAGAAACTGATATTCATGATGGGTTTTTTTTCTTAATTCTTGTCTTGGCATGCCATTAATGAAAATGGATGAAGTCATTTAAAGAGATTTCTGTATTGTTGGTTTTTTAAATATGAATATATTAATGACTTAAAAGTGTGTCACATTGGTTACGAAAGACAAGAGGAATCATTTGACCTTCTGTTGTCAGTCATAAAACCTGAATGTCTTGAACATGTTGAAAAGGGACACTTGAAACTGATATGAATGATTCAAGTTGAATCATGTACACATGCATTAATGAATTCTTTAATTTGTTCTTCCAGATTGAATAAACATAGACTATGGTAGGATTCCAAGTGGGATATGCTGGCTGCATTTATCTTTCCTCTGACAGCGATCTATCAATTCAATTTCTTGGCAGGATATCATGTGAATATATAACATGGAACCTGACACCCTTACTACAAAAATGTTATAACATACATGTACATGTACATACATGTACATGTAGATACTAGATTTAGTAACAAATTTGAGTCACTATACTGTATGTACACCACTGCACAGCATCTAAATGTACATCAGTACGAGAATACACCCGACAGTGGCCTGTACAAATGGCGAAGAAGAAGAAGAAACGTTGGTTTGATTACTGGTGTTATTCTTCTTCCAGTTGAGTACTGGCCTCTTCAAGTTTTTTCATACTTTGTGCGGTGCTTTCATAATTGTGTAATATTCAATAACTAAAAATTATTCCCCTGCATACCGTCTACTCAGGCGGTGTGATTCCTACTACAGTGAAACCTGTCTATAAAGACCACCGAAAGAGAGACAAGAAAAGTGGTCTTTAAATATACAGGTTCCTAATGCTACGGTCACAAAGCTTTGTAAGAACGATAACTTTGTACGAATCTCCATTTTTCCATTGTCTTCCTGAATTTCCATTTTCTGAAAATTGTAGCAGTTCGTAATGGCATTTGTGACCGAGGCTTTAAGTACATGTTTCGATGAGAAACCATTTCCAAGGGTAACAAAAAATCTGGTCTTTGTAGACAGGTGGTCACTAAAGCAGGTTTGACTGTATCTCCCTTTTAAACTGCGTAATATATTTATTTTATTCTGTTATACTAACCTTTTATCATGACTGTGAGGGCTCTTTCCCTTCTCCATCCCTAGATGCCATGTGCAGCGGGAGGGAAGGTCAGGGGCGATCCAATGCTTGTCAACCCCTCCATTCTGTGGTGTGGTTGCCATGGTTAAATGCCTTTCTTTTCTTTTCTACTAAGTTTCACGAACAGCTAGCTTACCAGTTCAATACCTGTAGAAAGAAATACAAAGAGACTGAATGAACAATGGTGCTATATGGCATGATGAGTGCTTAAGTGGAGGTTACGTCTGTGCAGTCTGAGTCTTATTGCCAGTCTGGCTGGCCTTCTTAGGGCTTGGTAATAATATTAAATATGATATTAATATACATGTATCGCCAAGCCTGGCCTGACTTGGCACCCATTTACCTGCATGAAGAGTGATGTAAACAAAACCTCAAATGTGTAAGTTATCACCCATTCCTGCAACAACAAGCCTTGCATACGTCACTATCTTTGGAGTTCGCTAATCGACTTTTTTTTTTTAAGCACTTTGAAGTCAGTCAAGAATCTAACAAAAAATGTGGAAATTTGTTATAGGATTAGGAGTGATGGCGCTTTGCTTACCTTCCGCGTGTTTCTGATGACAATATCTTATTCTTAATGAGCTTAAAGTAACAATGACGTGCGATTTACATGAAAAACACCGACCTCCAGCCTGGCCTCTCGGCTCCGCTCACATTCAGTCACTGCACTAGACCCTAGTACTAGTTTGCGATGTTGGTTCTGCAGCTATGGCCTATGCGAAAATGCCTGTTTTTTATGTTGCCAACTTGATATTTACTACCGGTATACAACACGGAAAGAGTTCGTTATCAATGTCAGCGTAGTCAGCCAGAAATAATTGTCTGGTATGGGGAATTATTTAATAAAAAGTGACATCAATTTTACAAATAGATCTAGAGGTCTAGATTCTAGTACTTACAAATAGTCTATAGTCTAAGTCAACTGCTAAATTGAAGTCCATACATAGATTTCATTAAGAATAAGACATTATTTTCATTCTCACAAATCACAGCAAAATATGTAAGGTTGGTGTCTGGCCCTTATCCATGTTCTCGTGCAGTATGGCAGAGACTGAGTACACAAATAACATTCAATTCATGAGTATTTGTGATCTAAAAATATCTCTCTCAAAACTAAATCATGCCTCAACTGCTCAATATTGTTTAAATACCGCATGCCAGGTGCCCACACACACGACAACTCACAGCTGCACAGCAGTTCACAAAACACACATCCATCTACAAATATTCGGGTATGAAGGAGGCAGATGTAGAAGACAGATTATTACACATGAGACAAATATACGAACCTTCGTGAACAGGAGATTACAATGAAATCCCAAAGTCAGCTAGACGTATCGGGTATCTCACACAAATTAAGTTAATTTGAGATTTATTTACGATGACGCAATGCACTTCACTTCTTCAGCTGGATTCCGTATTCGTAGCTAGCTCGATCGTAAGATAAAGTTAATCGTGTACGTGCGTCGTGTGTATATCGGTAGCTTGTACAGTACATGTATATACGGTGTGTGTGTGCGTACGTGTGTACGTGTACTTAACTTGGCTGCTACGTCAAATTTGTATTTCTTGTTGCGACTCTGACGGAAAAGAGAGCCTATTCGTCTATTATGTGCACAGAACATGACAAGAAACAAACGCATGAAATACGATGGCTTATGTCATGGACCCCGTACTTTGTAATCGCTGATTGGTGGATGTATGGGGGTGTGAGCTGGGCCGAGACGGGGCGCGGCGAGTCGTGAATGAGGAATTTCATGCATGGTTCAAACCCGGGTTCAAGGTTCTTGGGGTTTATTTATAAGCAATAAAATCATAGTAACATTTGTTTATGTCACGCTAGACAGATCAAATAAGGAGAGAAACGATAACAATTGATGCAAGTTGCCAACATGCTTACAATAGCTTATCTTTTTCCCCCTCATTTATTAGACGAGACCTAGATCTAATTGAATTATACTAGAATCTAACATAAAAAGCACATATTCTAGCCTAATTGAAATGTTAACAAAGAAAAACACATATATTGTATTTATATCACAACATTTATACGTTTTTCAACGAAGGTAATAAAAAAAAATTCCAGGGGTGTGATACTTTTCAACATTTGCCCTCCATAATATTTCCTACAAATGTCGAATATATGTATGTAAAATTATATTTTCTGTTTTTGTGCATATCAAGTTCCAAGTTTCAAGTTTATTTGTCTTCCAGAAATCACATGTAACAACAGTATAATCATAACAGTACAATGTAGACTAAAGAAAGACGAGGAGACCTTGGTTGAAGCACAGCTTGGTTAAGGCCCCTCAGATGGTGTGACAAAGATAACTGATTCATGAATACAACAACAAATAATATATGGAACATAAAGATTTACAAAACAACTACACAGCATGGACCTTTTAGTGGCATATAAATAAGAAGAAGCTAAATTGATTAATACATTTGTTAAAACTAAATATTTCGAATGTATATAATCACATTATGATTGCTGGCTTACAGTTATATCACTGTAATTATTTTTTTCATTATCAAACAGTACCTCTTTTTTTTTGGAGAAAAAATTAAGACCTTGTTCCAAAATATTATTGAGTCATCACAATCATAAAATAAATGATAATAATTTTCTGTGCATTTGCACTTCAAACAATTAACATGATCGTATTTCCTTGACGTATGTCAAATTCATTTTCCCTATATTCGCCCAGGATAACTTGTTTCCATTTTTTTAAAATTTTTTTTAAATAAATAAATATTCCCAATTAATTTGAACATTTTGGATCTATAAAAATTCATTCAACTGGCGTCTATGGTGTTGTTTGGCGATTGATGATGATTTTGTTTTTTTAAACTTACACATCAAACAAGCAGTGAGGCTTTCCTCAAACAAAATTTTGTATTTCTCAGTTTTGAGCCATCCCCAGAAAGAAAAATCAACATAATTATAAACAAACTCATAACCTGTAAATATTAGAATATTGTTTCTGTGTCTCATTCCTAATAATGAACAGATACTAAAATATCTATACGATGGCGGGTGGAAGAAGGAGGTGATTCTCAGGCGAGGGGGGTGGGGTGTATCGATCGATGATATAATCCTACTAAAATTCATTTTGATTTTAAGCTTCTGATCCTGATTGATTTTGAGGTCAATTCTATCTCAGGAGGGGGGGGGGGTGGGAGGGTGGTGTTTCCTCAATTGAAATTGATTTCGATCTTTAAAATGAATTTTATGATCAATTTCAAGGCTTGATGAGACATCTCCCCCCCCCCCCCCCTTCTGGTCGCAGAACAAACATCTTAACCACATTTCCCACTCCAATTCTCAACACAATGAGATAAACGGCCAATATATGTTCATGCATGCAGTGTACCCACCCTCTGGAACCCCCCCCCCCCCCATGCACCCTATACAGACCTAGAAGACAGCACTCAAGACCTTTATTTATTTAAGGAAAACATAACTATGTTAATTTTATTGATTTTTTATAATGTACTTTGACACGTTGGACTTATTACTTTGGTGCATAGATAAATAAATAAAAAAATTGAACAATGTATTGTTATGTGTAGCGCATGAACACATTGTGCATTGCAAGATAATAAATAATGTAGTATTTTTTTTATATGAAGTAATTATACTTGAGTTGCAAAGGAAATCAGTATACTTATTTAGTTTATCTTTTCATTTACCATTAAATAGAACATCTTTTGCACAAAAGACATTTGTTTTTACAGGTCCAAAACTGTGGAATTCTCTTTCAAATGATATTATACAGTGTAATTCGATACAAATTTTCAAAAGGAGACTTAAAAGCTTTCTTCTGAATAGTTACTAGGCTATTGCATTCCCCAATCAAATATAATTTGTAGTGTGACTTTATGCAACTTTGATTATTTCTTTTTATAAACATGTATGTATTTATCAATGTTTTGCGTTTAAAAGTTATTTTTTTTTATTACTGAATCAGTTACTGTTATTATTGTTGTTTTTGTTTTGTTTTCTCATAAAATGATAATTCATGATAATTACTTTTACAGGGGGGCTTACACCCTACAAGCTCTGCTTTTTAGTCGGCCCTCCTTCCCTTTCAATTTCATGTTTATTTTTTAATGTATTGTATTGTGCAAATTGATCTATATGTATATAAATATGTGAATATGTTAAAATATACCATCATTGTAAATATGAACGATTGAAAGAGGAAAAAAAAAATGAATTGAATGAATTAAATGAATAAATGAATCTTGATATTCCATTTATATGCCGTAGACTTTCCCTTTTCGATCCTTACTACTTTTATGATTCTTTCACAGGAGATAATTTTTTTTTTTTTAAATAAATTCAATCTTTGTAAAGCTCATTGAGACATTACTGTCTTTCGTCTTGTTAGATATAATATGGTTGGGTGGTTGGTTTTATTTACGACTATAACAACAAACAAAATGAAATCCAAACACAAAAAACATACAAAACACTAAAATATTCTACATGGACTATTCTAGAAAAATAGAATTAAACGGTAGATCGAGGGGTTACCCGTTTTATAACCACCGACAAAGTTGATTCTGTTCTTCCTCTGGGTCTCCAAATAACCAAATATTGATTAATTAATATAAATGATAATATTATGCTTGGCTTCACAGTCATACTTGGAAGTCGGCTGACTTTGCCTTGATGACGTATGACCCTAATATAGAAGAACGAATGATTCTCTTGACAAATAATGGCAATGATTCTTCTGATATAAATCTTTGTCGTCTACATAATATTTTTTTGGTATCATCAAAATCATCATAATTTTACAAGTTTTGTTTACTAGGAGCAACGATCCCGAGGGCAGGGGGCACAGTAGGCCTACCGTTTTCTCAACTGAGTACCCCTTAAAGTGCCCTTTTTCTCCTGAAAGTGGCTATTTTTCATTTTGTTGATAAGGGGCCCGCCCGTTTCACTCATAACAAGGGATCCATTTTCCCTTCAAGAAAAGTGCCCCTTTTCTTTCCGAAGTTTGCCTTGTCATATCCGGGCAGCCCCTTTTCCCCACGGTGATAAATGACCATTTTCCGTTCTGACTGAGATGCACCATTTCCTATAGACCTATACTTCCCTTGCCGCTTATAAAATGTGTCTTCATTTTTAAATTCCTTAAAAATAGAGGGGCTTTTAATTAATTGTGCAGCTAAGCTACGACTCTATAGTGGAGTGAAGCTGGGAGGGTCAACGTCGTTCTCCCTTTATGAACGACGACCCCCTCCCCCCCCCCCCCACTCAGTGTTATTTAGGGTACGCGTATGCGTGTTCCCTGCTTTTGAAAACACCCCTTAAGTCCGGTGTGTAAAGTCAATTTTGTGTATGTACGAGCCGGACTTTGGTGCGTGAAAAGTACCTCTTTACCGGACATTTTGGTAACACGCATGCGGTCATTCCGACCCTGGAGGCGTCATTTTTTCTGCGGCACAGATCGCAGTGGCGGATCCAGGGGGGGGCCGAAACGGCCGCGGCCCCCCCCCCCCCTATTGGCGGCGCAAAAGGAAGGGAAAAAAGAGGAAGAAAAAAGAGAAAAAGAGAAAGGAGAAGAGGAGGAAAAGAAAGGAGAAGAGAAAAGAAAGGAGAAGAGAAAGGAAAAAAGAAGAGAAAGGAAAAGAGAAGAGAAAAGATAAAGAACAAAGCCCCCCCCCCCCCCTCCCTCACGGAGGGACCGAATTTGTGTTTCCAAAATTTCAGATAAAGAGGTACTTTTCACGCAACAAAGTCCGGCTCGTAATACACAAAAATCCGGCCCGTACTGACTTTACACACCGGAGATAGAGGGGTGCTTTCAAAGAGAGGGAACATACATGTGCGTATACCTTAGATAACACTGAGTGGGTGGGGGTGGGGAGGGAGGGGGGGGGGTGGGAAAAAGAAAAGTCGGGTGAGAAAGGGGGAAAGGCAAGGAAATGGGACTAAGTGACAGTAACGACGAATGAGGGAAAACTGTAATCGGGAGATTTGGGGTCATTCCAGAAGGCTTGGCAAACGTCATTGAATAGAGGGGGGCCAGGCCGGTGTCGTGGCGTTATGTGTCTTAGCGAAATCACGTCTGTACAGACGCATATCGCCAGGCGATATGCGTCTTAGAGACGCGTCTCGCCGCATTCCACCGGCGATATGCGTCTCCTAGATCGGCGATATGAGTCTGCGATTGGCGAAAAGTGTCCACTCGATTTGTTAACGTTTATTTTCAAAAAAACCTTAAAACAAAAAGTTTGGCGTATTATTTAGCAGGCGCGTAGCCAGGGGGGGCGGTGGAGGCGGTCGCCCCCCCCCCCCAAAAAAAAAAAATGCCGGCCAAAAAAAAAAAGAGAGAGAAAGAGAAGAAAAAAAAGAAAGAGGACGTAGGAAGAAAAAGGGAAAAGGAGTCGAGAACGGTACAATGAATCGTCAAAGGTTCCGCGCTTCGCGCGGGAAGGGGGAAACTGAGTTCAAATTAAGAAATATGAGTCGGGAAAGGTACAACGAATCGTCTTCTTTCTCTAATAATTTAATGAAACGTCAAAGCTTCGCGCGAGAGGGGGGGGGGAACAGAATTCAGACAAGGA